CAAAGGCCCTGCGCAAGAAGGCGGTATGGGGCGAGGAAAAGGAACAGAATGTATACAAACGAGGGAATAGCCCTAGGGGCTCGGTATGGACAATAAACTTGATTAAATAATGAATAATAATCATATCCCAACAGAGGATCCATCCCTCAAAGTTGCCGATATTAGAACAGGCACCGGGTATTTATCCTACTTGTTCGTCTTTTGATTTCGCTAATTAAAGTACAAAAGAATCTGGTGATCAGACTTGGCTGACAAACTGCCCCCTTCCGTCGAGCTCCACGGACTGGATATTTCATTTGCAGCCACCGCGCCCACCGAATGGTTACCCGCTAATATAAAACTTCGACAATGGGATGTTCTGACCGATCCCCAGAAGACCTTGTTGGGACTTTCGATGTAGTCCATATTCGATTCTTTTCACTCGTACTTTCTGACAACGATGTCTGCTCGGTTCTTGACAGACTGTATAGACTCCTAAGTATGCATCAGCCCTAAAGATCCCTGATCCACAAACTTATAGCTAACACGGTGTGACAACTCAGAACCAGGAGGATACCTGCAATTGGCAGAGTCCGATATGGCAACATGGCGTATCGAGAAAACCAGCCCCCATAACAAGGCCGATGCACTGGACAAAATCCTGAAACTCAGTCAGGGAGACGATGCGAGACTACGCCCCACTTGGGTCCCCAATCTTCCGACTCTCTTTCGCAATCAAGGCCTTCAGGACATCGAAGTTGACGTGAAAGAAGCGCCACCGCACGTCCTAGTCTCGATGCACGAGTGTGGTCTCTTGATACCAGAGTTGTTGATTCGAAAGAATATCTACACGACAGCTGTCAAAGATCAGATGATGGGACCTTTGGAGGAGGTTGCTTGAGAGACTACACAGGGGTCAGCTTAGACCTTCACGCGATGGAACCTGGTGGGCAGGAAGCTAGTCCCTGCGTAGGTCAAATGGTAGTGGTTGAGAAACCATGAACAGAGTTACACACAGTGAATGATACAAAGAGTTGCGACTCATTTGGAGTATCCCCATAGCCATCTCAAGATAACGGACGCAGGTATTATTCATCGGCTAAAGGCTTGCATCATCATCTATCTGCATTTGAATCGGGGGCAAGAGTCTTCATGAAGGGTGATACCATATTCACGCCCACGGAAATGGAAGTAAGGACTGAGTGCTCTGCCAATACAAGTTTGTATAATCGCTACATTCCTCAGACTATGTAGCTTTATAGACTTCTCTAAAGAACACCACCCTCAAGCAAGTAATCTATACCGCTGTATATCTCTTCCCAAGAGCTGGTACCCGCTCTTCCTAAAATATATTTTCATCTCATAACTGAGCTCAAATCAAAAGCAGGGATGATTCAGTGCTAGAAGCAGACCTTGCTGTACTTGCTTTATCTTGTGCCTTATATTTGTTACGAAAAAGAAAAGAAGAAACAAATGGAGAACAGTAAAACAACAACATTCCCATGTATCTTGAGATGAGACGGCCCATCGACACCTCAGGCAGCCGCAGTAAGGGGATGCGCTGCGACTAGTCCCAAATTGGCAGCCCGGGGCTGAACCCGCACGGGCCCTAAAAGGAAAAAAGCCAACAACCACAGGCCCAATCAACCTTCTTAACTCCATGGACAATAAAGTACCTTTTTTTGTGAAAGACGCTTACGAAGCACACTAACAAGACTACCAGGGTGAAAGAAGACAGATAAATTCGCTCAGACACACGGAAGCTCACCCGACAGAATTGAGTTCACGCTTGATGCCCAATAGTCCCGGGGTTAAACTGAAAGACCGACTGGCCGGCAGAAGTTCTTTGTTTGACCCCTGGAATGTGGCTGGGTGGCTTGCATCATTGGGTGACTGTGGGATAGTGAGGGGGATGTCTGAGTGGCAATGATTACATGTATTCCATTTCCACAGAAGGAGAGAGAAAGGAGAAAGCAGAACAAACAGCAAATGGTAACATTGGTCAAAGAAGCTTCGCACAATGTACAGGATTTGAGATAATGCACAAGGGGTTATGCAAGTATACAGATAATTATATCAGCAAGAAAGCATGACTATGGTAACAAAATGAAAAGTTATATATACTCAGATGATTTGCCAACCACTAATCGTCACAATCTTTGGTTCTTGAAGAGCCTAGTCGGTATCCGTAAACAGCTGCTCTCTTGAATTTTGCAATCGAAGCGCCTTGAATGACCTGCAGTTTGGAATATCTTGAAGCGGCAGAGGCTCTGTGCCAGACTATTTGAAAGTAGAAGTGTTGTGTCGGGTTCGTACGTGTCGAATCAGGCTGGGGAACATTGGAAGACAGGCACAAATAATGCTGGTATTTATTTCAACTGCAGTCCATATTCCAGGAACATTGAATGAATCTAAGACGATATTAGACAGATTTTCGGAAAGTCTTTCCATTATAGACATGAACTCACAGCTGAGATCTTTCATATCCATACTCGTCAACGATATAATGCGCAATATGCTAATGATACACACACTAATTGTTCCATTAGAAAGGTTCAATGTCAGGGTAAACAGAATGGGGAAATTCGTACAAACTACCTAAGAAAAACAGCACGGAGAGGAGCAACTTCCGTTGTTTACTCATCTGTAGTTTCCAGACGATAGGTTGCGGCATGCATAAAATTGTAAAGTCCAGTATCGCATTGATTTTTCCCAGTGAAATTCAAAAGGCTTTGCTATTGATGCTTGTGTGCGGCAGCCAAGGTTTCCACTGTGCCTCTATCGGACTGAAAGAGAAGATAAGGCCGCCTACTCCTGACAGTAAATAACCTATAGCCGCTATGCCAACCGCACAGGAAAAGAGGAAAAGTGACCGTTGAACGAAAAGACGATTGAGGAACAGTAGGATGGATATCTTTGTCAGCGAAACACCGACATGGTAAATTATGTAGTTTGCAAGAGAGACCTATGGGTGCCTCATGTTAGAGCAGTCTGTTTACTAGAAATGTGAAAAATGCCGAAACCACTCTACCTTGGAAAAGCTCTCCTGCTGAGATCTGTTGAGCTCATGAATGTGATATCCGGCACGCTGATCATCACTTGCCATAATAGATGCGGTGATAATGAATCCGTAGGAAAAGGTCAAGGCTGCTAGAGAGCACTAGTCATCCTAGCCAAGAGAAAGTGTAAGGCGCCGGGCAGCAAAGCGAAGGGCAACGGAAAGGATGGACAAGAAGGTAATAATGGCCAGCACACCTAAAAAAAATTTATAGGTATTATGTACCTTCCCAGCTGCGGCTTCATGCTGTGCATTGGATGGATATTCCATGTTGTAGGTCAATGCTTTCGCAAAATGGCAATATTTTGGGATATTGTAAATGATGAAAGCGTAAGAGGAGCGTGCACAGAGATATAAGACGCCATGAGCTGTAGTCTAGTTCTTCAAGCTAGGTAGCCGAGCATCCTGCCATCTAAGAAGCCTTTTTTGAATTCTGCCAAGACCTGCTTTGATACAGAGTAGCTCTGTAGTAACCTGGAGGCAGTGATCTATATCATATTTGAGAGCCTGGGAAACCCGCTAGAAAATACGCGAATGACACTGTAATCCGAAATTTAACTTCCAAACTGATCGCAGACCTACTATCACAAAATATCTGTCGGCCATCGAGTTTGTTGCGATAACACAAAGAAAGAACTTGAGTTGGACCTTGTCGGAGTAACTTCTCTTCAAAAGAATCTAGAGGGCCTGAAAAATATCGAGGATAATGTAAACATTAGGCCAGCCTTTAAAGCGAGCGAGCACTGGCCGCTCAGTCCAAAGGATTTTGGACCTGACGACGTGCCGACGTGCCTCTGAACGACGATTCCATCCCAAAGCAGCTTTTCGCATGCTAAACAAATAATATTGGATAGCAGTCAGTGGGAATTAACCAGATTTTACGTATTAATCTAGAATATTTGTTGTGGAGCCTCAGGCAAATGATATCGGTTTTCATGAGAACTCCAGATGAAATCTTCCCCAGGTGATATAACACCGTTAACAACCCTTCCCAATTGGCCAGGAGTAAGTATCGCCTCGATTAACTTACTAGTACGTGGAAAAATATCGTATCGATTGACGACTGCAAATGACTTTAATACACCGCTTTGTAAAGATTCTATGGATTGATACGCGTAGAAAATCAGTGTTCTGGCAGGCTGCGTCTCTTATGACTTGCAATACTTGCTGCGTGTTTGCGGGTATAGCCTAATGAGTCAGTATATTTCGACTGATATGTTCCGGCGAAAAGACAAAAAGTTCACATACAGGTCTGTGACGAATGTATTTCTGTTTTGTGCTTGGGCCCTTGATTAATTTGGTGTCCTTGAGTGGCGCGTCAGGAGAGACTGTGCTTCGGGGAATTTCGCACAGATATGACACGGAAGAACGAGGCAAATGGAGTTAACGCATCAAGTTAGATCGTCAATTCTCCGCCGCGTTACTGATCGTTTTTATCAAGCTCAGAGATTCATTTGAAATTCCGCTTGTCAAGGTTGTAATATGAAAATGAAATTGTATTTGGGGTTTGTATTAAAAGGCAATCTTACCTCCTATTAGTTAATACCCTTCTATCTACTGGATGTTCCGTCAAAGGACTGTGGCAAAGAGTCGTGGCCATAGTTAAAGGGTTTGAGGAAATGGCTGAGATAGTCAGTCTGGGGTTGTTCAATGGAGCCACCTCTAAATTGTTGTTGCATACAGAGACGTGGCAGCGGCCGATGTTCTTGGCAGCTCATCGCTCCTACCGCAGAAGCTTCTAAATACTCTTGTTGAATTGATCAATTTTCTTGGCTACGCTCTAGAAGTTTCTTTCGCTTACGACAAGAAGAAAAAATGTTTATTGATGTAGTATGTACAATAGGAGAGGAAAGGAATGGCAAGCTTCTTTCTTGCGCTCATTCCCTCTCTTTTCCGTTTTTTCTTTCACTTCTAAACAGAGAAAACAAATTTTATAAAAAATGAAAAATAAAAAATGGAAACAAAACAGAAGAGCCCAAGATAAGCAGAAATAAATTGCCATGAATTGCTTATGAACAACTTCTTCGCGTCATTATAAGGATGGGAGAGAAGATAAATAACACTTTACGTGTGCAAAATCAAACGGATTCACGCTGTGTTCTGGAGGATGTCGCTTCCCACTGAGTCTGTATATCAGTCTGAACTCGTACCGAGAAACCCTTAGCCTCGTCGTGCAGACCTCTCTGATCCTCGAGCTCAACATTAGTATATAATCCATCAGTAGAGTCTTGTAAAATCGACATCGAAGTGCGACGTGGACGTCCAACATAAATCTCAGACGATCCCGACATGCCGGAATTATCGGGCAAACGTTCGCCCCTCCAGTGGCGAAAGAGATTCGGGATCATCGGCATACATGCACAATATATGGATGTATGTAACTCGAACAGAGACCAGGCTTGAGCCTTTGTTGCGGAATCTGTAACAATTAGCATTCTTGCATCAGAGTGAAGGCAATCCCACGCAGATTAGGCTCACAGGGCATATCATGCTGAATGATCTGTAGCAGCGCAACAAAGCGTAGAACGCTCATTACGCAAGCCCTATAAGGCTATCAGATTGCAGTCACGTATCTAGCGGGACCGAAGAGACGTACAAGGCACCAACCATAAGGAGAGACGACACAAGCATCTTGCGTTTCCGGCCCATCTGCAAACGCCATACTAGTGGCTGTGGAGAAATAAGGATAACGACGTCTAGTACTGTGTTGATAATGACGACGCTGAAGAGAAACGGCTTGGGCGATGGGCAATTTTTCGGTAGCCAATACTTCCAGTTCGCCTCGATCGGATTGCAGAAAAAGATGGTGATAAGTGCGGTGCCCAAACCATATGCTATGACAATCGCAATCATGATGAGCAGAAATCGCCCAAATGATTCATGCACAGCAAACAAGCGTTTAAGAAAAAGCAAGATAGAAACCTTGATAAGGGTTCCCGAACCAAGATAGATAGTGTTGGTTGCTAAGGTAAGCTGCAGAATTGGTCAACCTCTGATTCAAGAGGAAAACAGTCCCGGGGCGTGGGAGACTGATCACCTTCATATATGTTTCCATTTGCGATCGACTATATTCTGTTTGGTGAAATCCGGCTCGCCCAATTGTCAATTGTAGAGTAAAAGAAATCCAAAATCCAATGGCAAAGCCAAGTGCTGCCAAACATATCCAATCCTCCAAGCTCACGGCGCGTATCAAGCGCCTCGAAAAAAAGCGTAGAGCCACAAATACAATACTAGCGAAGAGTGCGAATGAGCTCGATATCAGAAATTTCAAAACATCATGACCAAGTCCATCTGGCATTGAAGGTGTTTTGTCGGCAGCAGGCACCATTTCAGTAGATTGACTAAAGTATAGACCGTATGTAAAGAATGGACAAGAAGTTTACCCCAGTATCTGGATATGCAGGATTATTTAGTGCTTTCATCCAGTTCTCGATTCCAGACCATTAAGGACGGTGGATATTAAACAATGACAGAGTTTCGGAAACATGGAATATCGGACCAATCGCTCACTATATCCGCTAATCGTAGGTCAGTGACCCCTCAACGGTCAGATATGATCTACCACACCTTCTGAAGGCTTCTCTAGTTCCAGCTGTTTCTTTGTTGTACCGGCGAATCGGTAACCAATCGGACCTCCAGAGCCAGGTCTGTTGGGCCTAGGAAACTTAATTAGTATGGACGGACAGTTTGCACGTTCCACAACCAATGTCTGGGTAATAGGGGCTTGCGCATTTTGACTAGTACCTACATTTAGTTAAGTCTGAAAGTCCGGGCCCTCCATGAGCATAGGCCCCTGACTAGTTTAGCTTTATTGAAATTCGCACCAAAAGCCATCGAGATCAAGAAATCGTGGTCCTGATATGAGACAGAACTATGCCATAAGCAATCTTTCCGCCCATACGCATCCTCGGTGCGATATAATCCTCTCGAGGCCACTCAAGTTCCAAATTTCCAAACTCAGCCTAGATGATTAATTAGTTTAGTATGCTCAAGCGCTGTCTCGCTGCGAGTCTAATGCCAGGCAATTTCGGCGGAACGCGGCACTGTATCCCCGAGCTATAGGTATTTAATTAAATGTCTTTAGCCTGGTCTTCAAATCTTGGCGCTACTCTCCACTCGACATATTGGACAAAGGGGACCCTGAAAAGGGGATAGAAGTCCGCAAAACCATGTGAATAATTAAATCGAGAATACCACGATTCTGTGGAACCCAAGATGCTCTGGAGACAAGGTCCCTGTGATGCTTCCCATCTTACCCCTTTGTTCAATCCCTGCTTATTAGCCGATCCATGCTGTTAGTGGGCAAAATCGACCTGAGAGTTGTATAGTTGTTTTATGGCCATAGCTAACGTACTCCAAGGTCCAGGAACGACCTGACTACTTGATTACCCAATACCAATTCCCACCATTGACCGTTCAGCCGTGTTCTCAAACACAGAAAAAAGAAATTTCACGCTTTGCAGATATAAACAAATATTATATGCTTGCCACCCCCAGGCAAACATTTTTGAATCATGTAAATTCGTTAATCAACTTCGCCGATGCCATGAAGAGAAAGGCTTATGGAACAATAATAGCCTGAAGGCTCCATCGGCGGTGACAGGTCATCGATCTGAGGTAGCATCCGAATTTGCCGGTGTCCCGTCCATCTGAGGGCTGTTCATCCCCTTCATCTCGTAGCTAGCTAGGTGGCCAACTGTACTAGCCTCTATATGTAGAGCTTCAGTTGAATCCTGTACTTCAGCCTCTCCACGAAATCGCCGAACCGGAGCTCTGCCAACAGTTAAACGGAAAGTCCCATATGAGCTGGGGGTATGACTGCATTTATTCCTGAGCTTCTCTATCCAGTGCCGTAGGAGATGTGGGAACATTGGAAGGCAGGAACAGATAATTCCAACATTTATCTCCGCTTCGGATACTGCGAATGGGACTAAGGTGGTATCTAGAGTTCGCGGGTCTCAGCTTTGTTATAACATGGGCTTTGTTATAACATGGGTGCAACAGAATCGTAGCATCCTGGTGTGCTGTTGGGGCTTGACTTACAGGTCGTATCCGCCGGCGAGACAGTCATTACGAACACAGCTCGAAGTATACTTAGAGAACAGGCACTGTGTGTGTATAATATTAGACAGACTCTAAATACTTGTCCCAAAGACAGAAAACCAAGGAATTTGAACATACACGCCCCCTATTATAAAAACGCCCGACACTAGGAGCTTTTTATTTCGCGTCCATCGCATCCTCCAGATTATGTGCTGGGGAATTATGAGAACTATTGCGTCGAGTATTGAGTTGAGAATACTCATCGCGTAGCCAAGTGCTCTGAAAGATTTCACGTTCTGTTGTTGAAGGGGCGCCTCCGGTCCCCATCTCGCAAGGGCAAAGGCGGTACCCCCAACTGATATTCCAATGTAGCAGATAACGAGGGAAATGAGTGTGTATATTAGATTCGACACCCTCTGGTGTAGTCTGAAAAGCCGGCGATAAAAGAGCAAGATCGATATCTTCGTTAACGCAATGCTTAGATGGTACATCGTGTTGAAAATCGCGCTCAGCTACAATTTCAATCAGCAGTTAGCTCTCCTGCTATTTTTGCGAAAGACATATACTTGTGAGTATGCAAGAGATACAGAGGGGTTCAATCTGTTCATTTCTTACACTGAGCCAGGTTTCCAGCTGGGATAGGCTGTATTGCTCTATATGATAGCCGCCGTGTCCCACGGTGACAGACGTCATGCAAGCAACCATTGCAACGTAGGACGGAATGAGAGATGCAAAAATAGTCCAGTCGTCTATCTGAATCGAAGATGCCATTCGACGCGAAATTATTCGTAAGATCACACAGATAGTGGATAACAATGTTAACGGCGGTGCAATGCCCAGAATAATCCAACCATCGTGGGTGATTCTTTCTTTGGGTAATGGTCGCAACGCCAGTGCGCCGTGAGTTGAGTTGAACATCGTTGATTGTTGATAATAGGTACTATTCTTTTTAGAAGCAGGATCAAGATGGTGCATATATTTTAGACTTCGAGTGTTCAAAAATGGTCTCTGTAGTTGGTCACTTTTGGCATTCTGGATGTGTCAAGCGCCAGAATCCAATAGGTATACGGCGGGTCTACCAATAAAGGACAATCCGCATGTTTGCGGAGACCCAAAAGCCCAACTTATCACCTTGGCATCATGAGAAACCGAGTCTACTATCACATTCTCACAGAACAAATCGGGGATTGTTGGAGATTCTTACAATGTTTACTAGGTACGTTGAGCTGTGGGGTCTCTGTTTCCCGATTTTCAGCTTACCAAATAAAACTGAATTCGATCAATCCATGAGAAATGTGACGAATCCAATAAAAAGTCGAGTTTTATGACTGGTAGAAAGCTAATGTCGAGGTGGCTTTTTTAGTCACCACGCCCCTATGTAACTTTAGGCGCCGGTCAAAGCACCGGCCCACGCAACTTATACAGAACCGGTTCTCTCAAAATCTTGAATGGCAAGCCGGCGATTGAACCGATTCTCTTCGACCCATAATTCAATGTAAACCAAACAGCGACAGATAGTTACATAATCGAGAGGACATCTTCCAACTTGGCCAGGATCTCTGCGAAGTCAAGGGTACTGAAAGGCTACCTATACGTACATGATACATACATCAGAAACACCCCGCGCTACCTAACGTGCGCATCAGAGCTAGAGATAGGACGGAACTTTGGTCCGGCGAATCGTTGAGCTTCAAACTTGCAGCGCGTAATTGAAACTGATCCATCGACCTATTCAGGAAGACATTGCGAAATTATAATCAAGATGAGATACTTCGTTTTTGGTTGGTAAGATGAGTGTTTGATGTGGGTTTTTGCGCAATACGCACTTTTCATCTGAGCAAGATCCACTTCTACGCTGAATATTTAGTGGACGCTCAAGTATTCTCGCCTCAGTGGCAAGTTTCTACTCGCCTAGTTTAACTCATTTATTCCCCGGTCCTGACTGCTTGGCTATTCGCAAAGAAGCGTAGGGATGTTAATATTTAGAGGTCTCGCCGTGGAGAGCGATGTGTAATCTTGTCTAATCATAGTTAATTAGATGTATTGTTTAAACTAATGATATGCACAAGACAAAGAAGAGCATACGTTGACATTCCAGGTGCATTAAAAAGGACATAAAGACATCCCCCCTCCCTTTCACGGAATCTCCTTGTATACCTTTTCGCCCTTCTTCGGGAGCTGCTGGATGAAGTCTGGCGGAGGCTGCTCCGGTAGCTGATTGTCTTCAGCCCATTTCCGAATTGCCTCGAAGTTCTTGCATTTATGTTTGGTGTTGAAGTCCACAAACGGGGTTGGCTCATCGGGAAAGACCCATACCCGCCCTAGCACACCAGTATCAACCGTACACATCAGTTGCTGACGTAGGATATCGAGACAGTGCGCTCGAGAAATTGGTCAGTAATTTTATTTAGATCGGCTCTAGGGCTCACATACAAACATGGATGCGGACTACATGGTCTGGATTGACAAAGGCGCCTTCCCCGCGATCGTGGTAATAGTCGTAGTTATAATAGAGAGATTTGCGAAGAAGGTTCTGAGATCGATTGATCAGCATGATGTTTCTTTTTGCGAAGTTGATATCTTACCAAACAATGCAGATGGTGCAGTCCCTCCAAGTTGGCAGGATATCCGCCGCCATATTCATCGTTGATTTTGACTTGATCGGGTGAAATACCAGACTTCTCACCATACTCGGGCGGGACTCGAAGTGGGCGATCTAAATTGTTAGGCCATTCTCTAGAAATAAGGAAATAAAAGCTCACAATCTGTTCCCAGCGCTTCCCATGCGGCATCAACCTCGGGGCTGGCATCTTCGCGATAGATATTCTGATTGATGAATTCTCCGTTGAATTGTTCGACATGATATTGTACCTCGACATCTTTGAACAAGGGCGCTATAAAAAGTCAGCCCGTTTCTTTTTAGAAGAAGAAAGTTGCTTACAATCTTGAGACACGTGGTGACTGCAAAGCTCGTCCATATCACTCCAATGGTAGCCCGCCAGACCCCCAAAGGCAAAGACAATGGCAACGAGTATAGGATAAAGTATCACCTTCCAGCAGGACGGATATCTCTTTTCCTTGACCTTCTCACCTGGTCCCCATTTTGCCGACTCTTCCTCTGACAGCAAATTCTTGTTCGAGCCTGCGTCTGTCTGTATCGGTGAGTAGGACATCTTGCAGTAGAGTCGCTCAAATCTAGGTAACGATCAATAAATGCAGGTTATTCTTTGAAAAATAAGTAACGAGTGTTTTAAGTAGTCTCTAGATGCAATTAAGAGTCATTCTGCCGCCATAAGTAGACTCTGCGCTGGTAGGACCTAGTGCTGGAGCTGTTAGGCGCTGACGTCAAGACTCCATATCCACCTCGTATCTCGAATGTGGAGAAGCTTGAATCGCGAACTCCGAGATGGCTAATTTTGGACACGAGCCTATCCAACCGATGAATTGAGTTCCTTTATATCAATTAAGTTTTTTCCTTGCACCTGCATATGACATTGTGGGTGAGGTCTCCGACACTTCCGGGACTTCCGGGAACAAACACCGATCACTCCGTGATTAAAGTTGGAATACGAACGGTTGATCGACGAACCTATGGTTCATGGGCTAAGGCTGAATGGGCGGATGTAACCTTGCGGTGTTGATTATTCTATTTTTGCTCTAGTTGCCCGTCACAATACTATTGATTGTACAATGTAACGTGCTACTACTGGTCTTTATCACAGCCTTCCAACACAGAATGTCGCAATGGCCAGTGTTCACCTCTCAAGATCTCCGCCAGGCCTCGTATTCAGAAATTCTATGATCACTATTCCAATATACTGGTCATTATGACGGAGACTGATCCTTGGAATGGATTCTCAATGTGAGAGGGCTGTATATTTATAGACAGAGCTCATACGCTCAAACACAACTTATTGACTGTACTCATCAACACAAGATTGAATCAAGAACAGTTCTTATCATTTGAAGACCCCTCCATTGTCTTCACCAACATGCGTCTCCTTCGCGGACCACTCCTCCTCGCTCTCATCGTAGGAGTGAGTGCTCTTCCCGTTGCGGACAAATCTGACACGGAGGTCGAGGCCCGTGATGATCCTCCTCCCAATGACCCTGGATACGTGCCTTACACTACGTACGATCCCTATTCCTCCTACGACCAGTACAAGCGAGATGTGGAGGAAAGGGGAGACGACCACGGTCACCATCCTCCCCCGCCCGATACCGACTATGGAAGCTATGCCCCATACAAATCATACGCGCCTTACACTACCTATGGCAGCTACAAACGTGACTTAGAGGAAAAGCGGGGTGATCACGACCATGGTCATCCTCCTACACCTGAGACTGATTATGGAAGTTATGCTCCATACAAATCATACGCCCCTTATACTACCTATGGCAGCTATAAGCGGGACTTGGAGGAGAGAGGCGAAAAGGGTCGACCTCCTCCCCCTCCTGATGATTATGGAAGCTATGCCCCATACAAGTCATATGCCCCATACACTACCTATGATCACTATAAACGAGAGGCGGAGGAGAAGAGGGGCGAGGATGGTCACCCTCCCCCTCCACCACCTGACTCTGGAAGTTATGCTCCGTACAAGTCCTACGCTCCTTATGCCAGCTATGGTTCCTATTAGCTGGATGTGGAGAGCACCGAAGGAGGTGTTGAGACCCATAGGATAGGAACGTACTGGTAACAGGCAAACCTTTCTGGCCAGATTCCTCATTTTCGGGATTACGTGGTTATGTCTTACAGTGAGTTGTCGGTATTGGAAACTAAAACTGCGAGCTGTATTTTGTCGTTCAATGAAAAGGGGACACTACGTTACTGTAGATGAAGAGCATTCCTTTGGCCCGCGAAGTTGAGAAATAATAGGAAACCCACATATCGAGGAAGTTGTTGCACGCGTTCTGTATGATTGTCTAATTTATAGTAGTCGACAAACCACACTCCTTGGTTTTTTTTTTCTTTTTGAATTTGGCTTACTTGAATTATATATAATATTCAAGCATCCCATATCTGCCAATATTAATTTTAGGAGTCAAATGATATTCGAATTGTCTATAGGTATATTCTAGTCTATTATTAAACTTTCGCTGGCAATCAAATCTAATCAAAAATCGACGCCTTCATCGAGTTGGGCTGGATGTACTCCGAGGCATTACGGAAGCTCATGAAACCCCAACGGATCTGCGCAGCCATGGCAATCTCCACATCCAAGTCCTTAGCAAACTGCCACGCCAGTCCAGTGTCACGCTGGAAGGCACGTCCGACCAGAATGACATCCAGGTCGTCTTCGTTCAGAATTTGGTCGGCCAGCTTGCCGTTGTTGATCATACCGACAGCCGCGACAGCTATCTTCTCGCCAACGGCCTTCTTGACAGCCGTCGCAAACGGCACCTGGAATCCAGCTCCAGAAGTCACCTTCTGCGCGCTGTGCACACCTCCGGTACTGATATCGATCAAATCAATACATCCCTGGGCCGCGAGCGCCTTGGCGAACTCCACGGTGTCTTCCAACTTCCAACCCTTCTCCTCGGGCTTGCTCGTCTCCAACCAATCAGTGGCGCTGACGCGGAGGAAAACAGGCATGTTAGGTCCGACCGTGTCGCGAGTCAACTGGGTGATCTCAAGAGACAGCCTGATGCGGTTCTCGAAGCTACCACCGTACTCGTCCGTGCGCTGGTTCGCCGACGGCGTGAGGAACGAGGAAAGCAAGTATCCGTGTGCGTTGTGAATCTCGATGAAATCAACACCCGCCTGCAGAGCGCGCTTAGTCGCAGCCACCCACGCGTCCTTGACTTCCTGGATATCATCCTTGGTCATAGCCTTAGGGACAATCTCGCCCTCCGCGAAGGGAATCGCGCTAGGGGCCTTGACGTTGTCCGTCCATCCGCCGACGGCGTTCGTAGCCGTGACGCCGCCGAGCCAGGGCGGGACGGTCGAGGCCTTCCGGCCAGCGTGGGCCAGCTGGATACCGATCTTTTGGCCCTGCGAGTGGGCGAACTCAACGACCTGCTTCAGGTAGTCGATTTGGGAATCTTTCCAGAGACCGACGCAGTGGGGGGTGATACGGCCTTCGGGAACAACACCCGTAGCCTCGATGATCATCATTCCGGGACCGCGCTGCGCAATTCCGCCGTAGTGGGCGAGATGCCAGGGAGTCATGTGGCCGTCGTCAGCGCCATACTGGCACATAGGAGCCAACTAAGAGTACAGGTTAGCAAGTGGGTTGGTGGGAAAGGGGAAGAAGGGATCATACTCCAAGGCGGTTCTGGAATGTGGTGCCTCGGATGGTGAGAGGCTTGAACAGCTTCGGGATGGGCTTTCCGCTCGTTTGGGGATCCCGCGCAGTACCGGCCGGCGGGCTCTGAGCGGGCGTGAAGTATGAGATGCCGTCAGCGGGCTTGGTGGGAACGTCGGGCCAGTTTGCCATTATGTATGTGTATTTATAGGGTGAATATAGTACTATGCAGCCACAAGATTAAACGTCTGACAGGGGTTAATGCTACTTTATATACTCTACCTCGGAACAAGTGGATATGTCTAAAGCGATTGCAAAGCACAAAATCATCCGATGTTTGATTTCTAAGATACCGGCAACTTTTCTTCTGTAATTTATAACCCGCGGTCCGGTGCAGAATAATTTAAGGTCATTCCTAATGTTGATCACTGCTACAGCCATGTGCTGACCAAAAGTCTCCGATTTGTGAATGCAACTCGGTCGAATTTGCCCCCGAGCAGAAACTTCCAGTGCCTGAATCTGGAGAACTCGGTTAATCTTCCGGCAGAGTCTGCGAATGGAATGAATTTGTCGGTTCGGGCGATCCACTCTGTCCTGGGCAATGTGACGGAAAAGTGGAGACGATGAATAACACTCTGCTGGTGGCGGGTTTGACCGACATTTGAAGATCCGAGAATCCCATCCTGCTTAATGGAAGCCGGAGCTTCTGTTCGAAAGGTTAGAGACGATGAGCGTTGTTGCTGTTGATGCTGATGATACAGTTGCAACCATGGCTCCACATAACTGTATTCCACAATGAGCTGTCAGCAACCTCAGCAATCAAACCACAAGGGAAAATCTGCTTGTATATCAACACACCCGACCTAGAGCTCATCATGTTTCTTGCACGATCCCGGTTTCTCCCATGCGTTATGTGTCATCAGGGCTACCTGTGAGGCACCTGTTGCAGCCAGCTGAAATCCACGAATAGTGCCCCCGACAACTTCAACTGACTCCCCAAACACTGACTGAACAGCTCTCTTAATCAACCGTCCATCATAATGCGACGTTAAGATGATGACTCGATCGACCTCCTCTGGCGTCTGACTCTCGTCGAGTGTTTCCGAACTTTCCTTGTTTCGCCATCCTGTCTTATACATTAGCTACAGCCCTTATCGACCAAATTGATGGAATGAAATGGAATACCAACCTCTCAGGGCAACCATCACACTCATGATGTTTGCTGACAGCGAGTCCACAAACGTTTCTTCCTCTTCCTGAATATCTTTCCACTTCAACACAGCCTGGACACTCCCGTCTCCCCAACCCATCAAGTCCAGAGGATACTCATCATGATGCTCCTCTTCGGGTTTCTCCTCTCCCATTACCTCGGCGTAGATGTCATCTCGGATCAAAAACCTCGCTTTCTTAATGGGTTGCCAGAGATCACCCTTCGAGGCTCCCCATGCAATCTGGGTCTGCATTTCCTTTGACTCGTCAATTAACCTTTGCGCTAGCCGTCTGTTGATATTCGCGCTGGCAAAAGGCTCCAGCGGCAAAAGAACCCCCTTGATCGCATTTTCATCGTCTTTTTTTCCGGTATAGACAGTCCGCAAGTCACAGTGGTATTCTCCCTGGTCGATAATCAAGTATCGAAGTCCTTTTCCGCCCCTGTGGTCGTCGTCATTCGCGTAAGTCACAGCAATAGATCTCGGGAGAACGATAGGGCTGGTCCAGATGCCAAGTTCCTCGGCTGCTTCGACAATCAGGTCGTTGAGCGTCGAATTGAAGAAACCGGGGCCGGTGAAGGTAGCGGATCGAATCCTTATGTTGTGCTCTGTCCGTGCGTGGTCTCTGACCTCCCGGAGCACTTTGACGAATTCGTTTTTGATGTCCTCCGGTGGTATAGGGCCGACTAGGTGACCGTCAGCGGCCCCGAGCGCTGCCGAAACGGTGTTGAATGCAATTGACAAAGCACCACCGAGCCAGGGCGGGAGGCCCACGTCGTGTAGATATGGTAGATAGGGTTCAACGACAGACACAACAGATTGCACGGCGCTCTTGGCCGCCTTGAGAGTGCCAGAAGTTGCAAGCTGCCTCTTCTTCTTTGCGAACGGTGACGGATGTTCCTGCGAATGTAGCAGCCGCAAACGGAGCATGGTTTCCCGATAAGAGTCATCTAATTCGGGACGGACGGTCGATATAATAGTGACATTATTGGTATCATAGGCATACGCAGCCGTGCTAGCATTCTCGATCAGTTGGGTCGACTCAAACGTCCAGTCTCGCTGGTAGACAGATAAATGATCACTCACACTAATTCTGGCCCAAGGTCGATTCCGATAGGCTGCATACGTAGTCTCGCATGAACCTGCAATGCCAAGGTAAATGTAACAAGCAGACCGGTGATCTGCCAGCTACCGGTGGAAACTTTCATTGTTTCTCTTTATCGGGTCTCAGTGGAGACTGGAAATTGAAGATCGATCCCTCCCCTCAGACAGGGCAGAAACATCGTTTTTCTAGGGACGTGCTGACTCGATGCCAAGAACCGCTAAGCACTCTGTAGCTTGTGGCAAAGTACGCTATTGGCGCTATTTCGAGCTAACGCCAATGAAGATGTCGGCAGAGATTAGCGGAAATTGGATTTTCGGGGGCAATGTTGGAGGCAAATTTCATATTCATTGCTTGTAGACAATCGCATGCATCTTACATTAGAGTTGTAACTATAATAACATTCACGGTGAGTTGGGTGTCCAAGAAATGACTCTAATAGAAGTATATAGTTCTGGGGAGTTGCTTGAAAATTTAGCATTTTCGCACCCGAACATATTTGAACAGCCCCCAATCGTCTAACCGAAATTATCGGTAGCCTCAGCATGTGCTGCCTAATAGGCCACGATGTGCCTGGTTTCGACAAACCTAGTACCAGTTCGATGTCTATCTACTTTTGGTCACAGATCACCGATTACCCACGCAACATACTCTAAGTTATATTCCTATATTGAGTATGATATATATCTTGTGAAGTTATCCATTAATTACCAGCCATATCATTAAACACATAAAGACTTGTGACAGTCAAGAACCTTCGAAATCGGCCCAGAATCAGGAACAAACACTCTACTATTTCTGCGAAGTGTCGTACACTGGCAGCTCGTGTTTCATAGGTCCCTCACACCCCGGAAGCTCGCTAGTTTCATGCGCCACGACATTGCTCGACAACTCGAATTTCAGCGCGCTGTCGTTGCCATATAACTCGGGCACTGGCTGCTGTTTCGTGGAATTCTGTCCACCATCAAACGGCTTCCCAGAGGCTCCATTCATCACGATACCCGCTGCATTGCGCTTCTTCTTTTTCCGGACACACCACAGCATTATTCTAAAGCGATCAGGCCTACAACACCGACCACGCCACCACCCACGATCGCTCCAACGGGCGTCGAAGACCCCAAGGACCCAGTCGAGCCCGTCGCCGTGGCAGACACTCCGCCGGGCAAAGACGCCGTTGTCAACCCGGCGTTGGCGTACGATTTCAATTCGAAATCATCAATCCACGACATCGACGCCGTCACGAAGTACTCGCTGCTGTTATTTGTGTTCGTGTACGTGGCTGTGGGCGCTACTGTTCCTATATGAGGGAATGTGGTGTCCGTGCATTGAAAATCCATCACGCCGAGATCAGGCCACGTGTGTCGTGCGCAGAACCCCCTGGCCATGGTAGATATACCACACGGCAAATGGGTCGTCAGTTTGATCGAGCAATGCGGTCCTAGTTTGGACGTCGGCCCACTCGTAGCACTTGGTGAAGAAACCGACACACCCTGCGTCGCCGGTCTTGGCGCAGCAGGCCAGCATACCGGGATAGACGGTGTTCGGGGCGTGGAATCGACATGCTGAGTCGGTGCCGCACTGACGGACCACTTGAAGATGAAAGAAAGGAAAGTTAGACACCTTGCTGTCCCTTGGAGGCGTGGCTGGGCTTGAAAGGGCCCATCTAGGTTGACCTACCGTTAAAATCGCCGCTGGTGTAGAACCCGCATGTGTTATCGGAGACGGTGGATGTTGAGAGGTCGAATCGTTTGAGTAGATGCGGTGGAATCCCCGGTGTGGGTTCTGGGTTCCTTGATAACGTTGTCGTTGTCCGGCTAAATGCAGTGGCTCGAGGTGCTGGGAATGTGATGGCTTATACCACTCCGAGGAGTACTCACCATGGCTTTGGTGATGGATTGCCTCCCATTGTGAGTATGATCGTGGTATACGGGGTGCCTGGAAGACAGGATTCTGTCTCGCGAATCTGGGTGTTGTGAGTTACATACCAGAAAGCTCTAGATGTCCCCTAACCTGCTTGTTTCTTGGTATTAATTGTCCTAAGAGTCCTTTCCCTACGGGGATGCATCCTACGGTTGGTGGACAATGCCATCTCATTGGGCGAACACTAAACATTGTCTCGCGACGATTCGGGCTCGTTTTCGTTTATGCGGTAGATTCTGAAACCAAGACTCTCCGTGCGGTAGAGGTTGCGGTTAGAGTTGACCATGAGGATTAGAACGAGAATGAGATTATAGATGACCGATTCACAGAGCCACAAGAATCAATTGAGTTCCATGCAATAGCATTTCATTGTGTGTGATAGGCGGGTCCAGACCCACTGCGGGCCTTGGGGGCCAAAACTGGAGTGTTGATGATCCCTAGGGCTCGGTATGACACTGCATAACACCATAGGGGTCATTAAAACTGGAGAGGAAAGAATTTTGTACGGAGTTCACGTAAATTTACAACAAGAAATTCTTTCAAAAGCCGTTTGATAGCAAGCGTTAACCAAAGTAGACCTGACAAAAGACGGATGATTCTATAAATGCTTGCAACTGTGGGTGGGACTAGGATCAAATTTTTCCAACGGGACTACTAATAATAGTGCGAGTATCAATGAGCCTACTCCGTACTCTTTTTCGGCGGTTTAAACTCGTTCCTAGCGCCGAGTATAATAGTCTGTCTATGCTGTGAGTTGTGAAATTGTGACAGACCGGCTAGTTGACGTGTCGCCACGGAATTCAAGGATTTAGCAAGAGGATACACTAGTTAGGGGAAATCCCTTATTCACACCAAAAAGAGATACCTTATCTCTCTGTGTAGACCGCTAGCATATTTTGGAATTTTTCAAGAACATCGAATCCCGGTGTATGCGGTGTTGGGGCGGACGTTGCTCATTGCGCATGTTGATTGATGTCTGTTTCCTCGTTGCAGGTCGCAAAGTTCGGTCCTGCTGTGTAGGGAAACATCTGCATCATAACATGTTATCCACAGCTTGCTTGCAAGATCATGGAAGTTAAGATCAAATAGCCTTGACATGACTGGCCATCAACCAACAAAACAAAAGATTTACTAATCACGACTGGGAAATGTTCAGGCAGCCAGGCAGAAAGCCCACGCAGCCGCCTTCCGCATAAGGTTAGCCCGGCCAGTCGCTCCGCATTAGGAAGGTGGCGTGATATTATTGATGCCTCAGGCATGAATCCCTGTCCATCCTATTCTTTTCCAAGTTGTAGCCTCCGTACTCCGTACATACATTTGGTGTCAGTTCATCCAATTCCGAGCGCAGGTCTGGGAAACGATGATTACAATAAAAGTCTGCCCTATGTTAGGTTATTTGATCGGTGATGTCGCTATCTGAACTATGAGATAATATGTTCATGATCTCAAGGATTTACACGCAACTTAAGATGCTGCACAGCCTAGACTGCTACGCATCAGAGTAGAAAAAAAACGCCCATCATCACGTGGGCAGTCTGCTTGTACCCACAAGTTTTTAACCGGATAAAGGGGGAATTGGACCAAAACCTGAGATTCTTGGATACCAACGCTCGTACCACAGGTTCGCCACACGTTACTTTTGTTGATGACTCTAAACGGCCGCCTTAAAACCAGTCACAGCTCAATCTACCACGGCGGATGATGAGGTGGATGACGATTTTGGTAGTTGTGATCGGCCTACTCCGCACTTCAAAAGGCTATTCCTTGCAATCAATCTAGTCCAACGAACGTTCGATGAGGATCGTAGCGATTTTATAATCACTGATCGACAGATCTCCCTCGTTTTCCTGATTCGAGCCCCTGCCATCTGGGGTTCTAGAGTTCTGGACTGCTTTTTACAGCATCCCTCGAGTCAGTTGCACTTGCACCCGGCTGATCTAGATCTTGCACTGTCTGGGGAAGGAAAAGAAGAATGCGTTGTGACAGCAGGAATCATTCGTCTCCGCAGACACGACATTCATTGGGCTCTTCTGTAGAAGGCTCTTCCCAGACGCAGGCCCCACGCAACCGGCTAGAATAGAGTTATGTTGTAACCGCTCGGGAGACGCATATCCCGGGACGAACTGCGTTTCGCGGTGCATCAGCAGTTGAGGTGGTACGACGTCCCAGAGCGGTACAGGGGGGTTGCGAGGCGGGCGACAGCCACTCATTGGGTTGAAGCTTGAGCAGTAGACGTCATATCGCGATGCTCGGCCTTTGAATAAGTTTGCTCAGTAGCCCGTCTTCCTTCAGATTGAGGGCCGCCGTCGAACGGGAAAAGGAATGACGTGGGAAGGCCCACACCCGCAAGCTTTCCGGCCTGCTTCTCCACCAAATCACCGGCGTAAGGGGGTCTCGTCCGGCGGATGCATCCCGCAAGTCTATGACGGATACAACTTCCAGCTTTGCTCGACTGGCTTTGTGAAATGCCCTACAAACCACCTCCGACTTGTTGTTTCTCCTCATTGTTCCCTCCCTGGTCGTCCCAGATCCGGGCCCAGATCTGGAACGGCCTGCCTGCGTTTGCACATTATTTATAGTAGTCACGACCCGTGCTCCCTTACTGCTCGCTTGGGTCTAGACTTTTTTTGTCAACTGGTCATTTTTATGTTAACTGATAATTACTACTTTGCTCTCTTTCCATACCATTTTCATTATTTCCGCTATTTAACACTATTTTTTGCACCATTGGCTTTTGACACGCAAAATAAAGAACATGACCGCAGAACTCAATCTCTACGGCCCAGGCCCCGACTTTCTCTCCACCGCAGACCCTACAGCCACCGACTCCTCCCCGATCTTCTTCAACAACCCCTTAGTGCCAGATTGGCTTGAGCTGCCGGCCTCTCTTGGCCACACTGAACCGAGCTATGAATCTCTATTAGCATCCACCCCGTCGTGGCCCTCTAAACCCACATTGAACGAACCGACACCCGCCCAACCACAAGCCCCGCAGCGATCCGGACGACGCAGCACGCCCTCCAAACCCAAGAAAAATGCAAGCAAAGAAGAAAAAGAAAAGCGGGAGAAATTCCTCGAGCGAAACCGCATGGCCGCCAGCAAATGTCGACAAAAGAAACGCCAGAACACAAACCGACTACAAGGCCAGTTCCAAGTGGCGGCGGAAAGCAAGGCCAGGCTCGAGGCCGAAGTAGCACAGCTCCACGGAGAGGTCTTATACCTGAAAGACGAGCTCCTGAGACACTCGCAGTGTGATGACCTTTCCATCAAGACATACCTGCAGCAGATGGTCAGCCAGGTCACGCACCAGGAGGAACCGATCCTACGAACACCGGAATTAAGTGATCCCCCGGGGCCGCTATCTTCGTCACCGGATAGCTCGATTTCCGCGCACCAACAAGAGCAGCAGGCAGGGTTTGACTTCGACGATTCCCTGCAGCTGTCGGACTCGGCCATGCAGGAGCTTGACACCGCTCGTCGCGACTCGGAACAGAGTCTCCTGAGCACTACCTGCACCTTGTTCTCGGATGCGAGCATCGACGATATGATTGACCTCGTTTGATTCATCTTGAATCCCTGCGTTCTATATTGCCTTTTCCTTCTCTATTGATAATTGTCTACATGTAAATACTCTCGGTATGGCGTCACATTCTTGTTACGAACAGCTACGAAAACAGGTCTGCTTTACTCGGTCGGGGATCGGCGTTACAAGGAGGAGAATGTCTGTATCTGGAGCCATTTTTGGTCAGGCGTGCACAGATTCTCTCGTTATCCTAGCTTTAGCTTTAACTTCAACCACAACTACTTCTACATAATCCTACCTCAGGTTCTTCAATGTGATCTTCCGACCAGCCACCACCACCACATCCAAGTCTAAATATATATCCCGCGAATAACCGCCCACCCTATATCGTACAAAAGACCATGGCACCTCCCATTCCACGGTTCTTCTCTAGAAGTGATCTTCTGACACCCGTCTGTCATCGGAAACGATCGATGGGGCGCCACAGGGTCCTCCTCTTGCTGGTGCTGATCCGGCAATATTTCGGCGTGGTCCGGGCTTCGAGCGGCTTTTTTTGTCAATGACCGACATTTGGCTCATGTAACAATAATTCCGGGCAAATTATTATCTGATGGGGTGATAGCTCAGTTGGGAGAGCGCACGACTGAAGATCCACTCAGTCAAGTCAGATTCGTCTGGCAATCGTGAGGTCACCGGTTCAATCCCGGTTCATCCCATTATCTGTCCTTTTTTTTGTGTTTGCTTGTGTTCTCGGTAGGTTTTTTTTAGGCTGCGTGGAGTCGGTCGGTGGGGCGTGTCGAGACTAGGAGAAGAGACAGAAAGGAATTGACTGACTTTTCTGCCAGGTCAGGAATCAGCGATAAACACATGGTTTTTGTATGCTTTATCAACCTTCTACATACCTAACACAACGCAACTCTCTTGGAATATCACTGACGCGAATGTCATAATTATGTTGTGGCTGTGGTTTATCAAGGTAAGAAGAGAGATCAACCTCATTTACCACGAAGGGAAATATAATATATATATACTTGACATAACTTCTCCAAAATCATTCACTCATGCCCCAAAACAAAAACAATAGCAATTCATCCGCCAATACCCAAAGAAAAATGTATACTGGGCCAGGCTCCTAGATAGTTAGTTACCCCCTAAGCACCCGATTAACCATGTAAAACGCCATACTCCCAAATCACCAAACAGTACACAGATCCAGCAATCACAGACGAGACCTTGGCCCAGGAAACTTTCTCATCGGCATAGGACCCCAGACAGGCGCCATTCTCATATGAGGGGCCCCAAAGCCCACAGGGACAGGCTCATGGCGAGAATACTGCAAAAGAAGTTTGGTGAGGTGGGACATCCTGATAGGCTTGGACAACATGTCGGTCATGCCTCTCGCACGCGGCGTCGCGTAAGGGTGGAGACCAATGATAGGAGTCATTCTAATCTTGGGATCGTTGACAAAGGGTGCCTGCGATCGGATGATATCGGTGGCTTCGACGCCAGCGACAACGGGCATGGAAATCTAGGTGAATCAGTCAATGATTCATGCTTGGTTTTGCTGGCTTTCTGTAGAACAGAACTGGGTAAACGGTAAGTGAAGTGATCTACATACATCCATCAAGATGATATCAGGGCGCGGGCAAGTATCAGGCGGACCGGCAAGGTAGTCGAGGGCTTCACGGCCATTGTTCACGATCGCATATGAGCAGCCGCCGATCCTCTTGAACATTTTCTCGCAGATGCGCTGGTTGACGCGGCTATTTGAGACACAGTGAATCAGTTGGATCAGTGAGATACTATGTTCAAAAAGCTTACTTGTCTTCAGCGAGTAAGATGTGCATATTAGTCCTGATAGTGTGTTTGTTGATGCGCACTTTTTATCGGGACGTGGTTGCGGGGAGGAAGCAGGGAAGCCGTGTGGGGGGTGAGGATCTCGAAACAATGCTAAAAGACGCTGGGCGATCGACGTTTCTGCCTAGCCACTTTCCTGTTAGCTGCTGTGCGCTGATTCGTTAAGCGAGAAATACCCCAGTGTCGGTTGTATTCTACCCCGCTGTTCAGTGAATAGGTATGATTCCTCCATGTCTCTTTCACGACAACTGCTCGTCTATACTTGATCTATAGCCAAATACACGACCATGGAAGAATTGTGGATTCTTTCTGCGACTACAATACAGTCTCGATTCGAGAACCAAGAGCTGACTGTCGAAGAACATGCTACTTCGCTCCTCCGTCGTATCTTGGAGCGAGACCACCATGTGAGAGCATGGGTTTATTATGACCGTGACGCTATCGTTGCTGAGGCAAAGAGACTGGACAGGATATCTCGCCAATGAAGAGGCCCTCTCCATGGCATCCCTGTGGGAATCAAGGATGTGATTTTGACGATAGGTTATTGACAACCCCTTACCTCATGAGTTGTATACACATAATGACACCGATATAGATATGCCGACGAGATATGGGTCTAAAATACACAAGGACAGCTTTCCTGGTGCCGACGCCCCAGTCGTCTCAATTCTGTGTAGCGCAGGAGCCCTCATCCTCGGCAAGACAGCCACCACTGAATTTGCCGCTACGTCTCGCGGAGGGCCATGCGCGAACCCGCATAATCTGGAACATACACCTAGAGGTTCGTCGTCCGGCTCAGCAGCTGCGGTGGCAGATTTCCATGTGCCTATCGCCCTTGGCACGCAGATTGGAGGGAGCATCATACGGCCGGGTTCGTTCTGTGGAGTATATTCTTTAAAGGTATGTCGACTCCTTGTTGATTATGGGCAAGTGGCATAAGACTAAGTTGAACGACTTGTGCAGCCTACGTGGATTGTGATATCAACAGAAGGCATGTCGCGATTTTTAATATCATGCGACACCATGGGCTTCTTTGCTCGAACAGTTAACGATCTCCAACTTGTACTCGAGCCCTTTTTGAGTCCTAGCCTAGATACGAACGCTTCACCTTCACCGGCCTCTCTACAGGGTGCGAGAGTAGCATTCTTAAGAACGCACGTTTGGCCCAAGGCAGGGCCGGGAACACAAGGGACATGGGATAAAGCCCATGAAAAACTCACCAACACAGGTGCAGTTGTGGAGGATCCCGAACTGCATGCGGACCTCTCTTCATTTCCCGAACTTATCAAGGCCATTGTATCGAAAGAAGCACAATCATCATTCCAATCTTGTTTGTGCTTCCCCGATTAACCTTCCTCGGGGACAGGCTAACCAATTCTTTTCATAGATATGTCATTTTCGAAAGACTTGTAAGACCCCTGGATCATAGAAATAGTGGAACATGGAATGAGCATCAGTACAGCCGATCTGCTCAAAAGCTACGATGAAGTTGCTCGTTTGCGACCGGTATGGGATGCCTGGGCCAGACAATATGACGTCAGCCTCACACCCAGCGTGCCGGACGAGGCTCCGCGGGGGTTGGACTGGACAGGTGACTCGGTAAGCCCTCAAAAGAATTTACTCAAGTTTCAACGATCGCTGACTGGGGAAATTACTCCAGTCCTTTTGCTCAATGTGGACATTGCTTCATGTCCCGGTTCTGAACGTTCCTATCGCACATGGTGAGAATGGTTTTCCGATTGGATTGTCAATCGTTGGGCCACGATACGGGGATATGAAGAGCCGCAAGATTACTTGAAGAGGTTTTGTGTTGATAAGAGGCTAAGAATAGGATTAGATTACCCCTATTGCAATTTAACTTATCGCTGAAGAGGTTAGCTCGCTTCAATACGAGGTCTAATTTCGGGGTTTTCCGTTGAATGCGTTCTGTATGGTGCGGGTTTTTTGGACTGCATGGGGGCTTATTGTCCGACCACATCGGCTATTGCTCTTAGTTGCAGGGCCAAAAACGTCGGGGTGGTGTCACAAGCCACAACTCATCACCTGTCTTTGCCTCTGGATCGCATTCGAGAAATTTTTCTTTCTTGCTGGCTCGTGCATCCGACCTGTGCGTCCGATGCTGAAACCAGGAATGTTTGATTCAATGCGTTTGACACTCGGAGACAGCGATATGGTAAACGAATTTGATACCCTTACGGAGGATTCCATCGCCGGCATCAGAAATCAAGATTCAAACCGTGGGTCTGGCCAGTGGCCACTCAACAATTTTAGACGCTATCGAATGACCACAGGCTTAGCGCCAGCAAATTTCCACGAAAAGGACCCTCGCCGAATGGACTCGGGCTAACGTGGGGGCAAGCGAGTCCACGGAGTAGTCCGACGCTGACCATGGTTAGCCCCAGCATTCCTAGCGCTCAGGTACCGTGACGGATACAGGGCAGAGACTGCCCGGATTGGATCAATATCTCTAATCTAAGGCGAGCTAAGTCTCGCCCTAACGGACTAGGCCCAGTCTTGGTATGCCCATTGTCCGGCCCTGGAGTAGGCTGCTATCCAGTATCCAAGGCTCCAGGTTGTATTAGCGGCATCGGAGAGTTTGGACCAAGTCATGAGGGAAATATAAGCTGCAGCTTTTTCTCACCTTTTATGTCTCCTTTCTTTCCTCTTGCTGCCCGGGTATCCATTCGCTGAATTATCTGTCGCTCACTTCTTTTGCCTTCCCGGCCACGGTGACATTCATTTGCCTCCATTCCAACTTCAAGTCATTCACTCAATCACAACACCATCACAATGAAGGCCTTCACCCTCCCCGTCCTCATCTCCGCCGGCCTCGTTGGCCTGGCCTCTGCCCGTACCAATCTCGCCGGCTGCGTTTCCTCCGCCACCGTCAACCAGTGGCACGAGGCCAGCATGATCTGGTACGTTCCTGACAGCGGCGAGATCTGCGATATCCCCGACTGCGGTGGTGGTCGCGCTCCTCCCAAGAACGCCCCCGGTTGCGCCGCCTACACTGGCACCGAGACCCTGACTCCCAGCTACCTGCCCGGCTGGGGTCCCAACGGCAAGTCAGCCGCCACCACGGCTCACACTGCCTCCGCGACCACCGTCGCCGAGACCTCCGTTGCCACCACTTCCTCGGCCGCCTCTTCCACCGACGAGACTACCTCCTCCTCTTCCTCCTCCGAGACCAAGACTAAGCACGGTAGCACTCTGATCACCCCCGGTCCTACCCTCTCCAAGGCCGCCTCGTCGACCCCTGCCGGCTCTTCTTCCCCCGTTAAGTCCTCCTCTGCGGCCGGTGGCTCTTCGTCTTCCGGCGGCAAGGGCTCCGGTTCCGGCTCTGGCTCCGGCTCTGGATCCAAGACTGCCTCTGCCTCCAGCGGTCTTGCCACCGGTGCTGCCTCCAGCGTTTCCGGATCCAGCATCGCCGCTGTGGCTGTCATTGCCGCTCTGGTCGGCGTTGTCGGTCTGTAATCGGCTCTCTGATACATGGACTGGTCGGTGGGACGTTCGGCGGTGGTTGATAAATGTCTAATAAGTGTAATGTGCCATCATGGGATACTTTAATGATACGGCTTAATAATATACACTACGAATAGTTTTCTCTCTAATGTAATGCTTCATCATTTGCTTGTTTATCACTCCATAGCCTGTAGAATCTCCAGGTGCTCCGTAAAATGTCTTAGATTTCGGGTCTTCAGCCTTGTCTTGCGATGTTGATCAGCCGCCGATCGTCGCGATCAACATAAGTACCGTGTTCCACATCGGGGTTGTCCGAGTTGATCCTACGGACTGTGTTTGTTAAAAATGGAGAGAATAGCTAGATAATGTGGATTTTGTTGACTTTTTAGGCGAGAAGGTGATATTTGTTTGATTCCGCCGAAATGCAAAATCTACGGTCGCTTCAGTTCCCCGATTTTGCTAATTTCGAGGAGTTAGGTCAAGCATCAATGTCAATTACAATTTGTAAGCCCACCGAGCTTCCTCCAACACCAAATATATCAATTCATTGGCTCATCCATTTCCAAATAATTAAATAGGGCGAGTTTTAGGAAGAGGGAACAGCAATTCTTGATGACCAACTTTATATTAAATTTAAATTGCTGGTCCCCACTTTCAGGCGCACCCTGAGTTGAAGATATATTTTTGACGTCTTGAGAAAAGTTCACTTTGCAAGAGTAGACAATCCGGTCAGGGATATGCATGTAGGCTACTACTACATTTACTAGCAGAAGGTCCTAGGTTTACAAGTAATCAATCGAATGTGAAAGCCGGGTCTTTAACGTGTGAGTAAATATTCATTCCTCTTCAAATGCAGGTTCGCCAAGAGCTATCCGGCCTGGTTAACCATGACACCACAGAATGTGGAAAAGAAAAAGCGACCGGATTTGTCCTACCTGGCGCATGTGTAGTAGGGCAGGTTGAACAACCTGTGAATGACTACGAGAGCAGATGACAAAAGAGATTATCACCGCAAAAACCCGCCGCATATCCTTGAACGATCCTATGCTAAAGAAGGGATGACCCTTTTGGGCGTTGTGGGATATCTTTCGTGGAGATGAACTATGAAAGAGGTCGTTTGACGGGAGACCTCTCCAGCAAGTCGCACATCCCAGGGGTTATAGTCCATTTGTAAGCCGCATGTTCGGTTTGGTACTTCATGTGTTCATGGAACTCTCGAATAATGAGTCCGTTCTGTGCGGGAACCCCGACCCTGGATTTTAAGTTCGAGGCTCGCGTGAGAATGAGAAGAATGAGTCGCTTGTTTGATCTATCAAGTCGTTGCGACCGTCCGCATGTAAATCCGAAGTCTGTTTCATGTGGCGGATGTGAGCGATGTGTTCCAGAGTCATATGGCCAATAATGAGGTGGGATTTATGATTTTGGGAGTTGTTAAGGTTGATGTCGCTGTGGTCGTACGAAGTACCTGCGGTCATGGAGAAATTGTGTTCCAGGGGGGAGGTTTTGGGGTGGGTGAACCGGAAAATGGAGCCTCAAATAAGGCGGCATGCCGAGCGAGCTGATCTTGAAATTGCATAAGTACTTTTGTGCGGTGTGTTTGAGGATAATTACCCAGAGACCATGGTAGAGATCCGATTACCAGGGCCGCCATGTCTATTTGAGTTATTGCTCTCAAGTCAATCAATCAAAAAGTCAGAGTCAAGGGTAATATTAAAGGACTCGGGTACATCGGACCTGACACATGGCGTGGATGACAACGGCCCCATAACACTGCCACATCCTTAACACGCTAACCCACTTGCCCGATGAATGTCTCATATTAGAAATCGAGAACCCCCTTGTACCCTTCACACAAGCCACAGGTACACAGCGTAGCATCGTCGACTTATTATGCAGGGGCCGGAGGACCCTCACAGTCAAAACAATAAACACGCCCTTGATTGGACTCGGAAGCCCGGCACAAGCCACAGATGATGGCCCCTTGAGGAATGTGGATAATGGGTTCCCGGTTATACCAACGAATAAATTGCTCCGGGCAGAGATGATTGGGCGATCATTTGACATGGCCCGTAAGATCCCCCCTTGGTCTCGCTTCGGCGATGAAGTACTCCATACTGGACTGGACTTTGGTGGAGGCTGAAACTTCAGGCTGCTATTTTTGATGTCACTTCATCTCCAGAGCTGACAGGGCAGGTAAACATTCAAAAGGTGGGTTCTTCCCTCAAGCTAGGCGATCGTTCAGTCTACGTCAAGTCATATACCCCTTGAGTCCTGAGCTTTTGTTGTTCTATCATACCTATCACATCCATTCCTACCAAAACAACCAACACAATGAAGTACATCAGCTTGATGCTCTCTTTGGCTGGAATGAGCCTTGCTGGTAGATCTTTCTTCCCTCGAGACACACTCCGCGAGCTTAGCTAACAACGTCAAGCCTGCGGCAGCCTAACCCTCACCAGCCAACTCGACGTCGATACCCAAGTCTCCTGCTCAACCATCAACGGCGACGTCAAGATCTCCTCCGAGTTCATCGGCAGCCTCAGCCTTTCCGGCGTGAAGAAGATCAACGGAAACCTGAACGGAACCAACATATACCATGCCTCCTCGCTGAGCTTCCCTGACCTAGAGCACGTCGGCGGTGCGCTGCGTCTGACGGGTGGATTCAACGAGTATGCTATCACTTCAACGTGAATTCAGCTGAACACGGTTGCTGATCATGATGCTTTTAGGATTTCGATGCCCTCTTTGGACGAGGTCAAGGGCGGGTTCAGACTTGCCAGCACACAGAACCTTCCCTGCGAGCCTTGGGATGCGTTGAACAAGAATGACCGGATTCTGGGGCATTATTCGTGCCAGGCCTATGCTACTCCAGATATTTCCGCTTAGTGTTGTTTTTCTGGGTATTATTGGCGAGCAATAGCGGGCTCGATAATTCCATAATCTAAGTTCGCACCACAAGCCGCGGATATCGCGACGAGGGACAAATTGTAAATAGAAAGCTTTCATCGTGCGAGAAATACATAATCTATCAGGTTAATTAGTCTAGATATAACTAGTCTCGTAAACATAAGGCAACAAATTACATCCTATCAAGGCACCAGTCTTTTCGTAGAAGCCCCATCAGAATCAACCTGCACGGTTATATCGGTCTTCACTCTCACACCACCTATTTCTCGGGCCTCGTTTGGCGGTCGATCATCTTGGCCTTCCCCGGATTGACCTCCAACATGGTACCCGCCCCCACCGTTCGGCGAAGTCTCGCGATCGGCAAAAATAGACATAACAACTGTCCCCTTGCTATGAGTGTGATCGTGCTTGATAAGTTCAGAGCCTTCGTGGAATTGATTTGACCGACTGCGTGACCAGAGACTTCCGGTTTGGTTGTAACTCTCTGAGGACATGCGTATAAGGAGTCGAACGACAGAGGCGCAGGTGTCAAGGAGGATACTGTAGTTCTCAATTCTATGGAAACAAATAATGAGCGAATTCACACTGGGTTTGTCGTAGGAGTGAACACTTACTTGACCCATAAGACGAATGGTACGGTACTGTCTGTTTTAGCGCATTAGAAATCTGAAGTCCATACCTAGGATGTGTCTCGGGTTCACCGTACGTGTAATATCATTCTTGTCGCCAATGGATTTCAAAAGCTACGACTAATGCATTAGTGCTGCCTACCATGATCCATTTCGCAATAATGGTGGGCTAACTCACGTATGTCTTCACAATCGACGCAATCCCAGATAACAACAACGGTCCACTCAGGGTAATGGTCTGCCACATCCGTCGAATACGAGTCTGCCGTGGCATATTATGTAGTTTGGCCAAAAACGAATTCCTGCCGGAGGGTCCGCTGTCAGTGGCTCGGATCGTGAATCGCCACAACTGGATGGCCGAGAGTATGGTGAGGAAAAGGTCGACGGCCGTATTGAAGCCTTTCATAATATTAGCATACCAAGGCGTTGTCGGTGTTGGAGTAGTGGAATGTGATGCAGAGAGAATACCTCCTTGAACAAAATCCATTGTGGTTTGGACTGACGGTGACTGGCAAGCAATCGATCCACCTGATGGGAGAGGATCCCACATATAATGGAAATATGCGACTCGATTGGGCTGTAGAGATCATCATCAGATAAATCGTGCTTTAGTCGATGTGCGAGCAGATAGCCGCAAATACTTTGCCACCGAAAATGCACTTACCGCAATGAATGTGCTTGGACCACACCGAACAATAATTTGTAGCACCGTCAAGAGGTTCGCAATGACCTGTATGAGGATACAGGCCACGATGATTATTCGAATGTATTTATCGGCGCTGCTAAAACACGTGTAAAGGAAACACATCATGCCTGCTCGAGAGAACATAGATGCGAGAACCGTTTGTGATCGATCAGTCGGAATTTGTGAGATTCGTTCAGACATCACCATTTCCCACCTTCCAAGAGGTTGAGATATAAACTCATTCTTTAGTGTCTGTTTTCTTTCGTGGCTGTTTAGAAACCACACATGTCTTCCGAGACCCCAATTAAGACTGAAGTGACTGTTAGTAAGTTCATGTAGATCAATGAATCTAGTCCTTGGGACCTTTTCTGGATAAAAGCCATATGGGATATATATAGACCAAAACCGATAAGAAAAAGAAGGTCCTCGAGTCCCCAAATCCGCTCAGGAGGGCTGACACGAGGAATCATCTAGCGAACCGATGATTTGACACCGATTCGAAAAATTAACCCGAGAGTTGTCAGACCGGTAAGAGCCTAAAAACAAAAACCATCCGACAAATGTTAGATCCAATCGCATAGAGACTTTGAGATCGATAGATATTCACCCAGCAAGCTATTATATAAGGATGACCTTTTTGCATGACAATATGTTAGCAAGTGGCTTCCCTCCAACGACGTTTTGTGATCCAGATTCGTACCAAAATTTGCGTCGTCCTCTCTTAGTAGAGAAGACACGTTTTTAAGAGCTGGTTGAAGTACTCACAGTCAGTCGTCTTGACAAAAATGATCGAAGTATAGAACTCTATACGTACTCGCAGTATTGCTTCAACCTGAAGTTGATATCTGTACTCTAAACTTCGGTACCCAGAATCACCATGACACAGATCTGATTCAATCGCAACAATAAGAGGGCGAGATATCGAGATGACTGTTTAAACTGATACAGAGAATCAATAGGACGCTATATACAGCCATTTTCACTTGCAACCACACAGTTAGGTATCTAACACAGCGAAGAAAACAAAGGGCGAAGGTAACAGGGTTCAGCTTCCATCTGAAGATTTCGTATCTCCATTTTGCACCAAGACCATTACTATCTTGGAGATTCTAAATGAGCAACAAGGATGTGTTCCATATTATCCGCACTATGGGGCTCAGAACTACGCCGTAAGTTAGTCGGTAGCAGGGATCGTAAATTAGGCCTCACAGAGCACAGATGGCATGACTCGCGGGGAAAGTCCAAATCAAGTCACCTATCTTCTTGACCACCAAATAACACACAAATTACACTTCTTACTGTCCTCTCTGTGGGCATAAATTAAAATTACATTATCAGTTAACTAGCTGCATGCCTAACCGGAACAAAGAAACCAATATATTCAGGTAAACCAACGCGTGTCCAACAATTTATTATGTGAATTAGTGCGAAGAACATCCCTGCACCGTAGCATCGTGTCTTGATGGACTGAATTGTCGCGTACTAGGCAATATCGCCAATATGATTTTAAGCGCTAAATAATGCCAGGACCTTAAGAACAAAGAAAGTTGAATCGACCATCTGCCCCGGCCGTTCGTAGTGTTCAATCGGATTAGAGATTGCCGCACGGCCGAATTTTAGTGCTCTAATTTTGAAACCGTTGACAGTCCAGCTCTCCTTTAGCGATTAAATTAGGTCTTTAGTTATCATATGATTCTTTAAAAGCAATTACACTTGCCATTTCATCCACGGTTGATGTAGAATAATAACGGCCTAAGCATTCAGTCATTTAACAGACGCCAAATGAGTGTTTGCTATACTTCTTGTCGACGTCTTGACGATTCGTCAATGACACAATATGTCGGGATATATCCTTCTGTCAGAACAAGCCAGCCGTGAATTACTGCTGGCGACTGACGGATATCATCCCTTGCTTGCTGAACGCATTCTTGCGCCAGGCTGCGGCTCCGTTGTTGTGACCGCCGAGGGCCGCGTGTAGGACCAAGGGGGTGTTTTCCAACTAGACTGAATATCTACATCTATCTACATGAATCAATTGACTTTTGCTTGTTCACTTCACTGTGTACTCAGTACCTAGCTGGTGATACCAACACAATTAATAAGAGATAATTCTTTTTTCATTTCCTGTTCTTGTTATCGGATTTCCCGAATAGGGTGGAGAAATGCCCTGCAGGGATCAACCCATGGTGGTATTCGTAGATCCAGGATGTTAAATGAAGCACCCACCCACAATCTAATTTAATCTTTTTAGGCTGATAGGTCAAAGGTCTAGATCTTCTCTTAAAATGTACGGAGTATTTACCTGTTCGTAGAACTTAGCATCACCAAGCCCTCAAGGCGCACGAGAAGAAACGGTACAGAATCGAGTAGTAGTTCCAGGGAAGGAAGTCACAGATACAAATTATGTTATGCATGAGTATCATCCCCATAGACCATTGGCGTCATCACAATTGGTCTAACTGTTTGCCCTTACGCCTTGCGCATCTCAATCAATCCGTCGCCAACCTCAGGGCGAACCTCATACGTCACTTTCAATCCCGCCAATGCAGCCAGCTGCTGGAACTCAGATGAGCTTCTTTCACGGCCTCCGTACAAAACAATCATAGTAGCATGCAACTTGGCAAAACTCTCATTCTTGGAAAATTCGTGGATCAAGAGCCGGGAATGGGGAGCCATGGCCTGGGATATTTTCTGTAACAACCGCGCAGCCTCTAGATCCGGCAGATTATGAAGGACGTGCGCTAGATGATAGACCAGAGCGCCTTTGATGGGTTGGGGGCTATTCTCCGCTTTGAAATCCCATTCGACGAGGGTGACCCCTTCGATGTCACCGAGATCGTGGTTGAATTCTTGCACCACAAGGTCTGATGCCTTGAGTTGAGGAAAGGCTTCCTTAATTTCAAGAAGCAATTGGCCACGACCTCCGCCAATGTCGACCATAGTCTGAGATCTATTTGCGGTTCCTTCGTCTAGGACAGATTGAAGATCATATCCGACCGACTTCAACCGTTCCGGGACACTGTCAATCTTCATCCATTTGCCTACCATGAAAGTGTTGAAACTGTCCATGCGGCCTTGCTCGGCCATAATGGAGTAGGTATGTTTCTGGGCCAGGCGCTCGTTACCCATTCGTCGGTAAGCATATTGAATGGGTGTATCCAGTTCCTCGAACGGGTAGGCGAAATTCTGCGCCTTGAGCTTTGGCATAAGGAATGCTGCACCGAGGAGAGCCTCTGTCGCACTGGATACAATTAGTCTTGAACTTCAAGATATAATAATCCAGATAGGTTTTCCGAAGTGCGCTCAACGTACAAGTGTAATACTCCATGTTGGGCGGAAGGGAAGGCTGCCAGATGCCGCGTGATGTCGTTGGCACAGTAAAGCTCGTCGCTCGTGACATCGACAAACTCTAAGCCAGCAATCGCAAACAAGGTGTCCGCTATGCATTGTTAGCCAAATCTTTCCAGCCAATAATTAACGTAAAGTAGTTTGAAAGGGAGTCCCGACCGATCAATAGCACGCCTGTTTCAGAGATATTAGCTTCGAAAAGGCAGACTACAGCGAACAATCAACCGACCTGGACTGGGCGATTCAACACCATCCTTCTTGGCTATTTCTTTATAGGCTGCCAAGACACTCTCTGCACTCACAGGCTCCTTGAATGTCACTAGCACATCGAAAAGACGGAAGTGAACCGCTACTGGCATAAAGCCGATCGCAGCAGGCTATAATCTCATGATGTCAATACAGATCAAGTAGGAATCGGAAACTTTCATACTCACCGAAGTGGCTCTCCTCATCAAAGTAACACCGGCCGATATCGAAGCCATTTTGTATGCGGATACAGGGGGTTCGAATGGTCAAAGAGAGGATCACGACCACTGGATTTACGTATGATTGGCATTCCAGGCCCCTGGCTGAACCAGCAATGCATTTTTATATTAGTTGCATTGGCACCAGCTCTTAGATCCACGTTCGGTTTATTTTGGTAGGACCACTAGTTCTCTCTGCCGTTTGAACCTTGCTAGTGGGGATTGTTGCCGGTATGAGTAGGTTGTGCGCTAACGTGGCGTACGTGGCGCCCGCTTGTACGGAATATGCCCGGGATCGGTCCATTTTATGGGCTCCGAGATGGTGTGAAGCTTTGGGCGATGGCGCCGAATGTTACTGCATCACTTGGTGGATTCGGTCTCTTAGAGCTTCGGGGCTTTTCACCTGTGCGACTTTTCAACATCATATTCCTAGGTTCATATGTGGCTTTTCAGTACGGTTATTCTCAAAGGCAGGAATTTATTTAAACAAATGTTCTACACTCGATATGTGGAGAACTCAGGATTGTAACCCATGCTTTTTATCAGCTCAAGTATTTCGTAATTTGCACTATATCACCCCTGCAATCCCTGCAAGACAATTGACGGCCTTGCAGCCGGATGCGAGTTCTGGTCCACCCGTTAATATACCTCCCAATGATTTGACCCAATGTATATTGTCCCTCCTTTCAAACGCCGACCAATGGGAACAAGAACTTTCTTTCGTGCTGTACCCTTGAAGGGTCGAGAACAGTCGATATCCGTCCAGGGCCATTCAATGTTCCGTCTCCTGTTCGAGCTGCATGGATGCCACCCACGGCATTCTCAATCACACTGGCTCTGCGGAGAATCCTTGTTCTGCCACTTGTTCTTCCTCCATTTGCCTTTGTGCTTCCTTCTCCATTTCTTGGGTCTTCCCCTTCCCCTCCCCACCTCCTCGTGTCTGACCTTCTTGCCAAAACCTTGATTGAAAGTCAAAAGCAATCACCGTGTCACACCCTCGGCGATTATGGACGAATCACCACACCAAGAGCCGACACTGCAAGTCCCAAAATCCGAAGCAGTCGTGCAAGAGAAGGGCTAGCGAGTGATGTTTTTGTCCCTGATGTCGAGTTCGATATTAGCCGATGGGTACGACCACTATCAGTTCCCAGGAAGCGTTGACCATGAGCTAAAAAATCACCGAGCACAGTGGAACGACATGGGGCGCTACGTTGATCGTACCCCAGGCCATGGAATGGGGCGTCAGCGTCGACTATTCGGCCAAAGGAGCTATGGCGATTCCGTTGATTGAGGCTTTTTGGACGGTACGATTTCGTGGGTTCAGACTCGCCGGTCGCACATGGGCATACTGATGTGACTAGTCTTCCTGTTTGGTTGTGGCCGCAGCTCATAACGACTTTCATGGTTCTTGGTGCCACACCCTCGAACAATTATGACACCTTTACTGCGTTTAGGTCCCTGCAGGAGTGGTGACAAATTCATAGAGCTGTTTGTCGATGCGGAACCACAACCTGCCGGTATTTTCGACCATTACGTACTGGAGCAAAACTCTTGTCGTCTATATCTTCAAGTTCCCGCTTCTTTTGACCGGCATTGCGACCATGTTGAATTTTTGCTGGCCAATCGGTAAATCAAGTCCTTCATTCCCAACGAAAATTGATCCCGAGGTCTAACTCTCGTCAGGAATTACCGTGACTGTATCTATATTCGTCGCTCAACCTCCCTATCTCTTTAATAAGGTTGAATCTGCCTCTTTGCGATGGGCTCCGATCATTGGCGGTCTTCTTGGTAGGCAACCAACCATTCTGTATCTATTGACTCAAGCACTCTACATCTAACATCAATCGTTTCTTGCAGACTACTCCTTCGGTTACTGGTTCAACCACTGGATACATAAATCCCGCAACCACCTGGTACCCGGAGGCCCGACTACACGGTGTCTGAATGGCGATCGGCGTCATGGCATGTGGTCTCCTCACCTACAGTCTCACCCTATATTTCCAGAAACACTGGATTGGGCTTGCCTTCGGGTGGTTGATGGTGGTGTTTGGGATGATCTCGAGTACTGTGTGAGTTTCCATATACGCTTACCGCATCCTTCCTGTACCAGATTCAGACTTGAGCGATCTGAATCTATACAAAGTATATCTATGACTGGACCTAATGGGAAACGAACAGATCGATCACTGCCTACGCACTTGAAAAATACCCCGACCAATCGACCGTTGTCTCGGCTATTATCAACGCCTGGCGCACGGCGAGCGGTTTCTCGGTGGGATATTTTCAGCCGGCGTGGATCGCGCGAAACGGCATTGCGGCGGTGTTTGGGACACAGATTGCGGTCGTGGTGGCCGTGCTGGTTCTTACTATTACGCCGGTTATTGTTTTTGGGAAAAGACAGGTGAGAAAAGAGTAGATGGGGAGGGTGGGTTGTAGATCTGCAGAAAAGAAAGCTAAGTTACAAGTATATAGAGAATTGCCCAACGTAACGGAAGCAGCATACATTTAAGTTCAGAACAGGACATTTCTAGACTTTACACTGAATCTAAACAGTTCAAGTCTAACACCGAAAGCAAAACGAAATAAAGACATGATATTGCGACAACCCAACGAAAAGTCAACCAGATCAAAAGAAGACAGAATCTAGATAGTTCCGCAATTGCCACTCTTCATGGCCTGAGGCTTCTTCAGAGTCTTCTCCGTGGCTGAGTACAGCACAACCGTTTCTCCGTCGACGCCAACGATATTGCAGAATCCACCATTGGTAGAGGAGACAGAGTAAACAACCATCGGGTTGTCTATTGGGCTGTTAGCAATTAATACAACATTCTCAGGGAAAATTGTGCACGTACCAAACTGAACGTTCGTGCGATCGGTAGGGATTGACGCCGTGTAAGACTCGCCGCGGGCGCCGTGGAAGGTAATCCCGACGTTGACGGCGGTCGCGACAGATGCAAGGGCAGCGATAGCGAGGAACTTCATTTTGATAAGAAAGGCTTGTTTATTAATGATTGAACCTTGTGTGTTCGAGATTGTTTGGATCAGTGATTGAAAAATCTCATTTTGACAGGCAATCGAGGGGGTATTTATATCTTTTCCCTGCACTGGCAATCTACAGAATGGCTCAAGATGTTTCTAAATATAAGATCATATTTCAGTGAGAGCTTTATGGATACAAAACCCAAGACAGATGACGAACACCAGCTCGACCGGTCATCCGGTGCTACGTGACTAGTACGAAGAACCTCATTGATCATAACCAATCGACGCCGAAATCAGGCTCCCTGCCAAGCATAGAGCCTTGGATAGGTCTCCCATCGGAAGCGTGGCAATGCAACGTAGCAGACACATACTGCAAGGCGTGGAGCTCTTAACCCCAGAATCCCCATGATCGACCTATAGATTTTTCCATTGCGGGTATTGTAAGCCACCGGGTCAGCCCTCGTATTTAGAGCCCCCGCTAGACGGATGAGGCAATATTTAAGCATCAGCCTTACACTGCCATCCGACGAGGCTCTGGAAGACATGTCCAATGGGATTTGGAGAACGGAAAGTTGGTTTGTATCCGCGTGGCCAATGCTGACTACCTGTCTCTAGAGGCGTCATCGGACTTGGGCGGCCCTTGGCATTGTTGGAGAATGCGAAAAATAGAAAATGTAGCCGCGAATTTGCTTTCAGATTGTTTTCGATCTCATCACTCATTCTAGTACCCTTGTTAATCCTGTGGTGACCATCGCGAATGGGCAAGATTGAGCCCTTGTAGGGACGGCGCAAGTGCAGGACTTTCACTATGTCGGGCTTCTCCTCTACTGATTTGTATGCCCTCAGGTGTAATCCACTGTAGTACCCTGAGCGCCCGTCTGTGATGATTGAAGCCCATAGCTTTTTCCGAGCGTTTCTTTGCTCTACTCCATCATTGACATCTATTCCCACGAGAGGATACTCGGTTTGAAGATGTCGGGCGACCTCACCAACCTAGTCTTGGCGCATTGGTTGGTGATAAACACAGCAGTCGCAGCCGCAGACGTCCTTCTAGGCGACGCGCCAAGCAGCCATCTGCTGCCGAAGCAACCGGCAACGGCAATACAAGTCGTCCTTGAGGGGAGGTCGCGATTATAAACGGAGGCCAGTATCCCCTGATCCCCTCAGGGTAGTCACCGACCCGTTGGCGGTCACCTGAAAGTAAGCCCACGAAAGGAAAGCCCGCTGGCAATAGACCCTCGAATGGATAAGACATGCAGTAAACGCGAGAGAACGCAAGTGCAAGATGCAGGAAGTGCGGGAGGTCGACTCTGATGTAAATCATGCAATAAACGTGAGAGGTCATCATCGATATAAAACATTCCAGAAACGCAGGAGAACGACGACCATTGCAAGAACAGGCAGGGAGCGCGGTAAGACAACGACGAACTTGACAGCATGCGAAAACGCGATAGGAATGGAAGAACATGCGAAAAGCGCTTGGGGGGGGGACGGCGATTTTGTGTTTGATTGGAGTGCTGTTTTCTAGCACCCAATTGTCGGTAGGGTCCTGCACTTGCTGCAGGGAAATGGTCTCTTTTTCGCTGGTCGCAAGGGTGTGTGTGTCTGTCGCCGCGGCTGCCTGTGCAGCTGGGCGGCGAGCTCCGTACGTCGGGGACTCTTGAATAGTCCACATCTGTCGCGCGGAAGTCCCCAAAAATGAAGTCGATGCCCTGTGAGGCGAAGATTGCGGTCATCGTTTGACCAACATGCTGTTCGAAACGTCCCTGAACCCCAGTTTTGTCGCCGCAAATCACTTGTTCTCGGCTGGTATAGTTTGGGCCTGGGTTTTGTGGGTGGTGCTCGATGATTTGCGTGTTTGATTCCAGTTGTGGGCCTGGAAAGCCGCTATGACTCTGGCATTAAAGCCGGCCCAGGGACGCAATCTCCCGACGAACTTGATGGGATAGATCGCGCTTCCTTCTGCGTGGGATTGTCCCACTGCAAGGCTCGGCAGGGCTGTCCGATGTATCACATACATTGCCGTAATGACGGCAAACCATCCACCGCGGGAGAGGAAGAATTGCGGACAACGGGGCTATATTGAAACTTGTAGTTTCCCCCAGCGGTTCGATGCTGTCGGAAAAAGATAGTCTCTTCGTAGGTTGACATGAAGGCGTATCGGCGATTGAGGTCCTTCATGTACATGCTCACCTGGCCTAGGGAATTTGATTAACAATGGTCTCACAGTAATCACACAAATTTATGGTACAGTAGCTCCCATTTTCCCCCAGCCGTGCGATACTGTCGGACGAAAATGGTTTGACCATACGTACAGAGAAAGCCGTAATGGCAGTTAAGATCCTTGAAGTATATTGCTAGCTGGCCTGGAGACTTTGATTAGCAGTGGCATCACAATAATCACACAAGTTTATGGTACCTAGGATCTTTCTAAAATTTAAACCGCTCGTCACCAAAAGATCGGCCGGGACCCAAGGGGTTTTTAGTTCTCCCACGAACTTGAGCTTTCCAGCCCTTCCATAACTGCCACGGAGCTCCTGACAACAGACGCAATGAAAGCCGTGGGGGTCACACGACAACTCGAAAAACCAACCGGCCAAGAGTCTCCTGCACCTACTAGGCTCTGTAACTTCCAATCAGGGCAGGAGGCCTCCCAACATAGAAGGTGCGCTCACTTTCGTTGCTCAAACATTCAGTCTCCCTTGCTAGATACAACAGCCCGGAACCCAGCCGTACCCATGTTCACGATCAGTGTTCTTCGCAAGTTGTCTAAACTCAGATCCCAATGATCTTGAGGATTTTGGCCCGCTGGAGTCTTCACGGAAAAACCGTAAGATTTGAGGACCTAGGGGATTAGGCGCAGGGGCAGGGGAAACGATTAAAGAAAGCAGAATTGTTATCAGACCATCAACTTCCAAGCCTTCAAAGCTTGCTCCATTACATGTAGTGCGTAACAGCGGTATCTCTTCCGGGCTTGAGTCTCTCCTGTACCCCGGAAGATATATTTGCTTTGTGTCGTAGGGTGTATAGTTCATGTATTCAATCTGACGCACATGTAGGCCTAGACCCGGTGGTGAGAAACGACGAGGTGAAAACTTTCATGCGATTTACCTCAGCTGAAGCCCTTTCCTCTATGTCATATTCTTGGGTCACTTTAGAATTTTAAATACGGTTACCCCTATTCCGGATCAGTCGAAATAGATGGGCTCCCCGTCGTCGTGTCGTTTCCACAATCAGGTTTTCGTTCTTGTGCTCTAGTTCATCAACGAAAGCTAGAAGCATATTGTTGGGGATTTAGCTTTTCTTGGACTGTCAATCCGGCGTGCTAGCGTTAAGATGTGAAATTCGGTCATAGTCGATAGCATTGTTGTTGTCCAGTCTGGTTACCGCATCCTTCACTCCCCGTTCTTACCCCTTTCAGCTAATATCACTTCCCAGGGGCGTTTCAATTTTGTTCCCGTGATATTTCCATTCAACACGCAATGCGAGTTTCGCGAGAAAGTAGAAAGCCTCTCACACCAAAATGCTTTCATTCAGACCATTCAGATAAGTTTCTGTGTGCTGGGATGGTCCCCTTGGAGGACCTGAACGCGATCTCGGACCATGTACTGCATGTATGGACGGTTTTCAAGGGTCCAGAATGTTCAAATTTCACTCTTGCCACCTACCGAGAAACCCATGTTTCCTTCCAAAGAAAAGGGTAGAAGGATAACTTGGCATTTCGGACGCGCAAATTTTCAGATATCTGTGCCCTTTCCAGATTGTTAAGCTCCGGGGCGGTAAGCAAGGACGGGTTCTCTGGCTTGCCGCCATTTTGGCGCATTTTTTGCCGAAAATGCAATGCAAACTTGTGGTAGGGTGCAGAAGAAAAACTGGGCGTGACTTAGTAGGTAGTCCCGCTCGAACTCGTCATCCAGGGAGTTTTGAGCTCACCCACCATTATGGTTGTTCCATCCTGCCATGATCCTTGGACAATCACATCTGGGTTGTGACCAGTAATAGCATGTTCACCGGTTGTTCTATCAGCGTCATAGGGCTCATTAATAGGAAGACGATACAATGCCTGCTCCGTGTTGCTGTTTTGTGCCATGTCTTTGTGCACTCCAGTTTGAACCCCCATCGGTTACAAGTTGACCATCGGAATGCAAATATTTTGATTTTGAGGGCCAGTCTTGTCTCCCTGTCTAACGAGAAAATGGGGGAGGGGATACCAGCGTATCTGACGTTGATCAGAGTTCAAGTGGCCTTCGCGTAGCCTGATTCAGCTGCTTTGACTGTAGCTGCAAAATTGATGTAAGTTATTAGAAGCAACGTTGAAATCTACGGCAGGAGACGTGAAAAGTTCGGAGATTATCCCTTTCACCCCAGCAAATCTATTCACCGTAGTAGGCTTCACAGTCTATGGGATAATCTATATCCAATTCACCAGAGTTGGGCCTATAGAATCACACCGACAGAGCTGACTTTATTGGTAAGTAGTCTGAACTATGCTGGATACGAGGAAACCTTTTGTGTTTAATTGGTCTTTTTCTTTCGTTTTCTCTAGTGCATTGTAAATTGGTTGCTTTGTGAGAATAGCTAGCTAGAGCTCTTCTTGCTAGTAATATTATTTAAGGCAAGTTGGATAGTTAATAGTATCCCTACTGGGCTTTGTATTACACGTTATTGATCATGTAGGGAATATGCCCTATCCACTTCACCTTCGAAATACTAGCCCTATCAAGACAGTAAAGTACAGTAGGCGATAGAAAACTAAAAAACTCACAATTTCGTCCTCTAGCTTTCTCCTGGCATAAATGTTTATAAACTCCTCCTTAGATCTATATTACTATGGAGCATAGGTTACTCATGGGATAGCCCGGGGAGAAACCTACCTTCACCAATTCAGTTCTCTACGGTTGTTAGCCAAGTTCCTCCAGTTCCTACCCGATTGTTTCTTGCATACGGCTTGGCTTTTCTTTAGGCGACAATGTCGCAGTGACTTTATTAATCTCTGACAGCTACGGTAGGAGTAGAATGCTTGAATTTCTATGAAGCGGGCGATGATCGCTGACTAGCCAAGGACTGTAGTGACATGCGCACTAAGTACGATAGGTCGAGACTGAGACCAGTCAACGATCCCTTTCTCGTGGCAACAAAAGACCCTCCATAGGACTGCCAGATTAACCATAGAAGAAGTTGTATGGAGAAGATGTGAAGAGGCGTTGGTGGGTCACTCACTGAGATGGTAAGCTAATCCCGATACAGCCAAGGGTGGTGAAAGACCCACCTACTCGAATAGGAAGTTATGTAGAGTGAAACTGTAAAAATGCCTGCTGGGAAGGGAAAATTCACATCTTTGCAGAAGTCTCGCATGTACCTGCCTGAATCGGGAATCTCGGGAATAATTTTCAACTGCCCCTCATTCCCGACGGCCGCAACGGCGTATTTTCAACCTTTGGAGGGGAAGACTGGCCCTGCGCCCTTCCCAGCAACGTTCCAGAACTGCGTGATTAGAAATGAGTTTAGCAGCAGCCACTAGCCCCGGGTCTTAATTCTATCGTCTGATTGCGGAGTCTTCTTGCATCCTCCATTTGTCGCTGAAAGTGAAAATAAAAACAACAGAATTGGCAAAAGACTTGCCCCGCTCCAGTGGATATCAACCACGGCCAATGACGAGTTCCCCCACGAGGCTGATAGCACGGTGCTTTTCCGCGGCGTGAGTCAACCGGGGAGTCCTCCATATAATCATCCATTCCTTATTGGCCAACAACGCCGATGGCAAGAACTGACCACAAGTATAAAGGTCCGACTGCAGCCATGCTGCAGATCTGCATTCCCATCTAATGTTTTCTCTTAAACAACAGAGTCAAACAGACCGGACCACATCTCCCATCCTCTCACCATGTATCTCCGAGCAATCCACGCCGAATCGCACATCCCAACCCTTCGCCAATTCGTGAAGGCCAACCCTCTCGGCATCCTAACCACCGCCATCTCCTCCTCGATCTACTCATTCATCCAATCCAGCCACATCCCCTGGGTTCTCGACGTCTCCGATGATGACAGCGAGACAGAACTAGGCGTCTTGCGCGGCCACATGGCTCGACAGAATCCCCAGGCCAAAGCCATAATCGAGTCCGCGACTGCCGCGAACCCCGGAGCCACCGGAGGCATCCAGCTCAAAGACGAAGTGATGGTCCTGTTCAACGGCCCGGTCCATCACTACGTCACGCCCAAGTTCTACACCGAGACTAAGCCCGACACGGGCAAGGTGGTGCCTACGTGGAATTACTCCGCCGTGCAGGCCTACGGGAAGGCCACGGTTTATTTCGATAACGGGGCGGAGTCGACGGAGTATTTGACGTCGCAGATCAATGCCCTCACGGACCATGCGGAGACTTCGGTTATGGATTACACTGGCGGTAACCGACCGAGTCAGTGGAATGTGTCTGATGCGCCGGATCGATACATTGGTCTCCTGCAGAAGGCGATTATTGGCATTAAGATCGAGATTACTAGCTTGGGGGGGAAGTTCAAGATGAGCCAGGAAATGGGCGAGGGCGATCGAGCGGGTGTTGCTCAAGGATTTGACAGCCTAAAGACCGAGGCTGGTGACCAGATGGCTCAGTGCGTGCGTGAGCGAGAGGCTAAGATGCTTGCTGCGAAGGGCAAATAAACAGCTCTTCAAGTATGCCTGGAGTTTTCTTTCTTTTGGTGCATGTACATATTTTAGCACAGCAGACAAAGCATTCGAACTAGCATTGTCTTGGTCCTAGATTATTACTATTATTGACTTTAGAATAAGAATGGAAGATTGGAAAATTATCAGTCTCTTCATGGCAAACAAGTCAAAATTACTACATAATTCTTTAAATAAAAACAATTTTGTCTCTACGCTGGGAAATTGATATGATTCAGCAGAGAATTGGGATGTCGCTCCGAGAAGACGTGAAAATTGGAATAGTGAATAGCACAATGTGACGCCGAGGTGAGTCACTCTAAACCCTTAGGTAAAAACCCCCTTCAATGCTATATTGGCAATACCACAGGTCTTTCATCGGGAATGCTGGACCGGGAATATCGGGTCTAGGATACTGTTAAAATTGCAAGTTCGACACAGAGCCATTTCCGCTAATATTATTTCGCGCCCTATGGACCCTCACTGGATCCTCCGTACTCGTGAAGAGATCCTTTTAGGGGTGCTCCGTGCATGGTAGCTCGCGCCAGTCCTTCTGGTGGACCCCAAAGAACCAAACACGTTCAGTCTGAGCGTCATCAATCCCCATACAAGAAAGATTAGAACCGATTTAACCTACATCTTTTGCCCGAGCTTACTCCGGAGTATGCTCATAGATTAGAGTTTGACTCATATATCAGACCATAGCTTTTCAGATCTTTCGACCAAGTTCTGCAACCTACTGTTTTTATTCACCTCCTTTGTTTGTGTCCAAAGAATAGATGGAGTCGAAGATAAACATTTGTTAGAAACCTTTTTTATGTAAATTGTCAATGCGGGTTTCATCGTGCGGTACTTAGCTAGATTACCTTCGCAACTTTCTAATAGAGTGTGGATTTCTGTAGTAGTCAGTTCTACCTCTGTTCCTGTCTCCGTTGAAAGGGTCTCTTCATCCAGTCCTTCACACTCCAGCGATAGCATTGGCACTCTAATAGCTTCTAAGCCATACTCCCTTTATTGACATAGGCCCAGGAGCCGAACGATTGGTAGGGATGCGTTTTACATGGAATAGTCAGCGGATACGGTCTAAGTGCAGGGTTGGGCTTCACAAAATAAATCTTTATCTTTCCTCAAGTGCTTCTCAACACTTCTTGATCCGACATCCCAGCGAGCTCAACAGCCGTGAAGCGCTCTGGAGTCTGGCATGTGACAGCACGTGGCCCACCTCATTGTCGAGCTTCCTCACGGCCAGGCCTTCTATTCCTCCCACAATCAACTATTTCGCCGAGCTTCGGTATTCATCCATTTCCATCTCCGCCTTTTTCCAATCGTGCCTATCTCATCATCATAGTCGCATGATAACATCTTTGTGCGCCAAGACATCCACGGAGCGAGGGAAACCTCCCACAAGGTCAGTGTTTACGATGGCACGACACCGTCAATAGACCAAGATAATTCAAACCACAACATTTCCCCATCTTGCTCAGCTGATGATTGCTAGCAGATGTTGCTGTTTGGGGTGGTTCCGCTGGGTCCAGTCCGGCTACCCAACTTGTACGTCATGCCGACCCATACCGTCCTTCGCTAAACGCCGCGACCGTTGAATGGGAGTCATGCTGTAGGTGGCTGAGCTGCGCACGACTCTTCGACATGCTAAATTTCCGTCTCAGAATACAATACCCACAGTCAGAATAACATAACTGGCCTGATGCGAGCTGGATTCTACATTATGGGATGGCGGCGAATAGTCTTGGGATTTGGACCACCGTATGAAAGAATAACGGACAACAATGGACTGTTGAGTGACTGACTGACGGCCTTGGTAGATGGTTCGCCGTAACTATGGGAACAGGCATCGTCGCCATCCTTCTCTTTTTGATTCCGTTTCACGCGTCGTGGCTATACTACCTTTCGATCGTCGTCTTCGTTCTCAATGCCTTCCTATTTACCGTGGGAACGGGATTAACCGTTCTTCGATACATGCTATATCCGCGAGTCTGGCCTGTCATGCTGCGCGACCCGGTCGACCCTTTGTTCTTAGCGACATGTCCTATCGGCTTCGCTACTCTCATCGAGATGTGGATCTTTATTTGTGTTCCGATATGGGGAGATTGGGCAACCACACTGGCATGGGTGGCGTGGATGATTGACACGGCTTTCTCGGTTGTGATCACGGTGTCCATCGCTTTTCTTTTGTATGACGCTGCGTTTCTGATATATTTATCATATCTCTGACGCAATTCCTAGGCTTTGCCAAAATCACACAACCTCGCTGGACAAGATCACAGCCGTTCAGCTGGTCCCCATTGCAGCAACGATTGTTGCTGCTGGCGTCGGCGCAGAAGTCTCCGCCATTTTACCTGACTTGAAACATATGAGGGGAACGATTATCACATCCTATTTGCTCTGGAGCCTGAGCATGTCTATGGCCATGATGATTCTTTTTATATATTATCAACGCCTCATCCTCCACAAACTACCCCCAAAGCAGCAAGCTATGAGCTCCTTTCTAACACTCGGGCCAGTTGGATTTGGCGGATTCGGGTATGTCTGTTGATATCGACAATGCGGATCCCTTGGCTGAGACATAACCGTCGTTCCCTAGCATCATGTACCTGGGAAAGGTGTCTATCACTGCCTTTCACAAGGGCAGTTCAATCCACCCCATGGTCGGCGATATCGCCTACGTATTAGGGATAATGGTTGCCCTAGCACTGTGGGGGTTCAGTCTTCTATGGCTTGTCTTCGCCTTCGCGACGGTGTTCCGCTCATGGCCCATCCCGTTCAACATGGGCTGGTGGGCAACCACCTTTCCCTTCGGGGTATTCTGCGTCAACACGATTCAACTCGGGGTTGAGTTGTCATCAATGTTTTTTAAAGTGATGGGGACGGTAAGTTGCTTTCCCTTGTTACACCCTTTGGGATTAGTTGAAGCATTGACTGCTCGATCAGATATTTAGCACGATGGTGATACTGCTCTGGCTTGTTGTCAGCGCGGGGACCATTCGGGAGGTTCATCGGGGCCATGTTTTCAATGTGCCGTATCTGGAGGATATCTTCTCGGAGGATGATCAAAACGGCAGTATTGATCTCGAGACCGTGTCTGGTTCTACTTGTTGATGGCAATTTTCTTTCATGTTTTCAAGATTCTACGCTGTATGACGCACGAGGTATATTTTATCAAAAGTGAGAGTATTGTCGTGGCCTGAGATTTCGGGCCGCATTGCTATTACTGCCTCAGGCTAGGGAAGCAACGGCTGCCTGAGGTGCAAACCGCCAAGCATTTCATCAGACCATACTTTGAGGTGCCTGAGGTATGTTCCTATAGCCAAGCAAGCATGCTTAATCAAACTGCTTTCCTTAAATAAGTAAAATTCCCACCTTACGAATCCAATAATGTCCAACCTTTCAGTCACTTCAACGATTACTCCTCATTGGGCACAGGGTTTGTGCCGAGTACTCCCAGATGTGCCCCATATATATATATGCGCCAAAGAATCAAACAATCTCAGCATATCACTAGCTTCATAGGATGAACTATAGATTGTGAAGAAATTGTACAGTAGCAGAAAGTTACCTCCGAGAATTTCTGGATCTTTATTCAGTATCCCTGTCACCGTCTAATCGCTTATGCAAAATGGAGAAGCCCTGTCTCCGTAACGAGGCTATTGAAATGGCGTGGCCGCGCTTGTCCCTAAAGGGCCGGGCTTATCGATAACGGCCCCTGGGCAGGTCTGCTAGCCTTTTCGGGCCTTCGCTAGACCTTTTGGCCCCTTCGATTTTCGGACTTCTCGTATTGTCTTTCTAACACCAGCATCACGACGTGGCGTCAACCAAGACGTTCTAACCAGCCCGTTTGATTTTGTTTTCCATCCAATAACATCATTAGGGATAGCATGTCTAAACACGAGCTCGGTCGCAAGCCTTTCGATCAATGCCAGCGTCGTCAGGGAGGTCTGGGTCACTCCGATGAATCGAGTCAATGGGCCCGGTCGTGGGTCAAGACTGTCAGCGGAAGATGTCTGCTAGTGCGGGGTCTGGCTCAGCCGTAGTGTCAGAATTCAGATGCTGGCAGCCCCTGCGACGACGCTACGACCGAACCATGAATTTAGACAATTTTCTCCACATCCGCCCTGTCCTGTGTTTGGAAACTGCGGAATCCTAGAATCCTCGCCATGGTCGCCTAACCGACATCTTTCCACACCATGCGACAGGTGCAATCTACAAGGTATCCCCCCTTGGAGCGCTCAGGACTTCAGGTCGGAGACTGATCGATGCGATCCCGCATGCGTCTAGTATCGAAGATGAATGCCACGAGGCCGTGCTGGATTTCATCCAGCATCTATCCCCCGACGAGAGTGAGATATTTGAGGCCACGGAAAAGTCGCAGCAGTTGATCGATGACCTTCGCGAGGTGGATAATTCCCAGAAGGGCTCGATCTCAAGGAAAATTGGTCCTGGTATCAGCAAATTCGTGACGGGGATTGAACGATATGGATCGGTGTTGGATGCCGTGGCCGGTTCGGTCTCTTTGATGTCCCCGATATGGGCGTCGGTGCGGGTGGTTCTTTCGGTTGGTGGTCTCTCTCTAAGACTTCGGGGCTTTGCCTGGCATTGGTTTTGTGCCTTCAACTCACAAATATTAGCTTGCGAAAGAATTTGGGGAATACTTTGAGAAGCTGTCGAATATGCTCGAGGAAATCGGAGAACACTTGTCGACTCTTCGCCGATACCCTCGGCTCTACCCTGATAACAAGATCCTCCAAGTGGCCATGGTAGACATTTTCCAGGCGATCGTCCAGTTCTGCGTCAAAGCTCGAAATGTCTTCCACCAGGGCAAAAAGCACCAGAGAGGTGTCCGAGCATTTACCCCCGTAGGTCTCCATACGGCATGGAAAATCGTCTGGAAACCATTCAACTCCCAGTTTGGCGGCATTGTCGGGGACATCAAATCAGCTATGACTCGTATCCAGCACGAGGTTGAGATCTCCGAGAAGGAACTTGCTGGTGAGGAGAGAAATAAGGCGGAGCGGGAACGCCAGCGCCAAACAGATCGCTGGGATAAACTGGAATCCAGTCAGAAATCTGTCACCAAATATATCGACCAGCAGAGGATCACCCAGGTGAACAACTGGCTTGCGCCTGTGAATGCCGCCTCGAATCATAACGCAGCTACCAAGTTGCGGCACGACGGGACGGGTGTCTGGTTTCTCGAAAGTAGCCTCTTTCAGAGCTGGCTGTCGACATCGAACTCGTTTCTCTGGCTGCATGCGATCCGTAAGACATCCGACACATCAATTCAAACCATGTGATGTTCTAACTATAGTTTAGCCGGAGCTGGAAAGACCGTTCTAGCATCAACGGTCATCAACTATCTTCGTGAACACAAGCGAAGCGGAGACGTCGCCCTAGCTTACTTCTACTGCGACTACAAGGACGTCCAAAAGCAATCGCCGACGAGCATTGTCAGTACACTCCTGTCCATGATTGCCTCTCAAAACGACGAGGTGTTTCTCAGGATCCAGGCATTTTTCGAAGAACAGCTCAAGGAAAACCCAGCCTACGCTCCAGAATTTGACGAACTCCTCAACCATTTCAGTCATTTCGTTGGTGATTCTTTCGAAGAAATATTCATCATTATTGACGCTCTCGACGAAAGCGAAGACCGCGAATGTGTTGCGTACGCTACAAAATCTATTTCGGAAAGTTGCAGCTCTTCCAGAATTTTTGTTACAAGTCGCAATGAGGTTGATATCGCTCGCATGTTCGAAGATTTACCAAACACTTCTATTGAGCCGGAGGACGTCGCAGGTGATATCCGGTTATATGTTGAAACGGAGGTTGCAGCGAAGATCAAAGCAAGAAAACTGAAACTGCGTGACCCAAAGCTGAATCAGGTGATCTCCGATCGATTGATTCAAGGCGCCCATGGCATGTTCCAATGGGTCAAATGTCAGATCGATCAGCTCTGTCGACTTCGCAATGACAAGGCTGTCCGAAATGCATTGGATGATCTACCAAAAACCTTGCACGACACATATTTCCGTATCTTGCAGAGGCTGCAAAACGATAACGAAGACGAAGTTGAGATAGTCCACCGTCTACTGAGATGGCTCGTTCGAGGTGTGCGAAATCTCACTCTCAGTGAATTGGCTGAATGTGTCAGCATTATTCCTGCAGAGGCAGAGGATACGTTTGATTTTGATGCCGTCTTCACTGACCCAGAGGATGTAATCGAACTTTGCGGAAGCCTTGTCAGTCAGTCGGCTAACGGATCGGTTGGCCTGGCGCACTACACCGTCAAGGAGTTCCTTATCTCAGAGAGCCTCAAAGGAGCTATGCCTCAATTTTGGGTGGGAAATAGCGACGTTCACACTGAGCTAGCAAGTGTCTGTCTGACATACTTGTGCTTTGATGATTTCTCGGAGGACCAGACTGGCAATGGTGACGCGATTCTGCAAAGGTTTGGTGAATACAAGTTCTTACCCTACGCGGCTCAGGCCTGGGGATCTCACGCCCGTCTCGGTGACTCGAATGAAGATGTCTTTGATCTAACGATGAGACTTTTTGAATCCCCTGATGCAGAGAGAGGAAACTATAAGATATGGTGCCGAATTTACCAATACCTTCAGAAAACAGTCGGTCAAGTTCACAAGGCTTCGAACTGTACCCCTTTATACTTTGCCTCCCTGTTCGGTTTGCCTGCTACCGTTTCGGCCTTGATAGAGAACAACAACGACATTGATATCAGAGAGCCGATGAAGGTTGCAGGTGTTGCTGGCCATGAAGATGTCATCCAGACCTTTCTTGACAAATGCAACCCGGTAGACCCGGCAATCCTCTCGCAGTGTCTCTATGTGGCCGCCTCTCGAGGACATGAAAAAGTTGTCAAGCTACTACTAGACGCTGGTGTTGATGTGGATTCCCGGGGCGGCAAAAACGGAACGGCACTACAAGTGGCAGCTCTGAAGGGCCGTTACGAGGTTGTCTCAGTCCTTCTCGACTACAAGGCAGACATGAACATTGCTTGCAAACGATATGGAGTACCTTTGGCGTCTGCCGCAGAAAAGGGCCACTTGCGCACGTTTCAGAGATTGCTCGATCATGGAGCTAATGTAAATGCTCGTGGGGGCTGGTACATATGTCCCCTGACATCGGCGATTGTTGGCAAGAATATGCAAATAATAGAGCTCCTGCTTGAAAACGCCGCTGATGTCAATGCTCTAGGTGGTCGTCATGGGTGTCCTTTGATGGCTGCTGCACATATGGGCATGCTTGACTTGATACGCTTACTGGTGGACTACGGTGCCAGGGTGAATGATGAGAATGACAAAGGATCTGATGCGCTGTATGCTGCCTGTATGACAGGGAACTTGGCCGCAGTGGAATTTCTTTTGGAACTGGGTGCCGATGTCAATGCCAAGGGTGGCAAGCATCGTAATGCACTCAATGCTGCCAGCGCGGAAGGCCACCTCGATATCGTGAAACATCTCCTGGAGGAAGGTGCGGACGTTGACTTCTTCGACGAGCATTATGGCAATTCAGTGCAGGTGGCTGCTTTTGCCGGACACAGAGAACTTGTGCGCGTCCTGGCAGACGCCGGCGTGGATGTCAATGCTTCCGGTGGCGACCGAGGAACAGCTCTCATTGCCGCGGCTCAAAATGGACACTCTGATATCATTTCTCTCCTCTTTGAGCTCGGTGTCCCATCTGGCGACACACAAGAAATAGACAACGCGATGATGATCGCAGCTAGGAGGGGACATCTTGAAGTTGTCAAGGCACTCATTGAAGCAGGTGCACTTTTGAACGAGGTCAGCACTATGCCAGGGTATCCTCTCTGTACTGCTCTGGAGGCAGCAGCAAACAAAGCACACCCAGCCGTGATACAATTATTATTGGACCGGGGTGCGGATGTGAACTATTGCAATGAAGGCCACTTCAGCATGCCATTAATAGCCGCTATCCTCGGCGACCGAAGAAGCCTAGACATTGTCAAGATGTTAGTCGATTCTGGTGCTGATATAAATGCCATGGCGTCGCCCGACGCCAACTGTGCCTGTGCTCTTGCAGTGGCAATCCATGTGAAAGACTACGACATTTTCACGTATCTTATCGACAAGGGCGCGGATGTGAATTCATCCCGGGTGAACTATTATTCTTGCTTGCAGCTTGCCGCAGAGTCAGATGACCAACGCATCATAGACGATCTCTTGGCCAACGGGGCCGATGTGAACCTTCAAGTTGAGGATAAACCGGAGCTCTCTGGCGGCAAGGCTGTAACGGCACTTCAAACAGCAGCTTTTTCGGGAACTTCGATGACAGTTCGCAAGTTAATCGAAAAAGGTGCACGCTTGTCGGTAGATTCGGAGGAATGTCACTTCAAATCTGCTCTGCAAGCCGCAAGCTTTCGTGGTGATGTAGATGTCATTCAGACCCTGATCGAACTCGGAAGTGACGTTAATGAGGTCGGCGGGACGCATGGTACGGTTTTACAAGCCGCCGCACTTCAGGAGGAAATCGACGCGGTTCGACTGCTCTTGGACGCCGGTGCTGACGTCAACGTGAAGAATGTAGGCCAACATGGCAGTGCGTTGTTTGCGGCTGTTGACGAGGGATGGGAAGATATCGTCAGGCTGCTGATTGAGAGGGGAGCAGATGTTAATTCGGGGCTCACAAAAGAGTTTGAAAATGTTTACCCAATACAGGCAGCGGCTTATCACCAGCACGATGCTATCGTCCAGATTCTCCTTGACGCTGGAGCTGATGTGAACGCGAAAGGAGGCAAATACTGCACGGCCCTTCAGGCAGCAGCCTCAGAGAACGACCCCGATATATGTAGGATTTTGTTGGAGCATGGAGCGGACCCGAACATTGTGGGCGGAATTTGGGGCACTGCATTGCAAGGGGCCTACATTGGAGGCTTCTATGATGTCATCTGGCTACTTTTCGACCACGGCGCATCTCATACCCTTTATGGCGGAACACATGGAACTGCTCTTGGCGCTGCCATCTCCGGTTCCTGCCAGACACTGGTCGCGCGACTTATTCGGCAGTACAAAGCGGACCCTAATGCCCAGGTTCGCAAATATGGCTCTCCAATTCAAGCTTGCGTCGCCAGGCGCTCAGATGATGCCATCAACTATTTGATCGAGGAAAACGCCGACATCAACGCTCGTGGTGGTCTATATGGCAACGCTCTGATAGCCGCCATCGCATTGGAAGATGAAGACGCGCTTACAACTCTCTTGGACGCCGGCGCGGACGTGAACCTCGAAGGAAATAAATACTATCCGTCTGCCGTGCACGCTGCAATTGGCGCTGGTGATCTCCCAACACTCAAGCGTCTCGTTGCACACGGCGCCAACCTTCACATTTGCGGCGGGATCCGCGGTTCCACTCTCGAATACGCCTCATACAAGGGCTCCCTACCCATCATCCGATACCTGCTCAAACAAGGCGTCGACATCAACACCACCAGCCCAAGCAGATACAGCACCGCTCTCCAAGCCGCCGCCATCACAGGCAAACACGAGATCATCAAATACCTCGTCAAGAAAGGCGCGAACGTCAACGCTGTGGGCGGAAAATTCGGCACCCCACTAGCCGCTTCCATGATGATCGCCGAGAACGAATCTGTCGAACTGCTCCTGAGAAGAGGCGCTAACCCGAACGTCAAGCGCGGTATCTACGGATATCCCTTACAAGCAGCCTGCGCGGCTGGGTATCTGGATGGTGTTCTGCTTCTCCTTCACTACGGCGCCGACGTCAACGCTCGAGGCGGCAAGTACAACACCGCGCTCCAGGCATCGTGCACGCAAGCCTTCCCTGAGATCACGGGGCTTCTGATTGAACGAGGTGCATATGTCAATGCTGTGGGTGGAGCTTACCGATCCGCTTTGCATGCGGCTGCGATTATTGGCTGGGAGTATGGACTGGAGTTGTTGATGAAGAACGGGGCGGATTGGAGTTTGGTTGATTGTAAAGCTTCTCAGTTGGGTGCGGACGTACTGGAAAATGCCAATGAGGTGCTACAGAAGGCGTTACAGCGACAGGAGAATGGATGGCCGGAATTGAGCGATTCGGAAGACGAAGGGTCGGAGGACGAGGATGAAGATGAGTGGGAAGACGAGGAAGAGGAAGATGAGGATGACAGCGATGACGATGAGGATAATGATGAGGAAAGTGACGACGATGATGAAGAAGAAGAAGAAGAAGACTCTGATACAGAAAGCGAAGCAGAGGAGAAATTCGTTCTTCCCTGGAACGTGGACTCGATTCCCTTCTTCAACGCGCCGTATGTTTATAGCGAAGTTGTCACAGCAGAGGATAGTGAGGACGACAATACGAGTGATAACAGCAGCGACCACTCTGAATCTATAGGCAAGACATCCTCGAAGACAGGTGATGTGACGCTATTTGAGACGTCGCCAGAGAGAGCTACTGTCTCTGCCGCGAAGACAGATTATTCGAAAGATTGGAAGGACCTGGAATGGTTGCAGATTGGAGAAGGTGATATTGGCCCGAAGGATGATGATTAGTTCGACCAGCAGTGAAAACATGGTTGATTTGTATATAGAGACAGTATAATGCCACTTCAGCAACCCATTAACATATTACCAATATTGTCTCCCGTTCCAAAATCAAAATCCCGGATGTCCAACCTCCCTCAAAGCCTCCTTAACAACCTCCTCAATCGTCTTCTCAGGCAGCCCAAGCTCCTTATTCCGAATCTGACGCGTAGGCTCAAAGTATCCACTATACGACCCCTCAGTAAACCCAATATTAATCAACCCATAACCCGCATACGCTTCACCCTTCTGCCACGCCGCTTGCAGAACCGGAATGACCTCGATTGTGTTGATTGATTTTCGCTGCCACGTTTCGCCCGTGAGATGCTCGATCGTCTCAACGAGTTCCTTTTGCGTGATCGCGAAGTCGCTGGTGAAGATGATTTGGTTGGCCGTGGTGCTGGGGTTCAGGAGGATGCGGTTTAGGGCTAATGCGGTGTTTTTGAGCGTGGTGGTGGAGAAGTAGCCGGTTCCGTCGTTGGTGAATGTTACGGTGCGGTTTAAGTAGTCGAATCCGAGGAAGTTGTTGCGGAGGGACCTTGGAAGGAATAGTCAGCTCACTGTTTAGATTTCGAGATAGGGAAAAGGGAAAGAAAGAGAAAGAGAATGGATATGCATTGCTAACATACCATCCAATCCACATTCCACAAGCAATAGCAGTCCATGTCAACCCACTTGATTCCTTTTCCCGAAGATACTCCTGCACGAGACCCTTTTCCTTAAAGACGGGGGCTAGTTCCTGCGCTTTGGGGGTGTTGTTATCGAGCCCGTACTCGGACGGAATGTAACGCTTGACACCAGCCGTGATAGCGGCATCGATGAAACGGAGCTGCTCGGCGACGGAGAAACTGGTGATGGCGTTCACCACTGCATCCTGGCCCTCGAACGCTTTGACAAGTTCCTCCTGGGAATAGGAGTCAGGGACGGTGATGACCTTGGCTGCTGAGGGGATGCTGGAGCGCGCTTTGGAAGACTCTCGTGTGAGCACGGTGACGTTGAACTTGAGCTCAGAGAGAAGGGATTTGAGAAGGACGCTGCCGAGGGAGCCGCTGCCCTGTTGTTGGGGTTAGATTCGGTGTAGATGGAAGGGGAATTGGGGTTTCTGACATACGCCGACAAGGATGATGTTCCTGTATCCGTCTGTAGACATGTTGATGTGGAAAATGCTGATGCTATATGCAGGAGCGTCGGCTGGATCGGGGAGGAATGGGTTGATCATGAACACAATCACTCAACAGGTACTCCCAGCGATACCTTATCGCAAGCGTCGGGGAATAAGTATAATCAAGCCGTCCAAGGTAGCATCTTTTCAAATCCCGGAGCATCGCGCAACTAGCGACAGAGAAATGGCGAATATTGCCACATTGTGGATATGCCTCGTCATATGGCCTGGTACGCCCTGTAAGTCGGCAGCATACGAAATCGCAAGGGTTGATTGAAAGTAAGCAAAGAACCTAATCTCGAAGTCTCGGTGCGATCAGTAATCATCTTTCGGGCAGTGATTATGCCTCCAATCTAATTTCTGCAGAAGGCCCCAGAATCGGCTTGCCCGACGCCACAAGTTGCCCATTTGCTGTTCTATTGCGAAACACGATCTCTAGCCCCGGGCTGTTCGGGGAGATAGCCGCATCTCGGCTGATTCGTGATCTTGATGCTTATTTAGATTGTGAAAGAATCTGGGTCATGACGCATCGGGAGAAGAGAGGATTGGCTTGAACTCTGGGGAATAAGAGTAATGGATATGATGGAGGAAGGTGTAGGAGAGGAAAAGACAACCGCCCCACCTCAGGATAGACGGCATTTGCAACATAAACAAATTAGACAAACGGGACAAACAGGCCGCCTCAGCCCACCGTCCCAAAGGAGACTAGCGTTGGCCGACACGGCTGCATACGGTCTAAACTGCATTAGGCAGTCGCAGTTCCCGATTGGGAAGGGACCAGGTCGGGTCTATAAGGCACCTCCGCACTTTTGTTTTGGTACGAAATCCATTGCTTCCCACTGCATCCCCTCCTGGATCCATCGACAGAATACGAGGTCGGGCATAATTCCAACTTGCGCATCATCCAATCTCTTGAGCCGCCGCGATGCTTGATGCACTATCCAAATAGATTGGCCAACGATCGGTGCTCCGGAGATTCGCCTTCTTGGATAAGACCCTTGCTACAAAGAATAGGCGTTGTCCGTTTCCGTAAGGGTTTCTCCCATTTTGCTGACGGCGGTGCGGCTCAGAGGTGGCAGGAGGCGATATCCCCTGTTCATTTTCTGTCCGTTTAGGGGAATTGGGTCGGAGTCTCCGAATCATACATCCAGGCCCAGACCTATAAAGCCAGCTGGCGAGAACAATGGACGATGCGAGTTCCTTTCGCTTTTGGTGAAATACCAAACATCCATAACAAAGGATTTCACTATATCAAACTTTACATCTTGGTGTTTCCTCGTTTCATATCTCGTTCGACACAAGATGGGCGTCACAAGGGAAGCAGACCATGAACTACCCCAGGGAATCGATTCCATCATGTTTCATGGTGTCCTCTCACCCGAGGCGGAAAGAGATAAGTACCGCATGGTGAATGCAGGATTGATCGACAATCCGCTTGCTCTGGAGGCCTCGACTGGGACGGATGCGCTAAAGCCTGAAACTAAGCACAGAAGGCGAGGTCGGCCTCGAATGAACGAGAGTGAGGAAATGGCCAATGACGTAAGTATCCATGAAAGTTCAAGAACGCTACATTTATATGATTAACACGATGACGATAGAAACGGAAACGGCAGATTCGCTTAGCGCAGAGAGCTCATCGGTCCCGCAAAGAGGAAAGGATGTCTTTCCTTGAATCCAAAGTCACCGAGCTGGAGCAGAAAATGGCGAACATCCGCAGGTTGTGTCTTGGGATTCGCGCGGCTGTCGAAGGCATGGGAGCTTTAACAACTTCTCTATCTTTGCGCCAGTCTCTTCACCATGACATGCTGCAATTGCTTTCTATCACTGAGGTTGATCCTCGGCCGAATGATGCCTCGAGCATGGAGATCCCTCAAATGCTTGTTGAAAACAGCCATATCGACATTGCCTGGGACGATGCAATATTGAATTTCAACGATCTCACGACAATTGCTTCTCTAGTGTCCAGTGATGACCAGATTTACTCGGGATTCATGCCGAACAGTGACGATCATATTTATTTCGACAGTTTACTGGGGAACAATGGTCTCAGACTGCAATCAAACCTTTATCCCGCTTTACAAGATGACATGTTGCCCCACGGATCAAGTATGCTATGGAACCAGAATGCTCCAGTTACAGTTCCAAGTTACGTATAACCCAAGAAAAAGTCCGAGAAGACGGGAAAGGACAGAATATGAAAGAATAAACGAGAGCTCCATTGAATGCTTGGTTTCTGGATAGACCCAGGCTGAACATGTTTCCAACTATTGTGGCACCCCTCTGGCTAGACGTGGTAGACAAACGAGAGTCTCTTTTTCACCTCTGCTGAGGTCGTTCAATGCCACAATCCATACTTCTCTCCAGTCCGCTTCACGGGTACTTTCAATCATGAAGAGCCCTAAGATAGAGTGTATCTGACTCCACTCTCGTGCTGGAGATCGATGGCGTATCGACTTCTTCATCAATTGACTTTGTGCCTCCCGACAGAACAACAATTTGTTACGGGGTGTCGAGATGACGGTACACATCCAAATCATGCAGTCGATCAGTGCGGGAATTTTCCAGAGGTCGGTGATCGCTGAAAGTACTTGAGCGCGTTGTTTGGGCTTTCGAAATATAAGCGCTGCGGGATGCGTACCCATCGCGCTAATGTCATCGGCCAAACATGTGAACGTCACGAGGATGCACTTTTCGAGGTTGTTCAAATTTCGCGGGCTTAAATATCGCCAGGTCTCTCTCACCGACGCGTCTATACCCTCGACATTGGAGCGCCAAATGGTATAGCTCTCATAGATCTCAAGGATCTCTTTTGACAAATACCCGGAATATAAAAGTCTTTGAAATCCACTGGGCAAATTTGAGATCCTTGCCTGCAACTCGGACTGTTGAAAGGATAGTCCAGCTAGTACCGCCGTTTCCAGAGGCTGATCAGAAATGTTCGTTTGCAAGTGAAACTCCACCATACTGGTCACGACAAGCATGGTCATACGCAGGTTCTTTCCAAAAGCATCTGCGTCCGAGCTTCCGACCTGATCGAACCCACCGCGTATCTGGACAACGTCCTAGAGACCTTTCAGGTGTACTTAGCCATATTCAACGTACCCCAGATAGTCGTCCACAGGAATCAAAAGACATATTGCTTGGATCAGAACATCATCCACTTGTCGACGTGAAAGTCTCTCGTGTAGGTCGCCAAGAAGCCGATTGCGATGATACAGAATCGCATCACTGGTTGCACCGGTAGCATCCTGACTTTCTACGCTGCAGAGCGTGAACGCCGACAGACCATGAAGTATGATGTCATACTGAGAAGCCCATGAAAGGAGCCCGGAGCTATAGGTGTTTTTTGCAGCGCCACCTAGACCGAGAGCGTTCGCGTCGTGGGGTAGAAGGATATCGAAGTCTAGATATGGAACATGCCTCAGTCCAAAGCCAAATTAGCGAGCGATTATACCCACAATGACTAAGAGCATGCAATGTGAAGGGACCCTTTGAGCCTATGCCTTCGATGGGGTAGAATTTTCCGGCCCCTAGCGGTTTCCTAACGGATGGCAGTCGGCTCGAGTTGTCAGTGCGCGATCGACGACGATCACGGCGGGTCTCATCCGATGGTTCTTGTGGGTCGCCAGATCCGGGGACCTGAACCCACTGTAGGATACCTGTCATCTTGTTGGGATCCGGAGGCCCCTTTCTGCTGACGACGCTTTTTTCCGGCATCCGCCGCCACAAAGGCATTGACTGCTCGACGCGTGCTGGCGTCTTTCTTTGAGGAGGGACCAGTGTATGGAATGAACATGGCTGACGACTGTCTGGTACTGAATGGTCTCGGAACAAGGCCTCTATGGCTGAATGTGCGCCTGACCTGGCGTGAACACGAGCAGTGCTCGATATCCACATCTAAATATTTCGAATCGTGAGACGTTTAGCCATGCCGGCCCCGCTTATCAATTTGGCCACATCAGCTCTGGTCATTTCGCTCTATTTTTGGCGCCATGCTGAGTAATGCTGGGATGAGTAGTTAGTTAACTAATGCAGTTTACAAATCAACATTAATGGCACGGAAACTGGTCGAAAATAATCCAACACTGTTCTATTTTGCTAGTGTACAAATGACTCGCCTCATTCATGATCTTTAGCTAGAAGACTCGAATATTCCTTCTGTTTCCGTTCTGCTCCTCATCTAGGTACGGACACCACCAATGCGTGTGGCAAGAACCGAGGCTAATTGTCTGAATAGGACTCGCTCGCTACGAAACCTGGCCATGTCCTCATATAGTCGATGAATCGCTCACTCAGCCCTGATGGGCGCAGATAACTATCTGTAACAGGTAGGTTAGGTAGGCGGTAGTCAGCATGTTTCACAGCGCTTCGCGCAAAGCCGGGGTCCAGAATAGCTGCCTTTCCAAGAATAACAAAGTCACAGCCCGCGTTGAGCACTTCGGGGCCTGGTTGAGTGTCATGATGTGGCCCGATGCGCCTACGCGTACCGACGATCGGGGTAGCTCCGTGAACACGCTTAGCAGAGTGCGTCCAGAGAATGGACTTTCATGGGTTACTTTCCTATAATCCCAAACGGCTAAATCCAGGTAGTCAATTTTCTCTTCGCGCATAGCTCTCGCCGCTACCAGCTGGATCTCGCTTAGAGCTACGCCATACCTCTCCATGGAAAGTCGCAACGCCCCTACAATAATAGCATAGGTAAGAAAAATTGAAGATGGAAGACAGGAGAAATATTCTATATGAGCAGGCTTCCTCTTAATATGAGAGAACACTGTTTTCTAGTAGTCTTAAGCATAATATGTACTATTATTCCTTTACCAAGCATGGGGTCATCTTATCAATCTAAAGGTAAATGGTAGATATCTTTGTGTGTTAATATAATCTTCTTTTTATAGCCTAATTTATCTTACGATCGGAGAAGCTAAGCACTTTATCTGCGAAACTTTCCTCCTTGTTACTATCCAAATTAAAGTCTAGTTAATGTGGTCGATCAATCTCAACCGATCTTTAAATACTGTCCGAAAGCACAAGCTTCTTAAAATGACGCTGTTCCTACACATAATCATACGCCTCTCTCGGCTCTTCAACACAAAACCCGGCGATCCAGAATTAACTACATATCTCGATTCTCTATTTCGCGATTCATCTCGCCGAACTGCCTGTGATTGCCCATTTCAATGCCTCGAACCATACATATCTGTTGGAACCATTATTCAGCTGATATGCCTAAGTCATGTGACTCCTTGGCATAGGCAGCTGATATATCTTCAACGAAGCGAGTAGTCTAGAATAACACTTCACTTTTACCCACCGAGCATATACCTACATTCAGTTAAATCGATAGGATATCTGCTTAGGGCAATGACCAAGTCAACCGACAATATCAATTCACCAAAATATCATCAAATATAGGAAATTAGACTGATGATGATGTCTCGTCGCTTCCTCAAAAAGTTGGGCTGACTACCTTTGAGCCACAAATTCAATCAAGTACTTTCTATATCCCTAGCCAGGATCAATGTCTTTCGTCATCACACGTTTGCCATGTGCAATTCTAAACTTTTGCCCGGGGGACTTGCCCATACTGCAAGCCCGGAATACTGCAAGCCCGATTCCGGGAAGACGCCCTCAAGAACAGGAAATGGTCTTTTTTCCAGATAAACTTGATTTTGGCTGCGGTACCGAGAAATTTGTCACGGCGCGTAGGGTAATCAGTTGAGGTGAGACGTCGATCTCTTTTCGTGAATTTTCCACCAACCATCACATGCTTGATATCCCCAACATTAGAGTGGAAGACAATAGCAGCAACCGGATCGTTCCATCCGAGCATCCCAGGCGAACCTCCGTCCCAAACCAAGATATCTGCCTTTGCCCCATTGGTAATCACTCCCAGGTCGGGTCTTGGAAGTGCAAGACCCCCTTTCCGTGTCACCAGAAAAAAAGCCTGGTCTACTGACATAAGGCTGTTTGCGGTAATCTCCCATCTCTGTAAGAGGAGACGATAGAGTGCCAAACGGGCGCTCTGGAGCCACATGCGCGCTTGTGTAATCATATCAGTGGAAAAGGTGAAATGCGTGTCAATACCTAATGCGGAATGATCCATGATAGTGATTGTTAGGATGATCATGTCCATAGTGCATCTCTGACTCGGAAGTAATAGACACAAACTGATTTGTGCGTCTTAAAAGCTCTGCTCCCTCTGGGGTTAAAAAGCTTGCGTGAGAGCAGACGACTGGAATGGAAGTGTTTAGAATGCCAAGCTCGTATAGGTTCTCGGGCGAATTCATGACTAAAACCTGATTGTTAGTGCCAGAGCGCTGGAAAAAGTGACTATTGTTTGGGACTCGTGGACTTACCTCCCCCGAGGATTTATCGGCAGTCTTAAACCATCGGCAAAAGTGGATTACAGATGGCTATTCTGTAGACGTCTGTATAAGAACGCAGAAATCAACTTCAAAAAATATATGCATGATAACTTCTTATTACCCAGGCTGCCGAAGACAAAACAGAAAGTGAATATCTAATATCGTAGGCTCCAGGGGGAGATTCTTCTATGTGGAAGGCTGATACAGCTGATGTATTATATTTACTACTTTGGGCAGTTTAAAGATTACAATTTTAAATGTATTGGATCGTAGAAATAACCGGATTAGTACCTGTAGCTGACACTACAGTAGTAGTTATGCATTACTTAGATTTGTGCATGTTTGTCCGCATATCTCGTGTGTCTCTTCCTGCATGAGTTTTGAGGCTCATAGGGACTACGAGTCCTATCCAAGCCTAGTTGCTTTTTTAATCCTGCCGCCTCATGATGTGTGGCTTAAAAACCGTTTGAATGCTCCTGTAAGAAAAAGGGCAGCCTCTAACGTCTCGCGAGCAAAGGACTATCAGGATCTACTTGCGAAGATGTTGTTGTCCCGATTCTTGTCTAGTCACTATCATATGGCGCTATATCGCTCTAATGCTTCTTACTGGAGTTGGGTAGAGCGGGTTTATGATCTATTCTTACTGCTAATTTTGATGCATTAACTCATGTAGCGGTCCTATTCGCCTTAGCGACGGCGTCCCTTTCTCTATAGAAAGGGCAGAACCTACTTACTGTGTACGGAGTAGGTCTTCCTGTGAAAGTGCTATTGATTTGTGATACGAATCTATGAGATTACGTGATCTAGCGGCTTGGCTCGCACACTCGAACCCCTGAGGAACTTACCCCTTTATCTATTATAGAAGAAGAGATTAATCGTTATGCAAGAGAATTAAGAGCCCTATCATTCAAAAGGCATTCGCTCCTTAGTAGGCTACGTGCGTGTAGCCGATACAGTGTCATTCTGCCCTCCTTCCCCTGTGCATTTCATAACAATTTGCGTGTGTGGCTTAGCAAGAACCTCTCCTTTCTTCCATAACAAATTTGCCACCAGCCCGCCGAAGTTCTCCTGTCTATAGCTGGTTTCTATCTTTAGCCGGAATAAATCGCTCGGCACGTGCCACAAAAGCCTTGCAGGACGCTAACCGGATTGGGATGGCTCATTGGTGCCACGCTCGGCGAGTCATGGATAAATTCCTCACAATGACTCCGCATTCCCTCTGCTTCACCACGACCATAAACTGCTGCGTCAACATTTTGCGTTTCCTCTATTGAAAAAATGGATAGTCTATAATCAAGGTATCCTCCTTCATGGCCAGCTGGTATATCACTCGGTGCTAATTCCTTTGACAGGCGCGGTTTACCCACAAGACTTACGATGATTTGATGCGCGTAAGATCCAGGGACTCTGTATAGTTTCCTCTCAGGCTTCGGTGAAAATATTTACCTGATAGCGGCTTGGTGTCTCCACTGCTTCGACACAGCAGCGCTCCTATCTTTGCTTCAAACCTCAAAATCGACTTGAAACATGTCTCTCAACATGGAGGATCCCTTCTCAAGTCTCGACCCCACCGCTCTCTACATCCTCCTCTTAGACCGCGGCGACAGCTACCTGTTTCACTGGGCCCTGTACCTGGCAAAACCAGACTCTCGCGGGATGATGTATCACCTCATCAACCCAGACACTACGGACCCCACGGTCTGGAAATACGAAATGCAACTAATCACCGATGCTTCGTATTTCAACCGCGTCCTGCTAACTTTGAAACTGGGCGTCTTGGACCCGGTGGTGCATGATGCCGTCGGTGTTCGGTTGGGCGAAGTCCCCATCCAATACTCCGGTCGGTTTAAGGAGAATATGACGTGTCGGGTGTGGTTGAAGGAGGCGCTGTATGCGCTTGACGATGAGGGGTACGTTGAGCTTCGGAGATCGGTGAATGAGATTGATACCGAAGCGACACATTTGGCGATGATCAATAAGAGTAAGAAGGCGCAGACGGTGGTTACGAGTAAGGGGTGTGTGGGGTGATAGATTGAGGTTGTTTTGGAAGAATTCGCAACAGCATCGTCTGGATGGGTTTTCAGACTTGGACTGGAAGCTTAGAAAATATTAGACTGGTAGTGGATCGGTAGAATGGATAGACAAACCTCAGCCCGGCTTGGTTGAATGTCAAATTTAACAGACACGGCGCAAAATACCTCGACCAAAGCTATAGTCCGGAGTGCATTTTCAGGTAATCCTTGTGTGATGCATACACATGCCACATGACGCTAATCTCATTGAGTAGGTCAATATATGGTAGCCTGAGGTTCCTCTCAGTTGCAGCCACAGCCGAAGCCATTCAACACATCCAATAACGATCAGCCAGGCATTCTTCAGTCGGGTTTCCCAGACTTGTCGATTGATTATCGCATGCATCCGCGACACGGTCATGGTGACGTCATAAGTAACTGTCGTGTGCCTGCAACTGTACGGGCTTCTTTCATGTCCTCCTGAGAATTTCCAGTCCTTCAGACTTTGGAAGTTGTCTAACAACTGATTTCTGTCGGTTGATTATTTGACTACGAATTTGATTCCTAGCAAATGGACGCATCACTACTGTGAATTTCTCCCGCAGAATTAAATGCGTCTACGGACGCAAGGGATAAAGCGCGCAGCACAACACCAATTGAGTTACGAAAAGAAAGCCTAATAAGATATCACACTACGGCCATTTACTCTCCAGTCTTCAGTCAAAACATTCTTCTCGTTCTTTGCCTCATAGATTGCTGTCCACCACAAAATGGTGCTCCGGCTGTCCATGCTCTTCCGGGCACTCTCGCTGCTCCCTCTCGCCCTCGCAGCTCAACCAGGAACCCAACCAGTCTACCTCTTAAACCAAGCTTCCACCGTTGAAACCTCGCCTAGGAAATTCGGAACCCATTTCGCCGTGCTAAACCTCGACCTTATCGACGCGGTAGTCGCAAACGTAAACACCACGGACGAGGGAAAGAAATGGATCAAGAATACCGCGAGCTGGATTGACGCGTAAGTTTTCCTAAAGATTTCCATTGCCCTATCCTTTCTCCAATCCACGGCATATTTGTCAGGATTCATGTCAATACTAAACTACATTAATCAGAGTTCACGAACATATCCCCCAACCGCTGAACATCTTCACGCGCATCTATTTTTCCACATCTCAGCGCCCCGAAGTTGGACCTGACACACCATTCGCGTCTGTCGCGAAGGGACTTGGCAATTTGACAGAGTCCAGCGCGAAGAGTCGTATCTATAAAGCCTTCAAGACGGAGGACGATGATGTGGTGGTGCCAAAAACGAGATATTATGCCGGGGCTGGGAACTCGATCGAGGAGATTCTGAATAGCCAGAAGATAGATACTGTGATTTTGGTGAGTTTGAGCCGCCGTTCACAATGATGGGGTAATTTACCGTTGGATTGCTAATGATTTACATCTCTCTAGTCTGGTATTCGAACATCGGGAGTCATACTCGCGACGGCGTTGAGGTTGTTTGATTTGGACTATAATGTGTAAGTTACTCTCCCCCCTGGTCTGTGACAAGGATGCATTCTGACAGAACATCAGATATGTCATTTCAAACAATACCATCGAGCCTGATCCTTCCGGGGAGAAAATCCAACATTCCATCCTCTACGACATCTTCCCGAAGATACCGGTCAAGGTTATCACGATTGAGGAGGCGCTTGCAGGGTTGAAGGCTTCAGGGTCGTCAGTTGCATGAATTGAAATATTTTCTCGAATGTAATGTATCAACCAACTACTTCAACGTCGAAAGGACCCGTCAAACGTTCTAGCATGGGAAAAATCCATAGGCCCAGTTGGTAGTCTCGGACTATCTTGAGAATCAAATTAAGGACTCAGTGGGATTGGTTATAATTATGTACATGATCCCTAAATTGAGCGTCCCAAAATCATTAATAGGCAATTCAATATATTATGCGGGAAAAACCTCCAGTTCGGTCGGCTTTGAGAAATTTTCTAGCCAGTGGTATGCTAATATTGTACACCATGAAGTAAACTTACCAAAATCTTGACAAAACTTTAGAAAGGCTGCATTAATAATAGGTGTATTATCTATACGAGCACAAATCTAAGAATATAAATATACAAGTCAAGGAAGAGAATAAAAGCTTTTTATCTATACCTGTCGGTTGACTTGGTCATTGCCCTAACCCCTCTCTGCATTGGGCCGTTCGGCATACAGCGCTCGACCTCACTGAGAAGCTGCTCAACTCCGGGGTCGATATCAATATAGTACATCGGGGAAGTATCCCGCTAGTTGAAGCTGCCACCCGGCTTTTCCGACATTATCACGAGACTCCTATCGAATCTACATCTTGATATGAAACAACACGAATTTGTACTTGAATTTCTAGCCAGGTCGACAGCTTTCCCTTTCCGTTTTAGTGCTCACCCCTCGCCGCTTTTTGCTCACTACGAGTAGACTTAAACACGCCCTGAGCGGCCTGAGGCGACCGCTGAGCACTGGGTAAGCTGAAGACTGAGTGCCCCGAGCGAGAAACCATCGGTGTTTACTTTATTTATCTCGTGGGTCAATAATCAATACCTTTAATCCTTTGGGTCTACTAATAACATAATACCTGTCAGCTCGTCCTAAGTGATCAACTGAATGTTTAATAATAATTACAGCCCAGCGACTACTACATCTGCCTCAATCTGATTTTTAACGGACAATGCTTGCATCAATCCAATCTTCTCTTTCGCGGTTTCTGGCTACCCCCTGATAATCGTGACATCCAACTGCGAATAAATAAACCAAGTACAACGTCCGTTGCAGCTTAGCAGTTCGACAATACTTCAACCCACCTATACGTTCCGGCCAAGCGCCTATATGCACTACGCCTGGATGTTCAACAGACTCGGTATATCAAGATCGGGACACGGCTCGCTCCGAACGTCCGTAACCTTATTGTATGGAAAAGGAATCCTCCAGATTAAGTCATACCTAGGAGAGATAATTCGTCAGTAAACCACATCTACCAGTAGTATCTTCTAGGTACTATTTTCTCTCACCGATCCGCGGGGTACTCCGGCGGGTCTTCAACGCCCAGGTCCCGAGCCATCCCCTCTATTTTCCCATGTTGCCAAGAGATCAAGATATTGCCGCATCCCCTATATCTCCAAACTGTCTTGCTAATACAATGCACTCGATTATGCTTGCAGGATGTATCCACGGTGATGCCGAGATCGTCTGCGAGTGGCTGCACAGTATCAGAGTGACGTTGATGTTGTCCCCCTAAGAAAATACTGTCAGTATACCTGCTCCCTTACGATAGTTGGTTGACTGAGCAAGCATACGGGAGTTGATTTTTGGGGCCATGATATGCCCGATGTTATAGGGTGAGTGGTCTCCGAATATATCTCGGAGACACTGGGCTCGTTTCTCCCCCTCGGCACCCAATCCGTGATCGTGCGGCTCAGGGGACCTCTCGGCGTGGCGAATGATATATACCGTTGGTTTGTGTGAGTAGAATAGAGCACAAGCTGTGGCATAAAAGGCGGTGGCGAGTAAGAGGAATAGAAATCGAAGGACAAGCATAGTGGCACAGGTCCACGAATGGGACCTTGTGTGTAAGGTGGTTTTTGTAGGAACTTTTCTTGGGTCGAACACGAGTAGGATAAAGTAACGGAGCACAGCGGGCAAGTAGCAATGCTACGCCGGCAAACTAGTTCTTATTAGAATATGAGACGGTTTAATAGTGCGCCGATCTTCAGCCCTGGGAAGAGGCTCGCTCTTAGCTCTAAAACCACCTCAGGCAGCTATGGTGAGCAGTTGAACTGGTACAACGTACCCAAGCTGTTTGCTATTGTCGGATTATTACGTAGACACTGGGTAGGTACAGGTCTCACTGCCAAAAAAAAAAGAAAGAGAGAAAGAAAGGGAAAGAAATTAGGTGGGCCAGGCGTGCTGGTCAGGCGGATTGTCAATATCCCGCAAAAGTCGCAATAACCTTCAGCGCGGCCAACCTTACTAACTGCAGGGGTCAGACAATCGATCCGAGCTATATAGAAGACGAGATATTGCTATGGAGTAGTTTCAGGCTTAAAAATTGTTGGAACTTGAGGGTGGAAGGGATAATATCTAATACGGGTTCGAGTTAACGAGTCATGAAATCATCACTAATAGCCATGTGGCTATTAAGTATTAACTCGTCCATTATTACCGCATAGCAATAAAGGATGGGCATGGGTGAATCCTTAAACTTACGTAAGATTCGTTCGAGCATAAATCGATCTATTCTACTCTTAATAAAGTGCTGATCGGTTGCTCAAATATATTATTCGGATAAGACTAGGTGACCCCCTTACACAAGCTCGAACCCAGCTTATCTGTAGTGTACTAGTTTAAGTTTTCCTCGCGCTTTCAAAAGCCAGAATAATCACTCTAAGCTCGACCGAACTTGAGCCATGGTTACATCCTTATGTGACAACCACATATCTATACACTCCCATGACTTTTGATTCAGTGCACCACTCATAGGGGACGCCGTGTCTTTTAAGCCGAAGGTCTAGGAGATCGTCTCCTGATATAGCCCTAGCAGTTAATTACCCCACAAGAGGGTGTTCCATTAATGATTGATACTAGGTTTGGAGTGGTGAGTGGAGTAGTTGGCGGCCGCAGATACTGGGGTTGCAGCACTGCGGAGTATGCCCGGAATCCCCCTGATAGGCTGTGGTAGGCGATACTGTTCATATTAGGACCCGGGCAGCTATATGGGTAGGGTTTACTGGATGCTCCTGGAGTCTAATATCTATGGGGTAGATGGAATTCTTTAACATACGCTTATTAAGGATATTAATCCGAAAGAAAGCAGGTACCTTGTAATCCCTCATGCTTCCCGCCCGAAATAGCCAGTTATCCTGTGGCAGATTGGAGGGCTTGGCAGAAAATGACTAAAGTGCTGAATTACGTGATCTCCACCAATTCTGTGACGCTCGTGGTCACGGGTTAGGCTGTTCGGGTGACTTGGTCGTTCTGTGGAAACGATGGATATGTGTTGTGTATTGGGTGGCCGGTGTGGCCACTTATCTAAGACATCTTGATTAACTAGTAAGTAATGACTAAGCGAGGTCAACCCCAGGGCAGGCGGAAGGGTCCGTCCCTGTGTTCTAACACCCCCCCTCGAGCGAGCGAGTCATCACGAAAACTCTAAATCAGTAGCCCGATTCCCGCCTCTTTATACGTTTCCTGCCGAATTATTTTGCCAAAAATATAGACGCATACGCTATCTACACTAGCTTCCGTTCCCATCTAGGTACCAATAATGTGACGAACTGACCAATGCCTACTATATAGAGCGATGCGCATACCAAGTCTTCGACTTGGTATTCTGGTCTTTTTAGTAGCTCAGTTGGTAACTGTCCTACTAAACGGTCTTGGCGGGTAGAAGCGCACCTACCACTGCTAAGCCCGTGACAAATAACAAGGCCCTCGAGGGCGTCTAGTCTATTAAGACAGGATTCGTTTTTCTGCCTTTATCTCCCGAAACTCTAACAGCCCTAGAGATATAGAAAGAGGCTATCTCTATTTTCTTTACTACTTATTAGATCGAGCGAAGCTTCTGCTGGATCTCGTATCGGGTAACAAATATACTAAGAAAGGTCAGCTAGCTTAATGCAAGCCAATACTCTATAATCTCTACTAATCCAGAAATTCTTTTAGCTAAAATAGTTAAAATTACTGGTTTTATTTCAGTTAATGTAACTGAAACTGCTGCTAGTATTTCTGATACAAATATAATCTCTTTAAGCTGGTTTATCAACTTCTCTGAAGAAAGTAAATTATCTATACGATTATCTCTGTTTGGTATAATCGCTAATGCTTAACCCTTATCTAGAAAGGTTAAGATTTCGCAATGTAACTGCTACTGAAAATAGTATAACTCTAGATTCTGTATACGTAACTTTCGCTACCGTCTTTGCGACTTTACATAATATACTGAAAAAGGATATATCAATTACTGTACTGCTGCAGCTTCTTATACCTGCTTCCCAAGATACCTGTACTGTTATAATTTATATCTAGCAGATTATGACCAATGCCTTCTCCGGTCTAGCAAGTTGTGACGGTCTACAAAGGAGCTTAATATAAGACAAGTTTGTTTCTGACTCGTAGTCAAGGAATTTTCCCATGGAGAGGAAAGGCTATCTAGGAGCGAGGATCCAGGGCCTCTATGTACTGCCTGAGGTTCTGCCTCAGGCAGGACTATATCCAGGAAGGTTTCTGCATACCGGGAGGTTCGTTGGCTCAGGAAGTCAATCCAGGAAGTTAATCCAGGAAGTTCCCTGATTTCAGGAAGTCACACAAGTCAGGTTCTCGTTTTACAAAGGTCTAACAGGCTGAGACCCGCAAGACCTGCTCCGCAGCCCTATCTAAGGTACAAACTGAAAGTAAATACTGTTCTCGGCCTCCCGTAGCCCCTAAAACTGGAATCCCTAGAAACTCGCAAGACCAGGATATATCTATTGAAAGCTATTTTACAATCTCGTTATTTCGCCCAATTATTCCCCCTTAACAAGGATCAGCAGATTCCCCTCCAGTTACAGCTAAAATAATACTGTATTAAACTAGAAGACGGCAAACGAGCTGCCCAAAACGGCCGCAGTCGACGCTGTTTTTGGCCGTCGATCTGCCACGCCTTCCGCCACTTCCCCTGTGCACTTATATCTACGCACCGCCAAGCCCCGAGCTTGGACCCACTCACACCTCATTTGCCCGCAGCGCAGTATGCCTTCAGGCACACTCTTCTGGAGGCCGGCCAATGCGAAATGCCCATAGGCAAATATTCATCAGCCAAGTATCTGGTGAGGACTGACTTCCCGCAGCCCGGCTCTGCGGACACCCAGAGTAGTTCAGAGTTGACGCTTTCGTTCCACCTTGTGAATTGAGGATGACTTGTAAACCATTCGCAGGTTCCTGGCACACGCTTGTTATTTATATCTTTGCGATCCTTGTACGGACAGGTGTATAGCCGCTGGAAGAGATTGGTTCTTCTTTGATCGATCACAGACATAGTTTGCCATACCTGCATTTGCTGTAGCTTGTCCTGGAGAGCGTTAAGTTGGCTATCGACCTTTAAGTCACACGCTGAGGAAGTGGCGTCCTTGAGGTAGGTGTCATATCGTTCGATATCCCCAAGTATTCCGTCCCAGCCATCGTGCTTTGCCAGGTCTTTTAGGAACTGTTTTGCAGTCGGTTTTCCCAGATAGCAAATGGCCCGAGACTGAAATTCAAGGACTTTAGAACATAGTACTATCATATTTCTCTCGAGCGATCTTCTCAGTTTGGCGCTTAGGCCGATCTCACGGCGCAGGAAATGTTGTTCGATCATATGGAGTCGAGGTAATAAGGAGGAGATGGAGTCCAAGCCCTGTAGAAGACTTTCATGTTGTTCCATGGCCTGTATAAACAGCTATCGGAAAGTTAGCAGAGCTGATAGAACATGGATAGAGGGGATTTACCAAGAGCCCAGCCGTAATGCCGGCACATGCTACAGCAGCGGGAGGACTGGCAGCTGCTGCAGAGTTGACAATGCCCTTGACCAAAAGAATATTCTGACACACCTTGGTCAGTTTCTTCCGTTTGTCGTCTTGGCCGATGTCGTCTTGGATGGTCCATTTTTGTCATCAAGCCGCTCATTCGTCACATTGAGAAAGGTGCGGAGATCATTCACACGGATGGCGTTCCCATCATCTTCGGACTTCAATCCCAGTCTCGAGTTGAGAATATGAATTGATTCCACCCATATTTTGTCCAGGGTCTCGTCCTTTCTGAGAAGCTGCTGCGCCTCCAGCCAAGGGTCGAACACTTCCTTTGAAGTCGAGGAGTTGGGAGTGGCAGGGTCCCCATCGCATCTTTCTGAGCCGGCCCCAGTTAGATTGTCCGCGGGGTCTTCCTTCTGTTTCCCGCTTAATCTTCCAGTCCACCGGGAATATTTCGTACGTTTCTTTTTACTTCCTTCCCCGCGGGAAATATTTTTGATAGCTGTCTTGATCGAGGATATTGACATGATGAGAGATTTGGCCCCTCGATGGTGTCGGGTGTGGTGATGTGCTGCGGATCGACCAATCAAATGGAAATGCTTCCGCTGACAGAGACGTGCTGAGAAGCATAGAGTAAAAGGTCAAGTAAGATGTGCCTGGGGATGTTGTACGAAAGTATGCTTCTTGAATCGGAGAAAACAAGCGATGAAAAACCCGGCGGGTTCAGGGGCATGCACTCGGGGCGCTAATCATGGAGTGTCATGCGAGTCAGGGTAAGCAACAGGCTTCCAATTGGGGCCGTGCCAGCATAGGTGAATAGCGAAACGCTAGTTTCGCCAACTTCTATTATACCGCGACTATTTGATAAGCGCTACGGCCTTACAAGAAGACACCAGCTAACTGTGCTAAAACTCTCCCTTATGTGTTACTTTCACTCCTATAAAATCCAGCTGAAGGGATGTTGGTGATCGCCAAGGTGGAGCTGTGCACAAGCGAGCTGGGCACAACAACGGATCCTCCAATGTGTGGGCCGGCGGATCTTAGCAAAAGTGCCAGATTGATCGAAGTAGTGGAGATTCGCCTTCCATAGAGTGCGGTTCTCAGGCATATATGATTCATATATGGAAAGCTCTGCAGACATCAGATGGAATAGTGAAATAGTGACCTGACTTCGTAACCGTTGGGCAAAATTCGGAGCGACTTCCGTCGATTTGCGCACCACAGAGGCGAGTCCACTCAGCCCGTACCAACGCCGCAGCCTGCTTCTTAGATATTATTGAACCACATTCGACAAAATCTCGTGAAAATGGTTAGCCCTCGTCCGTCTATTAGTGCAATGAAACACTGCCGCTGATTATGATAATTTATACGGATCGCAGAAACAAATAATTGTACTAACAGCCATATCTACCCACATTCCGCATACACTTTCTCCAATAGTAAGCAAGTATTTTGGTGTGCGGGTCTCCGTGCCGCCCAAGTATGGTCAAAACTCTTTTCTGGACCAGTGAAAGGTCATAGAAGATCAAAATACCATACACTTGAAACACTACAGTCTGTACGTTTGCCTTGCATTTGATAGCCATCCACAGACGTGAAGGGATTTATGGGAGATGCTCTATAACCACGTCACACATTATCATCCACTTCCGGACCAGCAACTGGACCCGATGGTGAGTGTTTCCCAGCTTGAGGTATAATATCATCTATGGTATGTCGGATTGGCCGGGGATAGTATGTGGTCTGGTGAGGAGGGTAAGCTCTAGGACGAGCCAAGTATCTGATAGGGCTTACCAAAGCACATAGTGTATCCAACCAGTTTGACTGTGAAGAGGAGTCTAAGATAAATATTTGTCCAGTTTTCTGGATTCGAACTGCTAGGAAAACCTCGGATTCGCACTCAAGGCTAAATTCGGCTGCTTTCTTGAAGAGCCCTCTTTTGCGTCTGTGGCGTTGCTGTGTTTTTGCTCGGCCTGTATCCAACTGACGCTTCTTTGCGAATGAGTTCTTATTAGGCATTCTTTGATTTTAGGCAGGCTAAGTTGTATCGAATACATGAACCTGGGCATAGCTTGCCTGGCTATATATGTCTGGCTACGGAGAAACTTTGCGGGGTCGCTAGACAATAATCACCTAAGTGGCCGCAGACTGGGTTCTATTTGAAGATTTATGCCGCAGAGAGCCCGCATGAGGTGATTTTCCTTACTATAACTATGATGGGAGTACTCCCTGGAACAGACGACCTGCCTTTCTGCGGTATCCCATATCCCGCAGCGGCATCGATTGGTTGATCCACTGAGTCACAACAACCAATGAAAACCATGCACTACCTGGCCGGCGCCTCACCCTCACCATTGGTATAAAGTCGCTTCATATTCCACTGCTGTATAGTATAATAGACCACGATCTTTACTTTACCCGCCAACACTACTGCATGAAGCATAAACTCTATTCCTAATAAAGGATTTCTCTGAGCGACTGTATTCCGTGCCAAGCACTAGCGAGTGACAGATAATGCCGTTTGCGTCCCATCCAGAAAGCACGATGTCTCGCCAGTTCCCTCAAAGAATTAGAGATCAGCAGGCCCTGAATTTTCTGGAAACTCCCTCCGGGCAATCTCCCGCAACCATGAGCTCTATCGCTCCATCGCCCGCTGGTGCAGGACTTGATGGCTCAGCATTTACTCCAGCTGAGACAGCTGATCACGATGTAACCAGGGTAAAACCATTCGATATATCTTTCTATGATATATTATTGGATTCATCGCTGAAATATCTCCGCTTAGACACTCACAGAACATGAACAAATTATATTTCGCATAGTCCAGCAATTTAAACACCATCCAGAGCTGGTGTGTCTAGTGGAGGATCATATCAAAAGGCTGCGGCGTTTGATGACACCTATAAATGAGGTCCGGAACACAACCTCCCAACGTTTCCGAGGTGATTTTTTCACAGAAACATCCGGTTCTCCAGCGTCATTCAGGATGGCCAGATCACACCCCGCAGAAACAAACACATCACGTACTATAAGTGAATCCAGATCAAGGGGGCAGACACTTTCGCCGGGTCCCCCGTCCCCCTCACCTCCTTTATCAGATGCGCCTCAACGGCCAAGAGCACGGTTATTAAGACGCAAAAAAGCCTGGGAGGAATTGCCGTCCAGATTGCGATGTCGATATTCTATCATATCAATCAGAAGAGCCCTGGAAGGCTCCATGTCTGCATATAGGATTGATAAAGATTTAACGACCCGTCTTTTCTTCGCAGTTGGTAGCCCCTACGCTATAGCTCAACTCCGGGATATTTTTCATGTCATAACGAGAAACAAGGGTTTATTGCCTTTCGCAAGGCCCTATACAATAGAGGAAGCCACAAAGGCCATCGCCCGCTCTGGAGACTGGAAGTCCCTATCTCGGGTGCAAACAAGGATGGACGGTTACTATCTCGTGGATTTATATTCCACAAAGGCAAGGGAACTGAATGCCAGCGGGAGCTACACAGACGCAGAGATAATTGAAACTATCATTACAGAGATTCATGGAAATCTTGAGCATGGCAGCCCTGAGTTCAAGAGAGAAGTGAGTAGATTCAAAAATGCCTTATATGCATCGAGAAACTGGTATCAGATGGGAAAGCGTTTTACTGCCGGGGTCCTGCTTCTTGTCCCATGGGGTAGTGCATTTGAGGTCTACGATTCTCAGTTAGTACGCCTCAATCAAAGCGGCTTAGGGAGCCAAACTAACTAATTCATAGTATTCAGAAGATCCCAGAGGGTCATTTCAATGACTTCCTCTGCGTATTGGATAAAAAAAGGGGCAACTTTTTGAGGGCCCTCAGCCAATTGGCCCTTCGGAGATTCAAATCTCTGACCAGTCTACCCCCTTCGAACATGTCATCCTTGGAGGATGTTTCAGATGTCGAGTCTATCCAGGAGAGGGAATTCGATTCTCAAGAGCTATTGGAACTTTTAAGATCCAGGTGATCCCTCACAGAAAATGTGGTGAGAGATATACTTGTCGACTTCCTTTTAAATATTACAGCATTATAAGTCGTTATTCGTACTATTCGCACTACACTTGCTCCTAACTGTTGAATATTGACAACCATCACGCTGATACTATTTGCTAGTACTCCTTTTTAAAGGGGAGATAAACTGCGCCCAGGAATCTAGGTGGAGAAATAGATGACCTAGAGAGTCAACAAAGGAACCATTTCTATATGTCAGGTGGAGGAAGGCATCTGTGTCGAAAACACGGCATAGCACTTTTTATGATCTATGCAGTTGAATACCTTGGAGTGTGGAAATGTTCATTTGTTATGATGTATCAAAATCGGTCCTAGAACATGACACTTTTTATGATCTATGCAATGGAATACCTTGGAGGATGAAAATGTTCATTCGGTATAGTGTACCAAGATCGGTCCTAGAACATGACTTGTATTCGCGGAACTTAAAGCTATCTAGCAAAACTAGCCATGAAGGTCAGAATGGCAATTGAAGTTCCCATCTTAATTGTGGAATCGGATATAGGTTAATTGGAGGTGGGCGCGCACGCCAGGATAGGCCTCTCATAATTCTTGCGGCAAGCAATCTACGTCGAAGACCAGGAGACCATCCAAGCAATACAGAGGTCCAAATCCAGTGAATTGTGCTGGGAATATGCCTGGCCCCTAAATCTCGGGCCTCTTTTAATAGATAAGAATATTGTCGCTATATCCGGAGGCAATACAAACTCACGTTTCCATTTTAAAAATGAGTGGCTCCAAGATCGGGTATATCCAGGGAACGTTAATACCATGATTAGATTGATCCTCGGACAGACAGTCCCAGGAAAAAGCCATACCCGGGATAAACGAGTTCCTAAAATTGGAAGTCCCAGGACATTATTGTTCCGAAGACACTGCAACCTGTGATTGATGAGTCTCAGGTCTATATTAGCCCAAGAGTATATGTTCCAAGAAATGTCTGTGCCATCAATTTACCAGCTGTGTTGGGGGTTATGTGTTGAGAGGCAAGAACAAGGATGAGAGATTAGAAGATGAGGATTCGTGAAGCCTCGGGCAGCAGGGCACTGGCAGGACTGGACCAAGGTTTTGAATCAGCTTGTTCTAAACCGCGAACTGGAAGTATTCTTGAACCCAAATAGACGTCTCTTCGGCCACACGAGAGTGGGGAACCGGTGGTTTTCTGGATGTCAGATTGGACACGAGGATTTGGCGGTCCGAAACTGTGTTTGGGAGGATCGGTTGGACTAACCGGCGAACAAATGGCCGCTGCGGTGCGCTACGGTATGTATGTGCCAGGCATCTCATGCTGAACTGTACCTATTGTGGCATCCATAGGGCTTATGGGCCGCATTGCTGCATCCGAGATGTAACCCGTCCATCCGCATTCTACAACACCTTCAGCAGATTATTGGGGACGTCTCCAAGCATCTGTAACCAAGAATGACCCAAGATTTGTCCGTCTTGTAAATCGAGGCTCAATCAAGCAGACGCCCATCGATTGGGAATCGATACTCCAAGTCCTGGAGCAATTTGGAACGTCAACCAATAGTCGTTGCGGACCCATTAAATCCGCGAGAGCTTGTGAACCAACCAAGATGACGTCACTTTCCTATCATCTGCGGCGCTAGCACCGCATCCCCAAGAGCAAGTCCATCGCCCTTGTCCTGTTGTCTGGCGGATGAGTCACACAGATGTCCGAAGACAATGTGTCATTCACCGGGCAGCCGCAGGGATCTTAGAAAATGGAAGATGAGGGGATGGGACTAACCTTGAGTCTTTGTGGAAGAGCAGATCGCCCACTCCGTAGAATGAGCCAATCATGGTATCCGCGCAAGAAACACCCCATCCGCAGTGGCTGCGGGCCAATAGTTATTGATTTACCCACAGTTCTGCGATTTTATTACCGTGTCGAGGAGAGAAAGCCATGGAGCGGACCAGTCAGGAATCTTGGAAAAAAATGGCAGATGAGAGGGTGGAAGTCTGCAGTGAGAGGCTATTCTCAGAGCCCTCGATGAACTTTGTTCGGCTATGAGACTGCGGTTGGCCGGAAGACCTTCCAAAAACTGTCTTTGATACTGAGAGTCTGGTGCTGCGGAGAGTTACCGGGGAAGCCACGACGGAATTTTCCACTTCCTCCCACGGTCAGTCGCGTGGGCTGCGTACGTGGTGATATGGCCCTTCCAACGTCCGCGGTGATAATGAGTTTGTATGGTGTTCTAAAACTGGTAGTGGTAGTGCTGCAGCGCCGCTTCGTCGTCTATAAAAGCCAGCTTCCTCTACCCATCAAGGGCAGCCAGCAGTCGTGATTCCCTCATCCAATTGTCCTCTGACTTGAGAGCCTTTTGGAGACTGATCCTCTGGCATTCGCCCTGTCTCTCCTTATCCTCACTTTCCCCGCCCTACAACCCTGGAGAGGAAGCGCCTCCAGGTATACAGTCAAACTCAAAACCTCATTCACCCCTGCGAAAACGAAGTTTATTCCCAAACCCTAACGCCAAGAGGGGAATTCGCCAAGCTAGACCATATTGGGACAGACTGTAAACTAAATATTTCTGGAAACTGATGCGGAACGGACCCAAACCAAAGCTGCCCACGATGTTCCTGTTCTGTACTGCACCATATTACACTATCACCTTGATTTCCCACCCACCCCCCTTCTTCTTGTCGTTATCGGTCATCAGTCACCAACCTCGCTCGACATCGTGGTATAACATTAAGCCTGACAGCATGCGTCATCTGACCTTGCCAATTTACTTCGACATGACTCATCAGCACGCAGGACAGATATGTTGAATTTTAGGAGTCAACGTCGTCGGACCAGTGTGATAGATAAGGTAGTGCTATTGCCGTGGTGTTGCTTGCTGCACAGCGATGGACGGTTGACATTGAATTTCATTGGTCAAATGTAATATGATACCCCACTAAAGCTTGTGAGCACGTGTTTCTGACTGCTCTGGCGCCACCCGTAGCAACAATTAAGATGCGCTCCTTTGGCAAAGGCCTCTCAAAATAAAGCCAAAATGCAACCACGACCGCCCTCCACATTACTGAATCACAACAGCAGGCTGCTTCCTGCGGCATCGGCTGGACGACTGAGTTGATGAATGTCTTGGGACGATCTATCTGTGGTTATTTTGTGGGTTCTTGAGTCGGACAAATTTTTAGGGCAGCGATCCAGCGACACCCCCTTCGTTCCTGCGACACCCCCACGTGATTTATTGTTCCGTTTCGGGTTAGCCTAGGAACACGTGACCTGAAAGAAAGCTTAGGGTATCTAAATTCAGTAGTAGGGCTTAGGGTATCATACTGTTATACACAATGCTGTCAACTTAGCTGCTAACTCAGCAACTAAAAGCTATTAATCTTTACGCGCCAAAATGGCATCTACTACGCCATTAGAAGACGGGTGTCTTGATCAGTTTACAGACCTTCCACCAGATCAACCTGCAGCAACCATATCTGACTCTACAAGCATTCCACCTCCCCCGATTCAGACCTTCAGGGACCATTTCCAAGCTGTTGGAATCTTGAACACCTTTGCCCAGCAACATGGTTATGCTGTCACTATCCGACGTACAAAAAAGGTCAAATCTGGCGCCTACATCAAGACCGTATGGATTAAATGTGATCGAGGTGGCCATTATACAAATAGGATTGGAGATAGTCGGAAACGTTCTGGCTCATCCACTCTGACAGACTGCCCTTTCTTAATTATTCTTCGACGAAAGAGTGAGACAGACCATTGGCATATGGAAATATCTGATTATAAGCATAATCATGACCTTTCACCTATCTCAACCCATACAGCCCTTCGCCGTCAGATGGTTATTCAGCAGTCTGATCAAATTAAATCACAACTCCAAATCGGCATTTCCCCGCGGCATATTATTACCTCTTTGAAAAAAGATGGCTTTGAGGGCATTCGCGCTCGTGATATCTATAACTTTCGCCGTGATATGCAAAAGAAATTCCTTAATGGCAGATCTCCTATCCAGGCACTTTTAGCTTCACTTCCAGAGCAGGGAGACTGGATTGTGAACTACCAGACACGCGATAATAATGATCTTACAGTAACAGCTGTATTCTTTACTCATAAGACCTGTCTGGAACTCTTACGCATTAACAGTTCTGTCCTTTTTATGGATAGCACGTACAAGACAAATAAATACCGAATGCCTTTATTAGATATTGTCGGATTTACCGCAACCAACCAGACGTTTTATGTTGGATTTGGCTTTATAAGCAATGAGCGAGAAGAATCATACAACTTCATACTGGAGAATCTGAAGCAGATAATGATTCATTTTGATATCAATACTCCAATGACTATCCTCACGGACAAAGATATGGCATTGATCAAAAGTATTGAAATGATATTTGAAATGACAAATCACATGTTATGTCTGTGGCATATTGAAAAGAACATCTTGACAAAGGCAAGGCCAATTTTACGAGATGAGGTTATTCGGATTGAGTATGAAAGTGCTGATTTAGCAATAAAGGATCATCACTTTAGAGAGAAAGTTGATACCGCATGGAAAGCTTTTTTAAGTTTTTTTACGAAGATTGTCAACGCCCCTACAGAGGAAGAAATGTGGGCTGAATGGACATCTTTCCAAGGTAAATATAGTACTGAAATCTGGCGGGACGTCATAAGCTATATTCGAGATGAATGGATAGAGGAAGATACTGCGAGAAGATTCCTGCAATGTTATACAAAGGATTATCTCCACTTTGGCCAGACAGCAACATCACGGAATGAAGAGGCTCACTGGCTCTTAAAAAGAGATCTTCAAACATCAACCAGCAATCTATTAGGGGCAGTTCAATCTTTTGAAAATACCGTGAAATATCAATACCAAAAGATTGTAGAAAAGATTGAAGATAACTGCATTCGAAAACCTATACGGTTTTTGACTCCTCTCTTTCAACTTACTATTGGAAAGATATCTCATTACGCCTTTAACAAAGTTTTTGTGATGATGAATCGCTATTTTCCAGAGGGCCCGGGGAAGGCATCTTTTAACCCAGAGTGCAGTGGGGTAACCAGAAGGACGCTGGGAATACCTTGCATTCATATTATCAAGTAACACCTTGATACCGGAGCTTCATTGGGAATTCATGAATTCCACAGTCAATGGCGGATTTATACTGATGAAGATATTCCTCCAGTTAACCCAAGAGATCTTGTACTCGAGCCAGAAGTTATACGAGTGCGGGGACGACCAGCAGGCTCAATAAATCGGCCAACTGCTTGTTAACCAACTGCTAGTCAACAAATTGCCAGCCTGCCTGCTACCAGCCAGTTAAAAGACAGGTCAACTACCAGAGAGCTGTCAGCCTTCGAGCATGTTCTATCACAGGAAGAGATGGGCCGAGAACATGGCCGCCGAGGACAGCGTGGTCAGCGAGATCAGTGTAGAGGACGTAATCGTGGCCGGAGCCATAGAGATCAGGAACCAGCACCTACTGATACCAGTGAGGTAAAAAGGAATAGCAGTCAGGAGAATAAAAGCCAGGAGAATACTCAGCAGGAAGGTCTCCGGAGAAGCCAGCGAAATGGTCGTAGTTGTCCAGCACCATGGCTGGGAGATTCGCAGACATTGGAGATGATTTAAAATCCGATTAAAACGGCCTGATTGGACAAAAAGGGCCAAAAACATGTATGATGATATTATCTAGAAATACTATTGTTCAAGCAGTATGCTAAAGGCTGATTTTGTATGGGAAGTTGAAAAGATGGCACTCTGCGGCAAAATATCGATTCTCGAAGTCACGTGTTCCTAGGCTAACCCGAAACGGAACAATAAATCACGTGGGGGTGTCGCAGGAACGAAGGGGGTGTCGCTGGATCGCTGCCCAATTTTTATGGGTACGTTCCGAGTGTGCTTTATGGGGTTGGAAAAATGGATTGCCGGGATGAGGGGGGAAGGCCGTTGTTGGGGGATAGATGGAGTTGTATACCTTCCTGCATTTAGCTATATATATACACATACATGGACTGGACTTTGTGATAAGAATCTGTGTGGGAGTGATGTGTAGATTTGAAGTCCATCTTAGGCTTCATGACAAATAGTAGGTATGTATTGTCGTCCAAATCCAGTTCATAATACAAATGAGAAGGATAGAATGAGAGACAAGGTAGAGTGTTGTTACTTAGAAACATGCCGATTGAAGACTTAGAAGGCCCGACACAGGGACCCATTGTCTTCAAGAGTCCATTCATCGCTACCGACGCAATGATTACACCAGAGCATTCCGTCAGGGTCATACTTCTGTTTGATCGATTGGAGTCGGGGGTAGTTCTTCCCAAACAGCGACCACTGCCAGTTGGGCTCGTGCTCGTTGGCCTTTTTACCGTTAGTACATGCAACCAAACAGACTACGTGATAAAGGAAGGTAGGACGCACCTCGTTGAAGTAAGCTCCCGAGTCAGGGGCGAGCTGTCGCAATGCATATCCTCTTCGGAAGGTCATGTCTTCGATCGCCTGGTCAGCCAGATCCTCTGAGACAGTATCGTCCCACGATTGGCTTGTGATGAAGTGAACGGCTGCTTCTCGCCACGCTGGGTTCAACGCATTGTCAACGCTCTTTCGGCTGATAGTCATGGTTCCCGAAATTGATGGGTTTGAGATACCATCCTGCTCATGTTAGCTACCAGGAAACGGGAACTCGTCGAAAAGGATTTTCATACAGTCACATTGTTAGGCGAGGCTGCGGTTTCGAGCACCTGGGCTAGCAGGTCCACATTCTCCAGCGCACGACGAGGAATTAATCTCGATGCCCTAGTACTGCGTGTAGAGCCCGTGTTCCCAGACGTAGGAACAATCTGCATCAGACTATACCATTCCGGCACCCATTGAGCAGTGATACTATGGGTGACTGATGCGTTGGCTGAGTTCAATAGCCCCTGTAGCGGTTCAAGAAGCTTCTTTGCACTGGTTGCATTCGGCTCGTTATACTGCAGAAGGGCCGCAGTCATCGTCTTCGGCGACCCAGACATGGTATAATATCCATGCATTCCTGCATCCTGCAGTTTGGGGAAGTAGGTATGCATCTGTGCCACGAGTCTGTACCAGGACTTGGCCGAAGTTGAGTTCCTAGCAGTCACTTCAACTGAGGAAAACGTTACAGATGGCATTTCGTGGGCTTTCACGGTCAGGCTGGTGACCACACCGAATGTGCCTCCGCCGCCGCCACGGATCGCCCAGAAAAGATCCGAGTTTTGGCATGTGTTGGTTTTGAGGACCTTACCGTCGAGAGTGACGATGGTAGCCTCGATGATGCTGTCTGCTCCCATGCCGTATGTGCCGGTTGCGAGTCCGTGTCCGCCGCCAGTGGCCCATCCGACCACTCCAACATCCTGCGACGGTTAGATACAATACTTGGCTCGAGCACTTGGCTATCGTATGGGCAGGGTACCAACCAGGTTCTCGCCCCCAACGGCCATGGCATTGTGCTTTGCGAGATTGTCGTATAATTCTCCGTCTTGAATCCCGGCACCGATGGTCGCAGCCATGGTAGGTTCCTTATTCTGGCATGATTCTACTATGAATTCATCGTGGAATTCGAAACTCTTCATATGATGCGTCCAGACCCTGCAACTGGCGAGAAAGGTATTTGGTCCAGAGGGATTCTTCACTTACGATAAACTTCCATAAGCAATGCTATAGTCAAAGTCAGTAACCAGCTACTTGATAAGGGCTTAAACTCTCAGGGAAGAGGGTGTATACCTTCGTCCACCACTATGACCTGTGTTCTTCACATTCAACCGCAAATTCCACTTTTTTGCAAATTTCACCGCAGCCTGGACGTGCTGGTTCTCTGTGGCGTTGACCACATATGGTGGGTAATTCCCAATAGAACATCCCTCTTTCCCAGCATCCACGTTGTTAGTGACGCTAGTGCCATTAGGATAAATGGGACTGCATGCATCATCCCACTTGGGATTCCCGGTGCTGACTGGGCTGCTTGAGTGGAAAGGCCAGGTAGTCCAGTTACCACGGACTGCATTGCAAGCTTGGGCATCGTAATTTGGTTCGGAGGGATAGCAGACTGACCCTGCCGGGACAGTGCGAATAAGACGGCCGGAGACTGTCTTGTTCAGAGAAGTCCATTCTGGAGTAGATGGCCAGCACGAATCATTCGGATTCTAGAAGAGCATCAGTAATAACTCTGAAAGCAAAGTGAAGGTGTAACCCACGCATTTGCATTGCGACGAAGTTACCGACGCTGCTTTTCCGAGAATGGACAAGGCCACAAGTAGAGAGAGTTGCATGATGAGCTACACTCACGACTCTGTTGAAATGGTTTGCCTCTTCAATAAACTGCGGACAAGTCCAAATTTTTATATCCATTCCTGGATTTGCTGACTACCCCTGGATCTGTTCACGATCTTCGTGAGTATCCGTTTGCCTGATTCATACTCCCGTATTCGTTCCTGAGTTTCCCGATTAGGTAATCGGGCCGACCTTTTGGAGAAGATCTCCAACGTTTTGCTCCCGTCGTATTCGTAGACCCACCGTTTCCACTGGCACCAAACTTAATTTTTCTCGGATAGTCGGCAGTCATATTGCATTGCCTCCTACCCTGATAGCTAGATACTCTGGTAGTATACCTACTTTCATCACGCTCCAATTTAAACCCTTGCCACAGAGTTCTACTCCGCTTTCAGCACTAAATACGTAAGTATCTATAGATAGGTCTATATGCACCCCACAGACAAATAGTTTCGTCTAGGTAAAGAGTGAAATTACTGGGAGAGAAACCCCCAAAATCCGCCCTCAAACCATGTCCGATCCTTCTCCAGCCCTTCACAACCAAATCTCTACCCACGCGGACAAAATCCTCAACCTATGCTTCAGGTCCCCATCCGGCAACCGAACTTCCCCAGCAGACCAGATGCGTGCCGACATGGATGGCCGTCCGGAAGGCTGTGTCGCAGTGTGTAATGATTGGGCCTTGTGGCGAATTGACGACACTACCATGCCATGAACTGATATCTTATCATCACCAGACCTCCGGGTATCAAGTACCTGCCACTTAAAATGAAGAACGCTGTTTATCACATCAGGAGTGATATAAGGCTCTGGGATGTCTGCTTCTTCCGGCTGCAGATTGTCGTGGCCTTGACTATAATCATAAAAATTGGAGGCACTGGTTGTACTGTTCGGAAGTCCATCACGTGGCGGTACTATTGCACTATTTCTATGTTGGTATGCATCGGTCGCTGTGTCTTGGGAAGGTGTCGCTTGGCGATCATGCTTAGATAGCTCTGTTTGCCTTTGGTTCTCGCACCTGGTGGCATCCACTGCCCCTTGGTTGCAATGATTGGGGTCTTTGGTTGTGGTATGCCGCTGACGGAGAACATAGTCATCTTGCCGTTCTAAATGCTTTGGAGGTGTGTAGGCAAGGTCTTTCACTTGTCGCTTCTGATTTGGCGCGGTAGTAATTTTAGTAAATAAATGGCTAAGTGTTGGAGATGTTGTACATAGGCTGGTGGTCGACCGAATGATCTGAATCGAGTGAGCAGAGCCAGGTAGGTTTTGTATGATGTCTAGGTACCTCTCTGTTATTTAGGTCTAAGTTGCGGTGGGAGGAGAGTACTTTGTCAATCAGCTTAAGCGCCTTGATGATCGTTGATTCTGGGGAAGAGTTTATGGTCTTTATTATGGTGGCGGCGAGTTGAGGACAGGTGTGTCCTGGGGATGGTGTTGGGAGTGAGCACTAGTGTCAACATCCTGGGATGTTGACCGCCGCCTCACGTGAACTACCCTTTGTGCGATGGGTTCAAAACATACTACAGGCCCATCATCCATCAAATGCAATCTCCGAGAGGATCCACCTAGAGAGTATCCATGTCCTTAACCCTGTGGCCGGGTGCAGTATATCAACCGTATGTGACCGCTAGTCACATAGGAGACCTTTCTAGTCCGGACATCGGTATTGATAACTACCGATCCCCGAGGATTATGCAGAGTTTTCTGTTATTTCCATGGTTCAAAAGTTATGTCTCTTCTAACTGCCTTTTTAGGATAGATTGCTTATTATTCTTTATGTATTTAAACCATCGTTTGCAGCTAGATTGAAAGAATCAGACCTTCATCATTCGATATTCCTACGGGTACATTACTAGCAATTACGCCTAGAGAGACGGCCAACATCCTTTTCCTCGGATCTCCCATTTCCTGTTGATCGTGGAAAGAATACGTGAAAAAGCGGAGGATCCAGATTACAAACCTCAAGAACAAAAACGCCGACTTGGTCAAGGAGAATGATAAGCTCCAGACAGAACTTGAATAGGAGGAACATCTCCATCGCGCGTCTGTACGCCGGTTATGAAAGCCCAAGCATCCAGGCCACCAAACAATAACATACGGCCTGCTACTGCAGAAAAAGAAAGATGAAGAGATTGATTCTTGCGAATGGAAAATGATGAGTCCGGAAAACGATTCGTCATCGATTATTATCTGGGTCAAGCCGCTTGCTTTGTCTTGGTTTACCTTGGATATAGGCATGTTAGCTGCGGAGACGAAACCGGGAATTGGTATTGTTCCTTACCTTAATACCCCAGGTTACACAATCCTATTCGGCCTCAAGGTTGTGCTCTAGAAAGGCCAGAAAAACGACCAGTTTGTCTAACTATTCTTCCTATTCTTAAATACCGCGATTACGTTGGAATCCTAACAACGAGTCGGTTCTTCAAAGTCAGAACACAGCGCATGAATCTCTAATCGGGTGGAGAAAATGAAAACGGATGAGTGGGATGTTCTCCTAGGCAGTTAGTCGAAAGGAGCGACTCATGCACTTCAAAGCTTTTGTGTAAGTCAGCATGCAGGAAAACTCATATTGAACTGATACTAACATTGAGATAGGCCGACTACTAATGTCGAACACGCATTTCAGGGCTCCATCCACATCCCATTAGCAACAATTCGAGATACGGGTTCATCTCAACATACAAACCTGCTTTGGTGAGACCACATAGAGAAGCTAGAGTGACCTACTGTCAGCTAGACAACGAAAAAGTAATTTTTTATCTCAGTGTTCTCTCGCAATACTCTGCGATGGAACAGGAGCTCCTAGGTACCGGAAGAGCGCCAGAAAGAAAAGTAGTCTCTTGGAGCCAGTCGTTTTGATCTGCGCGTGGCGTATACCTTGTGGGCTTCACAGTGAGAAATTTGTCGCTGGAAAACTAACTACCGAACAGTCTTGAGAAAAACAAAACCGGACCTGGAATGTGTGTGTAGGTAGGTGTAGCAAGAGCTTCAGAGAAATCCTACGACGTCGGTCGAGAAACAATCCTAATTTCATTGAAAACTTTAACAACTGCTTCTCAAATAAAGGGTCTATCATAAACTGCTCAATCAAATCGCAATGCGCTTTTTAGAGGTATAAATCTTTCAACTCGCGACGATCTACAAAGCTAAGCACGGAGTCCTTTCAATAAAGTAGATCTAAAGACGCAGTCTGCGCCGGCAAAAACGGGCGGCACTTCGGGCCATCTTCGTTTTGCTAGCGACTAGCGACGAAGGACCCGATGTGATGGCCAGCATCGAGTCAATGCCAGGGAGTAACAAGGATGAAATCAATCACAGATGTGAGACAGCTCCTAAGCTCCAGTTCCAAATTTGGCAGCATACTCGTCGTTCAGCTTCTTTTGTCGGTCCCATTCCTTCTTCAATTTCTTGGACTGGCTCTTGGGGACTTCGCTGTCATCCGCCAGCTTGGTCGGGAGTCCGTCCGCATCCCACTCCTTGTACTTAGAGTCGTTTTTGAACAGGTCCTGGGCGGGAAGTTTGGCCTTCTCCCATTTCTCGGCTTCGGCTTTCTCACGGGCAATACGGGCTGTGAGAGTGGTTAGTTGGTGAGCGTCGGTGAAATAAAAGGCAACAAGAACATACCCTTCTCCTTCTGGTTGGCCTTCTCGGCCAGCAAGGCAGTTCGCTCGTTACGGGCCGCAATGAGTTTCGAGGCAGGGACGAACTTGATCAGACTGGGCCGGTCAACCTGGTCATCAAGCTGGACACCAATATCTGTAAGGTCGAAGTCACGGATGCGATCGGAAAGCGCGATAATGGCGGACTTCGTCTTCGGCTCGAGAGCGCCAGATGTAAGGAGGCGGCGGAGCTCGTCACGGAGGCGAGACACTGCGCGGACGTAAGGCATGGCAAGGGTTTCCGCATTTCGCTCGCCATTCTTCTCCAATTCGGAAAATTCGGTTTCAGGGGATTGGTTCAGGAGAGCTTCGACCGAAGGCTCAGATAGGCCAAAGGTTCTGACTTCTCCAAACACGTTGCTGAACACCGCGGCAAAAGGTTGCACGGCAGTCTGGGGGTCGGCATTGGCATTGGCGGTGGCAGCCGACCAGCCGAGACCCTCGTATGGGGGCTGTGCGCCAGCATCGAGACCGAGAATGCCGACGATCTTGGTTACCCACCGACCGACGGTCTCCACCGTGCGCAAGTCATTAGTTTCACCCATGTAGATGTTAGCATCCCGAACAATTCTCGAGATAATTTGCATGGCGGTGGGGGTGTCGAAGGAGTTGCGGAAAGCGGCGTCCAGGTCCGTCTTGGCCTGGTCGAGTTTGACCGTCAGTTCGTTATCGGTCTTATCCGACAAGGACAGAGCTCCGATCCCGTCGGCCGTACGAGCCTTGATGTTCGTGAAGAAGTTCTAATCGGTCAGCATCTTGTCTAGAAAAAAGATCAGTCTCGGGCACCTACATCGAGAGTAGCCTCCCAACCGTCCGCATGCTTCCGCATGTCCGGCGAGATCTCAACACCGTCGTTCCAGCGACCCAGCAGGAAAACGATTCTCATACTACGCGACGTGTACGTCGTCTCTAGGGCAGCGCGAATCGACTGGAAATTCTTGAGCGACTTGCTCATCTTGGCGCCGGAAACGCTCAAATGTCCAATATGCAGGAAGTACTTGACCCACGTGTGTTCACAGGCGCCGCTGCGGTGGAACGCCTCACTCTGAGCCAGCTCATTATCGTGGTGAGGGAAAGCCAGATCAATACCACCGGAGTGGATATCCATCTGCTCGCCAAGCTTATCGGACGCCATGACGGAACACTCAATGTGCCAGCCCGGGCGACCATCGCTCCACGGGCTCTGCCAGTAGGGCTCGCCGGGTTTCGACTTCTTCCACAGGGCAAAGTCACCGGCGCCCCTCTTACCACCCAGCGTCTTGGACAAAGAACCCTCTCCTTCCTCCTGCAAGGCCTTATCGTTCTTACTTTCCGGGCGCAGTCGGGCGTAAGTGTTGCCGTTCTTCTCGAAAGACGTGATGTCGAAGTAAACGGATCCGTCCGACTCATAAGCGTAGCCCTTTTGCACTAGGCGTTCGACGAAAGAGACGATCTGCGGAAGATACTCGGTGACTCGCGTCAAGGTATCCGGCCGAAGAACGTTCAGCGCATCCATGTCTGCCGTGAATTCCTTCTCCATCGATTGTGTAAGATCCGTGAAGATAGTCTGGTCGTTGATGTCGATGGTCTCCTTGTATAGGGAGTCAAGGTAAGGCAGAAGGATCTCCTCCGCGCCTTCAAACACCTTGCCCTCCTTGAGTCCCTGCGCCGCAGCATCCATGTTGTTGATGTGCATTTTGAGCTTGGCCTCCCCATCGCCCGGCTTGCCCTCTCCGGTCAACGTGCCGCCGGCCAGAACTTGTCCGTAAGCCGCATCCCTGCGAGTCTGATAGTTTGTCTCGTCGACGGGGTCGTCCGAGGGTTGTAGGAGGGGGAGGTTTCCTGTCGCATAAACACGGAACGCTTCGAGGCCGAGCTTGTGGCTTTCTTGGGGGGTGTAGGGTTTCTTTTTCTCGAGGTCGAATAGTCGCTTTCTGCGGGCCTTGATGATGATCTACACCGAAGGAGATCTTAGTCAGAGGTGTATAAACACGACAGTCGCAAAACGTACCTTATCATCAATGTCGGTGATGTTCATGACAAAGTTGACGTTGTATCCAAAGTAATGCATCATGATGCGACGAATAATATCCGTGGAGACATAATTGCGCGCGTGTCCCAGGTGGCCGATGTCGTAGACGGTCGGTCCACAGGCATACCAAGAGACCTTGCCCTCCTCCCTAGGCACAAAGGGCACTGGCCCGCCGGGCTTCAGCGAGTTGTGAACCACGACGGAGGCCATGATGGTGGAATGCGAAAAGGCTCGTGGGAAGGGGGACCGAAGCGGGCGGGGTTTCCAGGAAAAAAGCCTCAGGTTCGCAAAGGGTCGCATTCAATCGAGGCCGCGGGGTGAGTCAATCCAGAGAATGTACACAGACAACCGGGGATTTGATAATCCCTTCCGTTGGGCGTTGGATGGAGGGGCAAAGCAGCACACTCGAGGGAAGCGCAATTGTGGCCGTGGGTGGCTTCATGGTACGGTGGTAGACCGCCTTCCTTTTACGACTTGAGCAAGTGGCAGAAACCCAGCGGCGGAGACGGCAGGCGGTGTGGAACTGGTGGAATTTCTGTTGTTGGCAACAGCCTTACTCATTTATCATGTTTGATTCTCCTCTCTTTGTGGTTTCTGATATCAAACTCAATTTAAGAGGGGCAAGAATCGTTAGATTGTTCAGGACATATCCATGTAAGCGTTTGATGACTGAAAGAGATTCCAATTGATAATAACTCCCGAGAATCCTGTACTTCGGCGTTCTTATCCAATCAGATGCAAGGCTTCACTCTGGATACGATGACTCAGGCAACACTTTCTATCGCCATATAAAACCTACTCATTCAACACCTGCCTCCATCGCCCGTAGTGCGCAATTAATATTCCATTCATTGACATAAAGACTGTGAAAATGTCGGCGGCACGACCTCGAGGCCCTATCGTCTCCTTCCCCCCGGCATTGCTCCCATCCCCAAAAACATCTCTTACAGGCCGAACCATTCTGCTCGAGAAGCTCGAGCTCAAGCACGCCGATGATCTATTCAAGCTTGTCGGTGGAAACGAAACATCCAGAACGTCACTGTGGGACTACATGGGCGACGGCCCCTACACCGACTCGAACGTTTTCCGTGATGCCATCGGCGGAAAGTCAGCATCGACGGATCCTTTCTTTTTCGCCGTTATCGACAAACGCGATACCCAGCCAACCTATGGCAAGCCTATCGGATTCCTCTCTCTGATGCGTATCACGCCGAACCAGCTGGGCATTGAGATTGGCAATGTGCTGTTTTCGTCTATCCTTCAACGCACAACCGGGGCCACGGAGGCAATGTATCTCCTGGCAAAACATGCCTTCCAGGATCTGGGATATCGACGATTGGAATGGAAATGTAATTCTCTGAATGAGCCGTCGAGGAAAGCGGCATTGCGACTCGGGTTCACGTATGAGGGAACCTTTCGGCAGCACATGATCGTCAAAAGCCGCAGTCGGGATACGGCGTGGTTTTCGATGTTAAAGGATGAGTGGGAGGGAGGAATAAGCCTAGCTATGGAGAAATGGCTAGCGATGGAGAACTTCCACGAAGATGGAAGTCAGAAACGCAATTTACAGGATTTTAGAGCGGACCCTGATGACAAGAGGGTTTGATAGACGCAATATCAACACGGAGGACTCTACGGGTATCCTGTCTCTTAAAGACTCGATTGTTAATCACCTAGTATGATTCTTTCGTTGCAATCAATCAGGCAGCTTTGCATAGAAGAATCATTTTCTTTTTTGAATCAATAACAATGGTGTAGATATCTAGATTCACTCAACACCGTTTCAATTAATATCCTCCTCACACGATAGTCTTAGTCCTTATAGCGGCAAGCATTCTCGTTCTTCGCGGGGCCCCATTGGCATCAAAGTCATGTTTGTACTCTATTTTTAACGTGTTCTTTAACTTTTTCGAAGAATAAGCGGACACTATGAGCCGTGAAACTTGGAGATCGTCGACCTTTGTGTAGTTAGGCGACATCGTTGTCTCGGGGTCATCAAGGCCCCTTGAGAACGGCCACTCGGTAGTGTTTGACTGACTCCAGGTCATAGGCATGCCCGGTGTCCACTTCTTCTCCGGTTTGGTCTTCAGGAACCTTTTCGTGTCTCGCACACAGTTACTGAAGACGTTTTTCCATTCTTGTAAGCCGAATGGATGACAAGTGATCGCCTTCAGGTTCTTGTCTTTGACCGGAGCAATATTTGGCTCCCCTTGTGTGAAGTTCGTATAATTCTCGGTGGTAGCTTCTGCAAGATCTTCGGTCGCAGCCATGGCTGGACTAGAGTCTCGAGATGTGTCCAGTGCGCATCAGGAGGAGGCAGAGCCAAACCCCGAAATCCCCATATGTGGTTTCGCCAACGAGGGGGTGGTTTTCCAATATCACAATCGTCGAAATTGCAAACGTAGCTGCGCAAACGGAAGAACCAAGCGTTAGCCTGCCTATTGAAGCCGCATCAATTAAGTCAGCATTTACATTTTGCCTGTCTCTTCGTCCTAGGTAAGATCTTTCAGGCCTGGAAAGCTAATTGAAACCCTCGAGTGACTGATGGGCCTAGAATGGGGCTATATTAGACGGCGGCTTTGGCTCCAGAGTTATTGAATAACTCACATGTATGCGTTTTTGAACTCCTGACGAACCCGCTCATGATCTTCCGATGACATGGACCAAAAGAAGGATTTTCTCGGTCGGCCTTCTACTCTAGAGTCAAGACAGACACCGGGAGCTCGATTGAGAGCCATACAAAGGATGTAACCCCCAGGCACAAGCCCCTCGTTATCTTGAGTGACCTGTCCGGAGTGAAGAAGCGTCGGGATATTTTCATTGTTAGCAGCAGTGAGTCGTCGAAGACATTCCCACTCGGTCCGTGCTCTGAAAGAAAGCTTGTCTGAGACCTGCTCAGCTCGGTGGCTGCTTGAGTCAAACTCGGTTCCCTTGCTGGGAATTTGCATATAAACTCGCATTAGAGCTTGCTGTGCAGGATTGTCACGGTTGGAGCAGTTGAAACTGGCGATCGCGTAGGAGGCGCCGACGCCGCTGAGAAACCCATCGTGGGTGAGCTGGTTAACATCCTCCTTGACCTTCTCTGCCAGGACCCAGGTTGTCGGGGCAGGAGTATCGAAGGTGATTTGTCGTCCGATGAAGCTGCTGTCAAAGTAGTTTCTTCCAGACATTTTGGGTTTTGTTCGCTTCTCGGGAAGTTGGAAATGCGAGACGATGTATATCACTGCGTGTCACTATGAGATCACCATGGCGGGGCATTTACGTGTGAAAACCAAAAGCTCATAATAAATAGCCCTGTTGTATAGATTGTCTCGCAGAAACATCTCCAGCTCGTGTGCAGTCCACCAGAGTTTAGGCTTATCGTAAAACCCGATCTTGCGCTGTATTGCCACCGTGCGTGATGACTTTTGCAATCTGTAGATCAGAACGTAGGGTGTAGAGAGGCGGTCTGGATTGGTCATTCGGATCAATTGCATTTCTGGCAATAGGCCAGATTTCCGGTATCATACTCCAGATTTGGGGTCCGATTCGCCCTTGGTTTAAGTTGTATCATGCTGTCCCGTATTTCATCGCAAAGCGTAATATAGGTTGGCATTAGTTTAGCCCAATCATTGGTTCCAAACTCAGCAAACTGGTTGTTGCCCATCTCGTAAACAAGAGGTTACCGAAGACGAGAGGGATGAAGGTGTAGAAGTAGAAGAAGAGAGAATAAAAGATGTGAAAGTCGCCCCGCTTCGCCGTTAGAGGCAACTTGCGCACTCCTTCCAGGTGCCATTTCCTGGCTACTTACAGCAGCCGGGGGAAGTTCATCACCAGCCGCACGCAGAAAATGGATTGGCCATGTGGCCGAACTCCATCCGATGACGGATATTGTTTCCTGTGTTGTTCCTCGGTTCCTCGGTGCAGGGCTTCCTTTGGCCTCCTGGCCGAGATACCACATACACTGTCGCACAGACGGGTAACCATCGCTAGCGAGGCAGGGAGAATGCCTTAGCAGATGCTATAATGCAGCTTCCAATTGCCCCCGGCGGTACAATGCTGGAAAAAGCCTGAAAGCCCGTCCCGCGTACCGATTGTCGTACGTGTCTGGTTCCTGCACAACTGTCGGCTGGAGATCGTCTGATTGTACGTCGAAATAAAGCCGTACCGGCGATTGAGGTCCTTCAGGTACATGGCTAGATGGCCTATGAAGTTTGGTCAGCCGTGGCCTGAAATTAATCACACGATTTTATGGAAACTTACCTAGGACTTTTCTCGGAACGTCCGTCACCAACCCGTGGGCTGGGACCCAGAGAGTTTTCATTTCGAACATCAGTAATCCCGCCCCGTTCATGATGGCCACGTCTGGCACCTTTGAATATGGCCTTGCCCATATTCTGGCTGAATCGCCCTTGGACATCAGTCTCATCTCCGCAAATGACTTTTTCGTCGCTGATATCGTTTGGGCCTGGATTCTGTGCATGGTGGCCTATGATTGCCGTAATTTGGTTCCAGTTGTGGGCCTAGAATGCCCCGATGACTCTAGCGTTGAAGCCATTCCAGGGACGCAAGGTCCCTACGAACTTTCTTTCGTAGATGACTTTTGGTAAGCGACTTTCCCAAGCCGAGGCTCTCGAACGCCCTTTAGACAAGGATCTAGCCACGTTGGGCGTTGAAATCAAGTACTTTAAAATGATGCACTGCTAGCTATTCTTATCTATCAATCCTCTAAGATACTGTCCCAAGGAATTCTACAGCCAACCCAAACAAGAAATGAGCACATGGCACTCAATGCGATACATACCGGAATGCACGCGCCCTTCCTATCACGGGCGGAAACAACCGCCTCGGTATCCTTCCGAGCCTATATTCTATTCTGGTTTTGGATCGGCGACAACCTGTCAGCACTCAGCAGTCAGCACGTTACATTCCAGCCCTCCAGCTAAAGCCCGGATCGGCGAGTCTGCACTACGCCAGGGGACCATCCCGGTTCATCTTGATTTCTGTACTATTCTCGGACCATCGGAAACGGACCCCCCAGGGGGACTCCGTAGCTATGATCCTCTGCACGAGTCAGCGGCGGAACTTTTTCATCGTCCGACAGCTGTGGCGTGAAAAGTGATTTACCAGGCCAATGGTACGATGGATCCCCTGGCCCGGTCAGAACCCTCATTCTCGAATCCCCACATTTATTCAAACTTGAGACGGTCCAGTCTTGGCCGACGCACTTGGCCCCATTGCTAATCCCACTGCAGGTGAGATGTGAGTTGACTACGATAAGGTTGATTTCGTTAGATATAGTTTGACGGTCTATGTGAAGTTTATACACTTGAGATCATGCGAATAAAGTCCATCTGTTCTCGAAATATTTCCATCTCATGTCCTGAATCGAAATCGGTCACCGTGGCTGAAACATGAACAGATCACCCTTTGGGGTCCAACGGCAATTTGGGGCCGAAAGTCCACCAAGGACTAGGGCGTCACCTTCTCAAACTCTGGGGGCCACAACTGAAGGGGTCATGTTCACGACACTTCGGGGATTCGGGGTTCCCGAAGGAATACGCTGGAGGTTGATCTTCTATACGGAGGAGGTACGAGCAAAGCTGGTTTATAAACACCGTCCACTGCGCTGAACCTACTATTCTTCTAACTTGTAGTTGTGTGTACCAACCGTTTGTCTTTCATTAACCACACCTACGATGCAGTTTCTCCTGGCTATTGCCGCCCTGCTGGCAGGCTCCGACATCATTTCGGTCGCGGAGGCCAAAAACGTCTTTGCTCATTACATGGTGCGTGAACAAGTACTCCGAATCAACCCTCCCGTTGCACCTAATTAACAATTAATCCGAACGATACAGATCGGCGAGACCACCCCCGACCACGCCAAGCAAGACGTCGAAGATGCCAAATCCGTCGGCTTCGACGCCTTCGCCATGAACGTGGGCGACCCGACCGCCGAATGGGCCCAGAACTGCATCAAGGCTCTCTTCGACGGTGCCGAGGGAACCGACTTCAACCTGTTCTTCAGCTTCGACATGTACCAGCACTCAAAGCTGCAGGATCACATCGACCTGTTCAACAAGTACTCCGATCATCCGAATTACATGCGGGCTGGCTCCGATAGTAACCCGGTTATTTCGTCGTTTGGTGGATCCAGCGAGGCGGATGCTTGGTCTTCGTTCAAGCAGAACTCGGATATCTACCTGATCCCGAACTTGGATGACCAGGAGTCTGGATCGGGTGATTCTTCCAAGTACTATACGGACCCAGAAGGGACCCTGTCGCAGTTCAACGACTTCGTGGATGGCTACTTTAGCTGGGAGACCGCTTGGCCTATCTCGACCGATGGGCCGGTGAACGTCAGCTTCGAGGGCGATCAGAAGGTGATGGAGTATGCTCACGGATCGAGCAAGGGCTACATGATGCGTAAGATTACCTTTTCGAAATCTAGTCAAACTGATACTGACCGAACCAGCGCTCTCTCCCATCCAGTACAAGAACACCGGCGACGGCCACTGGTACCGAATCGGCGAGGTCAACCTGCCCCAGCGCATGAGCCAGATCCTGGACCTGAAGCCGGACTTCACCGAGTTCATCACCTGGGTAAGTCATCCTAACCCTCTCACCATGCGTTTAATTTATTAACGAAAGGAAAATAGAACGACGGCGGCGAAAGCCACTACATCGGAAACCTCTGGTCGGAGAGCTACACCACGGTCCCGGAGATCGTCGAATACGCCAACACCGACAAATGGCCTCACTTTGCCTGGCAGCCCCTGGTCACCTCCTTCATCAACGCCTTCAAAGAGGGTAAATCGGCCGGCGAGATGGAGACTGGGTCTGAATCGCCCATCGGCGCCATGTGGTACCGCGGCATGACCAAGAACTGCGACAACCAGCCTGCCAACGCCGATGCGGCGATCGACTCCGTTAACTATGCCGTTGTGCTTCCTCCGCTCTGGGAGGGCATTAAGATCCGGGTCTCTAGCGGTGGTAACGTCCTATCGACCACCCCTGCGTCCCCTGGGCTGAACTATGCGGCCGTGGAGGGTCTAGCGGCCGGTCAGCAGAAGATTGAGGTTCTTGGAAAGGATGAGTCGGTCATGTTCAGCGCGACGAGCGGTTCGGATGTGACTGATGGGGGCAAGTGCAACTTCAACTTCAACGTTGTCAAGTTGTCGAAGGAATAGAGCTGGTTGTTTCTCTGTGAAAGCACCCGGTTTGACTCGTGATTCCTGGCACCTTGCAGGCTCCCAGACACATGTCGACTACATTCGCTACTCTGCATTCTTTTGCTTTCATTTTGTATTCTAAATCATATAAATAGAGGTTATTATCACTAGAGCTTCTTCCGCCTCAATACCCGTTTCCTTGGGCTAGAAGCCAACCTAACATTGTGAGTTCAAATACGATCGACCTTCTCGGTGCAACGGTTCAGCACTCTACAGTAGTTATAGATCCCGGCTGACTCCAATACCTCCCTTCCTCTTTGTTGATGGTAAATCAACCAATACGAGCTACTCCAACTCCCTCCGGACCCCGAGCCCGCAGTGTTGGGCAGAGAGAGACTACCTGGATGCTTATGCTTCCGGCACGATGAAACTCTACTGTCGCATGGCGAATGGGAAGTTCGATTATCAGACTGCGGTGGATGTTATTCGGAGAGTGTTTCCGGAGTTGTCAGGGAAGGTGCCTGTTGGGACGCCCGGGTGGCGACGGAGACGTATACGCCGGATGGGAGGAAGGTGAAGGGGGTGTTGAAGTTGGAGTATCGGAGTTTGGAGACTACGATGGTGGATACGGTGAGGTGGTTGATTGACAATGGACATGTTTAGGTATTGGGGGGGAACTGATATGCGTTGGAATATGGGTAGTCGCTAGTAAAATGCATTTGTTCCTCGGCAAGGACATGCTTCCGGATACTAAGAGTCATCTCACACATTCGCCCATCTAAAACACCGTCTCCCAAACTCCCAACACCTCTTCACTCTCCCCCCATCACCACCACGACTACTCACCCTCCCCTCCTCAACACCAACCCTCCACCCCCTCAACAAAACCATAAACCCCGCCGCCGCCACATACATCAACCCCGTAAAAAGCTGCGTCCCCAGATAACTCCCCGTCCCCTTAAAGATCTCCAATGCAATCGGCTCGCTAACCGTACACGGCACCACAATCGCCAACCACAACAAATTTAACCCCGACGCGACCCCCTTCAACCCGACAACCTCCGCGACCAGGGGCGCAATCGTCGCCCAAAACGACCCCGCCACCAGCCCCTCGCCGATAGCAAAGAACATTAACACGCCGTAGCTGTGCGCGTTCGTCCAGATCGCGAGCGGGAGGATCCCCGCCACGAAGGTGAGGATAGCGGCCATGTTGACGCGGCCGGTCGTGTCGCTGAAGTAACCCGCTAGGGGGCGGCCGACGGCTTGGCCGAGATTGAAGATTGCGCTGGCAAGCGACGCCTGGGTCGAGGAGAGGCCGATTTCGGTGGCGTAGTTGGCCAGGGAGAAGATGAGGACGAAGTACCCGAGCATGGTGAAGGCGCTGAAGCCCAGGAGGAGTAGGTATTCGGGCTTTTGGAGCAAGGCGATGGTGAAGACCGGTGGATCTGGGGTCGTAGAGTTTACAGCACTGGCACTGCGGTCTTTGATGAGCAGCGTGCAGCTCGTGTTAACCACGAAGGCGAGGATGGCGAGAATACGGAACGCGGTGTCTAGACCGAGATTGCGGATCATTGCCGATGCGGAGAGAGCGTAGATGAGGCCGCCTAGACCCGCGCCGGAAAGCGAGATGCCGCTGGCGAGTGATCGTTTAGTGGTGAACCACTGCGGGACGACAGCGGCGGTGGGGATGAAGAGGAGTCCGAGGCCCATGCCGAATAGGACGCCTTGCGTGAGGAAGAGATGCCAGGTGTGTGAGGCGAAGCTGGCGCAGATCAAACTGGCGGTTTCGAAGACGACACCGCAGAACATCGTTGGCCGGATGCCGACTTTGCGAACGGCCAGCGTGGCGATGGGAGAGGTCAGGAAGAGGAATGTAAGACTGAGGGATCCTACAAAGGCGTATTCGAGTGCTGTGGCGCCTGGGAAAACGTCGTTATCAAGGTAATATGCCAGGAAGACGGCGTAGGCGGAGTTGAAGCCCCATGAATGGGCGTTGATCACGGCGGCGGCCACGGTGCACACCCAGCCATAACCACCGTCTGGAGGTTCGTCTGTGTTTGGTGATGTTGATAGTTCATGGTCAGGTTTGGCAGGAGATGTACCCTCTGGAGGAGCCGTATTCTTCGCCATTTTAGAGTGAATTGTGTCATTCTCCGCAAGCAAGGGGTCTTCATTTTATATTATACGATGCTTTTTTATCAAGAAAAAAAAAAAAAAAAAAAAAAAAAAAAGCATCGGCCGAACCAGAAAGTCTTCATCTCTCGCCAACACAAAAGTGGGACTTCGGCGTTTGACTGACTCCCAGAGCATCAAATACAACTTTGAGCTACTGTACCTGAGCCCAAGTGGGAACACCGAGAGTAAATTTCTCCAATAACCATTGGTCTTCATGATTTCGGCGTTCGATTTCGGCGTCTGTCAGATCTCTGTGGGCCCGTCGCGAAGGACTGCCGAGGGGTGGATGTCAAGTTTCCGCCCTTGTTCGTGAACACACCAATTCGATGTCGGGGTTGGGGTTCTAGAATTCCAGAAGAAATTACGTGACGGGAGCCAGAGTGTTGGTTATGATCGACCTGCAAATGGGATATCAACTGTACCGAGTAAACCCTTCGGCTGAGATTGTCCTCATTCTCTCGGCACGGTCCAGTGTAGTCCAGATTCCCCATGAACGTCGTTGAAGAAACACAAATCTCAGTCTCTTGATAAACGTGGCCATCCTATCTTCACTGCGTTGATCGTGTAGATGTGAAGGCGTTTAGGCCTCTTCCCGCAAGCCAAAGATACTCGGCCTTTGACCGAACGCCGAAGCCGACGAACCCGGTGTGGAACATTCCCCGAAGTACCACTAGGAAATTGTTAGCCAGCTGGATAGCAAAAACAGGTGGGCTCAATAGCCTATAATCAGTCAAGAACTTTACCCCGGAGTATGTCTCGCCCTTCTTTCCGACAGGTCTTTTTCCACATTGGACTCAAAGCTCATGTTCTCATGCTGCAGAGGCCGTTGATGAAAATTGACTCCGATTGGCAGTGAAGATCCATGGAGATCAAATACCCAATATTGCCTGACGAATCAATCAGTCTTATCGCGTAGACTAGACAAACAAGATACGCGATTAGGTCCGACCGTCAGATCGCTATTCAGTTGAGCGGAAATCCAACGCGCGAGCTAGGCTCAGATTCAATGTCGACGCGAATTCGATGAGAGGAAAATCTGCATTTTTCGAGTCCATGTCACCGAAGTACCCATATGCACTTGATTCTCTCGAAAAACAAACACCCAACCATCTCAGTATTAGGTAGGGTTGGATGTTGACGCTCCACAGATGCAGATTTATGGTCAAGACGCGCGACCGAAATACTGCCTGAGGCCAACACGGAAGATCCTCGGAGACATTCCGGGTGATTGACACAGTCTAACCGGAATAGGATAGTACACCGACCCTCCGACCGGCAGGACACGAAGCCCCTTCCCGATACTCCCCGCGCTGCTCTCGGGTTGCCGGTGGCAGGTTGATTTTCTGGGATCGGAGGGATTGGGATAAAATAGTGTTAAATAGTTTCAATTAAGCTATATGTTCTTAGCTAGTTTTTTAGGCATTTCAGATTTCCTCATGGGGTATGACGTGTTTTCAATGCGCGGTTTCCAACAGTCCTATGGAGATACGGATTAAGAAGCGGATTCCTGCGTTGAACCAGGATAATCAATCAACCAGGTAAGAATCGGAACATTCGGAACTTCAGTCCAGCTCTACAATGATCCCTTCTCGATAAACTACGTAAACCGCAGACCCAATAACATATTCGTCACTGCATCCGACAAATTGGTATACTCGGTGGAATCCAAAATATATACATCAACAAAATCCGGCCCTAAACCGTATGCACCAACCTAGCACATCTCCTCAAACCGTCTCAGATCCATCTCCTTCTCCAACAGAGGAATAACATAAGGATCGAAAGTCTTCCAGTAAGGGTTCTCAAGGTGGTACTTCTGCGAGCCCTCGTTCAGGTAACGCTCAACGATACAGAAGTCCTGCTTATCGTGAACGGACTGCATCACGAACCAAGACAAAGTCTCCTTGTCTTTGGAGTAGACGCCGGAGGCTTCGATGAGCTTGGCGTGCAGCTTGGAGATGGACTCCTCGTCGGGCTTGGCCCGCATGTCTGTAGAGCACACGAATCCGTTAGCAAGGATATTCAATTATTGTTGGGGAAGAGGGATGAGGAGGAGGTCACGTACGAACGACGATTGTGTAGACCATTTTGAATGAATTGAGGGGTAGTTGGAGGATGAGGGGCATGATCGTACGGGTGGTCCTGGATCTTATATATGGAACGGTGGGGCTGGAGCGTTAGGGCTCGCCCGGTGAGGATGAGATGTGGGTTCCGCGGCTTGGTGGTGATGTAACCGGGAGGCTTTGCTGGTGATCAACCGGGGGTTGGTTGAATTTGTTAAATAAACTTAATTAGACTCTGAGTGCTGGATAAGTTGCTCGATTGGAGTAGAAATCCATGTGGTTTCTATGGGGACGAAGGTTAAATCAAACAGACTATCTGGGCAATGCGTAGATGGTATAGCTACTATAGGTCATACCATTTATAGACAAGACGCTTTGAATTAGTTCTGGCTTTCAATTAAGATTGACAGATTGAATGACTAGAATCAGAACACACCCTATTAAAAATGTTCTCCACCCACATAATTCGTTGTTCAGCGCCGTATATAGTAAGGCGACAAACTACAAGTCAGAAAGGTTGATGACTCGTTCTGTACCACATGACCGAAAACATCGGATTGAGATGTCTTTTAGAACACTGAAAGGCCCTCGATGCGACGCTCGAATATCGATCTTTCGAGAATGCGAACATCGACATTCCCCGTATGAAGCCAGGCGGTGGGCTGCAACGGCACCGATAGGGGCTGAGGGTTCTTTCTTGACGTGCTTGCTTCGTAGAGTGGGGTAAGTATTGAGTGTCTCAATATGGTATATCAAGAGACGTCAGAGTCAATTCCGGGCGTAGAAATGTTATGTGCTATGTTCGTGCGCTTGATCAACACGCCCCGGAAAGTGAAATAAGTAGAAGTGTAGTACAGCAACGCGGCCCAAACCATGCCTCGGACAGAAAGAAGTTTTAATGTGGACCGGATCAAAGTATTTATAATACACATCGTGCCAGGCTGTACATATTGCTAGATAACCAGCGATCATTGTTGATTTAGAGCAACCTGTATATAGAAAGGTGGGAGAGATAATGACCTAGGCCATATATTGGATTGTTTGCTATGTTAGGCTTCCAAATACATCCCCGCGCTTTGATCTGAACTAGGAAGTTTTTGTCATCTTCCTGCTTTGAGTTTTGCCTTCAGTTACACTGTCAAGGAGTTCTGAAGCACAGCAATATCGCTTGTGTTTCAGGTGCTCGAGATGGTTCCGAGACGGCTGGATAGGCTCCGCCGAAGGATTAAAAAATACATGGATGATTAGATTTAGAACGAGAGGACTTTTCAGAAAGTTTTCGTTCTTTCTTTTTTCTTGTGTTTCTTTCTAAGACGTTCCTCTTCGCTAAAATGAAGAAAATTAATTTACATGAAGTCTAGATTATGACAGCCCTAAGCCACCGAATAGACGGGGAACAAAGGAAGGCAAAAGGGGAAGAACGAGAGGAAGAAAGAAGAGAACAGGGAATAGGGAAACAGAAAGACAACGCAAGGTAGACATAAGGACGACGAGGAATACTCATACATCGGGTCAAGCGAACTCGCGCACATCTAACGGACCGCTTTTGTTTTCCGATTCCTCTCCCTCAGTTTGTGCGTCTTCCACGAGCTGCTGACTGACACCTTCTTTGAGAAAGACTTGTTGTCGCTTATACATGCGCCAGAAGACAACGCTGCCGTGGACCTGAGCCGCCGAAAAAGCGGTATGAAGTAAGGGCGTGGCTATTTTGAAGGCAATCTGCCAACGATCCCAGAGACAGCCGAACAGAAACATCGTCACGACGGTCTCGCATAAGGTACCAATCGCGGTGGTTAAACAGGAATAGAAAAAGACACGACTGAGAAATTGATGCCGGTGAGGGTAAACTCGATAGAGGATGATGGCGAGGTGAGGAAAGAATTCGGAGATGATATCGAAGACACCTGCGCGACCGGTGAATTAGCTCTGTTGTGCTGTACAGTGACGTGAAAAAGAGAGACGTACCCCAAATAAGACAAAGCATGAATTCGATGCCCGCGTCGGGCTCACGCACCCGATCCAGACCGATCGCAATGGCGGCCTGGCCGATCACAATTGTTCCGAGGTGGTGCAAGACGGCAATGGGTGACAGCTTAATCCGATAAAGAAGCTCAAAGATGTACATTCCAATGAGCATCTGGGCAGCGACAATCAAAATATCACCCAGCTTCACTGGCGACCCACGCACATACGGGGTGTGGAATGAGGATTGGCCGATAATGACGGATATGAAGGGATATGCCGCGATAATGAGAATGATGATCTTCATGGTCCCGGCGATGTGGTGGTTGATGAAGCCCCGCTGGTTCTCCAGACTGAGCTTCGTGTAGGTCGTGCCATAGAGGCGACGGATCAGAAAGGCCTCTAGCAGGTAGAAGCGTACCGCAAAAAGAATTACGAGAATGATGGAGATAATCAATGCTGAGAAAGGGGCCAATTTGGAGACCGCGTTGAGGGGAGCGTTCTCCGCCGGGACACCGTAGTGGTGAAGGTTCAGGGTGCCCATTATCAGGCCATACGCAGGAGGTCTAGAGGATTGTTTTCGTGTTTTCCCTAGAGACCTGGAAGCAACGAGAAACGGGACGAGAGCCATGAGATGATGGGTGAGGAAATGATAGCGTAATAAGGGGCGAGGTACCGGTAGAAATGGCACGAGGCACTGGCAAATGGAGTCTCGCTAAGAATTGCCTTCATGTGCAGCATCGCCCTTCAGCTCGGGGCCCGCAGGCACACGGTGCCTCCTGCCTGAAAGGTTTCACGGCCAATCTCGAATCCGGCAGCCTAGAAAGGGCCCCTCTGGTAAGGCAACCGCTCTTCTAGAAGTGGGGAGGCCCGACAGAGAGAAGCGATCAAGCCTTCAGGGGATGAGCTTAGCTATAGAACTTGTCCAGTCGGGTTTTTAGCGGACTTGATTGGCGGGGGGATATTCCTAGTTTCTTTGTCGGATTTGTGGACCCTGAAGGCTTAGCACTCGCTGGTACTAATAGTATGTACTTTCAATGTATACTCCATACGGAAGACTCCGTGCGGCAATTCAGCCGCTAGGCAGCATCGATTCTTTGGAACAATGATTTGGGTTTGATTACTCATGTTATCTATACGAGAACTCTACATGTGCTAGTTCAAAAGTAGGAGTTGATTTTTATACAGCGTGATTTACTTCATTTACGAAGCCCAGTTGACTGCAAATTTACTTACCATCCATCCCGAGTGTAGCTTGATTGGTTCACAGTGCGTAGCATTAATGTTGAGTAATCCTGGGGCCAGATTGTTATCAGGTAATTCTTCTACCTAATGCCCTGGCTTTGAACAGTTCCGGGTTGAAAGACATATATTCTTTTAGAAGAGGCGCCTGCACTATCAGTCTGATTGCCTCGCGTTCTCCAAGTATCAGCAACAAATTGCGAATCACGAGATATCCTTTTACAAATGGCAGTATGTAACTGAGACAACTGCCAGGAGAATTGAAAATTTGGTGGATATAAACATTTATAAACATTTGGCCAGGATCTGACAGAAATTGCAGAAAGTGGACTATATTATGCATCAACTGCACTAACTAACTAATTAACTAGTTATCCCTGCTGAGTCACCCATGTCAATTTGTGCATCTTCATAAAACCATCCAGGCTGCCCCAGAACTCTTTCCACAACAATACCTCTCCTCCCATCGCTCTCGTTTAACTGATTCATCCAAAGGACCCTCAGAAATATGAAGACAAATGCTGTATCGCTAGGACCTACTAAATTCCCATCTCAAGGTAGTAAGTTCACTTCTGTTCCCATGGTTTGATTTATCTCACGGTCACGCTTCTCTGTCTACCGTGGCTGCAGAAGATTGGTGCCAACTTTTGCACTGACTGTTAATTGCGCCCGCAGTAAATCGAGTCTCCGTGAACAACCTGATAGCGTTATCCCCTCCTTCAGCGGTCCTCACGTCATTCTTCAAGTGAAATATGCGGGGTGATCAATCCCCGCGGGCGCTAATGGCGGCATGGTTCTCTAGAATCTACTTGCAGACGCAAGGTTCGTTAACTTCGCTGCACTACGTTCGACATCTCTCTGACGATTAGGAAAACTACTAGGCAAAGTCTCGGTTAAATGGATGCAGGAACTTGCAGCCGGACAAACACCAGGAAACCGTGCAACAGTTGCATAAGAGCATTGAACCCACCAAATTGTCCACCAACCAACCCACTACAAATGGCAAATCATTTCCTGATGCAGGATTCCTGGTTTCTGGCAGGCGGGGAACCCTACAAGTGGTATCACTAGCCATCTAGGTGACCTTGCAAGATCTCGGCGAGAGGGGACCTACAAATACCCTCACCCTTGACAAACCTGCCGAGTTGTCATTTACGGTCATCCCCAGGACACAGAACTTGATCAGCATGCAGATCCTCAGTATCAGCTCCCTTGCAGCGGTGCTACTCGCATCGTCCGTTAAAGCCTCATTGGACATAGTAAGACCTTCCTGCATCGGGTTCGCTCTCGACTTACAAATTCCAGGTTTCGGGGGCTACCTGGACAGCAGCTGGAACGGATCAGCATATTCAAGCCCATGGCGGAGGTACGCCTTTGCAAGTCTGGACCTACTCTTCTCTGTACTGATCAGATCAGGGATCATCGAGGTTGACGGGACCTATTATTGGGTCGGAGAAAACAAGCTCGACGGAACATATTTCCAGTCGGTGAATTGCTATTCGAGCAAGGTGAGAACTCACCCCTTACACGTGTATTCTGCTCGGACTGATATGACTAGGACTTGATTCAATGGGAGTTCGTGAACGAGCTTCTTTCCGTTCAGGAATCGGGCGATCTCGGACCGAAGAGGGTTGTCGAGAGACCAAAGGTCATATATAATGATGACACCAAGCAATATGTCATGTGGATGCACATCGATTCGAGCGATTACTCCGATGCACGGGCTGGAGTCGCAACAGGCTCCAGCGTTTGTGGGGATTATACTTACCAGTACGCTTGACAGGCCGGCGCAGCTGTGAAATGGGGCTAATGTGCTGCAGTAACTCCACGCGACCTCTCGGATTTGTTTCCAGGGACATGGGTCTTTTCAAAGGTTAGACCGGCACTCATGTCATTGGTGACGTTGCACTAATTGTTTGCAGATACTAATGGCACTGCCTATCTCCTGACAGAAGACGTAAGTGAGGAATCTGAGGTCAAAGATGGGTCTAACTTTACCAGAGAAACAATGGGCTGCGGATCGATCGTCTTTCGTCTGACTATTTGACCGTTGAGTCGCCGGTCCATCTTTTTGAGACTTATGAATCCCCGGCTATCTACAAGAGCGGAGATACTTATTTCATGTTTGGGTCGCAGTTGACTGGTAAGTTTGGGTTTACCTCGACATTAAGCAAGGTGCTAACAGCGTGATAGGATGGAGTAGGACTTCCGAAATACTCGAAACGAAAGCGAGTGTATTAACGTGATTTTAGATGCGAATGACAACCGGTATACAACCGCAACTAGTCTCTCCGGGGTAGGAATTCCCCACGCAATGGAACTTAGCGCAAAGAGCTGACCTTTCTAGCCCTGGTCCAAGTGGACAAATTTTGCTCCTGAAGGGTCCAAAACCTTTACATCGCAGACTACATTTATTCTAGAAAAGGATGGCGTTGTTATGTATGCCTACACCCTCACACACTAACTTCTTCCGCTGACTTCTCAGTTATATGGGCGACCGTTGGGTCCCGAGTAACCTGGCTTCCTCGACTTATGTATGGATGCCGTTGACCATCTCGGGAACCAAGGCAACACTGGTAAGACACTCCATTCCTTCTCTTAAGCTATATCCTAACGATAAGTTTTGCAGAATGAAGCAGCGGCATGGACATTTACCAATGGAGGTTGGGAAACAGCCAAACCGGTCGCCACACTGCCTGCCATCTCGGACGACACTACACTCGGCGGCTCCGCCCGTTCCGTGGCCGACAAGAGAGTAGGATATCTCGGTGGACCTGACAACGGAACCCTGACCTTCAACAAGGTCTCCGTATCTGGGAGCGGCAAGCACACGGTGCGGATTTCATATCGCAACGGCGACGGCTCACAGAGGTATTGTGCTGTTGTCGTGAATGATAAATCATACTCGGTGGCCTTCAGCTCTACCGGGACTTCTCTAGGGACGAGCGTGTTGTATGCGGAGTTTGCCAATGGACGTGAGAATGAGATCCGGTTTGAGGGACTAAATGAAAAATACTGTGAGTGATTCTAGTCGGTCGCATGGTGTTGGGTTGTGAATTGGACTAATAAGACGTTTTAGGTCCTGATATTCAGGAGTTGGTCATTTCCTAGCTCGAACTAGGTAGACAGCTGGAGTTACACGACTAAACACCATGCCTTGATTTGAGTTGTGATGTCGAGCTACGTTTCATGTGCCCTTAAATCTGGGATATGCGGTGATACTTAAATCATAGGAACTGTTACTCGGTCCGAGTCGAAGTGCCACGAGTAAACAAATATGTAAATGATCGCAAGACGAAGACAACTCCATGTGTGATCGTACTTTTGACCTCAATCCTTGTTCAATCCCCATAAATCCCTTGATGTCATTGGCCCCGGAAGTGCCCCCTTTCCTTCTGGTAGGACTTTGACGCCATGCACGGGGACCTGCAGGAGGATTGCCAAAAGTGAAGAGCTTACCTTGCAAGCTGACGTTATGACAAACAAACGAATGAGACCCAAACGGTATGCCATCACCTCGTCTGAAAAATCCTCTTCCCTGACTGCTCTCCCTTAATCACTTTCTTGCTCCCTCTTGTCGCTTCTCCCTCAGAGCAAATCTCTCAAAAATGTCCTCCCCAGCAGGAGAATACCGCATCCACAGCCTCAACTCCCGCTCCGACCTCCTTCGCGCCCTCGAACGCCACCAAGACACCCTCAAACAGCCGTGGCCCGCTTTCTTCCACGGCAGCCCAACCCTCACAACCTACCTTCCGCGCTTAATCGACTACACAGGCCTCCTCCGCTACCAATATGTGATGGTCTGGCAGGACCACACAGGCCAAGAGACGCTCGTCGCGCACGCCCGCTCCGTCCCGTTCTACTGGCCCGAACTAGCCGATTTTCATCGCCGCCAGCCAGACACCATACCTTCCCGTTCCCCTTCCTTAGCAGGAGAAGACGGTCAGCGGGTCCTGGAGAGCCTTCCGGACGGCGGCTACGAAACCATCCTCTCGCGCGCCGTGGAGCAGTTCTTCGTCCGACAGGGTCTCCCTGCTATGTCGCCTCCTTTGACGCACGATCAGGTTCGGGACATGGCCGTTCGGCGACGATGCGAGGCACCGAATGCGCTGGCGGCTGTGGGGATAGTGGTTTATCCGGACTGGAGGGGCCAGGGGATCGTGGGGCGAATGGTGCAGTATATGAGGGGCGTTGCTGGGAAGGATGGGTTGGGTGTGTTGGTCACGCCTTTGCGACCGGCAGGGAAGGCGCTTTTTCCGACGGTCGAGATGCAGAAGTATCTGGGTTGGAGGAAGGAGATGGGGCCGAAGACGGTGGATGAGTCTTTATCGTTCTCCATGTCGACCGGTTCAGCGTCTGTGGATGATGGGATACGTGCACTGTTTGATCGGGTGTTGAGGAAGCATGTTTCTTTGGGTGGGAGGGTGGTCAAGGTCGCGAGGAATAGTATTTCGGTGACGCGGGATATTGGGGCGTGGGAGGGTTGGACGAGATTGGATTTGCAGGAGTTGGTGGAGTCAGAGACTGAAAATGGGGAGATCTGTGTTCCTGGCGCCTTGGTTCCTGTCAAATACCATCCGAAAGATAAGCGACTTGTCTATCGTGAGCCTCACGTCTGGGTGTATCATACCGTGACTACACCCAGCTAAACTTTGAAATTGATTGAGGAGCAAATAATACATTCTTCGATGTAGTGCATTCTTCGATGTAGTCTTGTTTGGTGGGAGAACTGTGCTGACTGGCTCAGGGGTTTGATATTTTAGCAAATGTGTTGTGGAATGATGATTCTAGTTGGGCACGGTGTCTCTGCCTTGGGTAGGTTGATAGAGGGAGAGAATTAGAACGAGAGATTAGGATGCTTTCCTTTGACGTGAAAAAGTCATGGCTTCAGGTTCACAAGTTCAAGAAGTGACATTGAATACATTTTGCAGATTCCCCTGAGAGAAACACGGTAAGAAGTACATAGTGAGATCCTTGACCAGCTCCCTAGATCCAACTCATCCTGATGGAAAAACAAAAAGGGAAAAAAAAAATAGAAATTAAAAAATAAAAAATTGCAACTTTGCTCAGGACCAGTACGATTATCCCAACTAAAACCCCCCAAACACACTTTCTTCATGAGACGTAATAGACAACAAAAACAAGAGTGTAGAAGCCCAACCATCCTCACTGGTTCTCTTCCACCTTCTCTCGAGCAAGCTCCAGTTGAAAAAGATCCATTTCAAAGATCGCCTCCTCCACGTCTTCTCTAGCACGAAGACGCTCGATTCTAGCGATGTGGGCATTGCGAGTAGCCTGGATCATAGCATCATACCAATCGTCGGCAGTGGCATCCTGATCGACACGAGACGCGAGGCGGAGGCCTGGTTTGTAATCTCCGTAAATGGCCCTGGCTCTTGGGGATCTGGATCGAATGCGACGTGGGGACGCTGGAAGGATAGAGCGCTGACGACTTCTGTTGCTGCGGTCTGAAGAGGGCGCTAGAAGAGGGGGGTGCCATCCGCAGGTTCTCTTGGGCTGAGGCGGCTTCGTGTCCTCATCGTCGGAGGAGATGTCGCGCTTGACGGTCACGGGCGCTGGGGCTGGTGCCGGTACAGCATGCTGGGACTCGGTTTCAAGGTGCGAGGAGTGGTGATCGGATGAAGAGGACAATTGGATAGGAGTTTCGGGTGTCGCAATGGTGGTTGCAGCTCTGGTGTGCGCGGGAGAAAACCTGAAGGCCCTTGGAGTCGCGCCCAGCGTGCTTAAAGGTCGCGCAGGTCTGGGGCTGATTCTTGGGACACGAGGCGTGGACTGGAGAATGAGTGAGGAGCCGTCTTTCTCGGCCACTGGTTGATCGGATGGCAGCGTCATTGTGTGGCTGTCTGGGTAGACCTTGCAGAGTAGACGAAATATGAAGATGGAAAAAAGTACGGTTGCGGTGGAGGAGGGAAGAGACAGATGAAGGAGAAGAGGAAAAGAAAACAAAGAGAAGATCGGACGAGGGAAGAAACAAGGACCGAGATTCACTAGCTCGATATTCACTGATCGTTGGGACTCAAAGGTGGCTCTTCCATTCGTTCTCATCTGAGGAATAGAATGCTAGATAGCTAGGCCATACTTTGGCTACATGACTATATTGTCCTTTCATAGTGTTTGTGATGTTTAAGCGCGCTTCTTAAGAGCAATATCGCTCCCGTCAAAGAGTGCACATAATCTTGTATTTTCCTTTTGCTTCATAGCTTCTGATAGGCTCAAATTGGTCTTTCTCGGAGATCCCCGGTTCTCTACAAGTGATCATAGCTATATGAGACCCTCTTGGTGAGACGATCAGTCTCTCTCCAATCCAGGATTGAAGCAGGCCTTCGTGTTTGCACCAGCCTCCAAGGATGGCCGACAGTCTCCCACGTGGAGGAATCTCGTGTCTTCCCTTGGAGCTGTACGAGCTAATTGCGTTACACTGTGCGTTGGAGTGCAGACTGACTGGATTTCGGCCGCCCATTGCAAAACAGCTAAAACGCCTTCGCCTAGTGAATAAGAGGCTTCATCATGCCGCAACTCCTCTTCTGTTTCGCCGTGTGAAAACACAAGTAGGAGACTTTTTCAACAACCCGCTTATAGTTCTTAAGAAGATTGCCGGTAGCGACTTCGCACCGTTCGTTCGGAAGCTTATTCTAGGTGCTAGCAGGGTTGAGGAGAAAGATCTCCGCCAATATGTTGGGAAATTGGATAAAACGTTATCATTTTGCTTTGATCGATTCAAGAACTTGGATTATGTTCTACTAGAGTGCCCTCGGACTTACGGGTTCTCCTATGTAGGATTTTGGATCCAGATGGAAACCATTGGTGGAATCTTGGTCAGAACGCTCAGACATCATCCACTGCGAAGACTGAAGGATCTTAGAATCCAATGTTTCTCCATTCCTTGCAAAGAAAACGTACTGAAATCACTTATCCCGGTCATGCCAACTATTGAAAGCCTCAGCGTTGGCCTTGACGGGGATTTTGAAAGGTCGGTGGAGACGGGTCTATCATGCGCGTTGAAACATGCGAAGCTTATCAACATGAAAACTGGTTTGATTAAAACAAAATGATCTATTGAAACTCAGATTTCCTATAAATATCAGTGTCATCCATGAAGTATGTCAGAGCTTTCTGAACCCGGTCATACTGAATACATATTCCACGAACAATAGGCCGGTCCCAGCTTGATCTAAAAAGAGCCCTAACGTGTAGGTCAAGTCGTAACCGCCAGATATCCCGGCACAGACCTTGCTCGGATATTCTTTGTAGCAAAAAATATGATATCTCCCTCAAAAGCTATTCCTATTCTCCGCAGGAACAAAACGTACTTTTGGGTATCTGCAAGGTTTGCGGTGTAGACTTGACCATTCCATGGCGAGATTCCCCCGCGTCCTGCCAAAAGACTTTTTGGTTTGACAGGTTAACACACCGACCATAACGACGCTGGTTCCTCAGCCTGCTGTCCATTTTCTTCTCCGAGTATCTTCACTCCACCAGGCCGCACGCACTCCCATACGAAAGGGGTGCATGGCAGTTGGATCTCCGAAACTATTCAAGTAGGAGTACGAGGGTTCGATTCCATGTATGCGGCGCCTGGTGGCGATTCACACCTCCACGATGCTCCTTATAGATTTTTACCAAACAAATTAAGCATAAGATCCTCCTGAAATCAAAAACAATTTTTGCCGTATCTTCACTCAATCCATTTCCTACGACCTGTCCACCTTATTATATTCCCCCAACACCTTGACTTGAATCCGATTCAACCCAGGCTTCGTCTGTCCAATGAACTTATCCCTCACCATCTCCAAATTCCGTTCTGTCGTATCATAGAGAGTCATCTCGAATTTTCTCACCAGTGTCCCCAGAACCAAATACATCCACACCCAGGTCATACTATTCCAAATTAGCTTTGGTTCGGAACAACAGAGATCTGTGATAGCACTTACTTCGGACCCAGACAGCCCAAGGTACCCTTTGAAAATGGGACGAGATAACTCTCTAGCCGGCGCAACTCATCTGGCTCCAGGAGCCAGCGCTCGGGGCGGAAGCTCGATGGGTCTGGAAAGATCTTTGGATCACGCAGGATGAAGAAGGTCGACATGCTCACGGGTGTCTAATACGTCGGTTAGCCAAGATGGAACGATTCGAAGGAAATTTAAATATACCCCGCGCGGAATCTCCCATTCGTGGAATTGCAGGTCCTCATCCGGTGCAATACGAGGCAGTCGTGTAGTGACAATGGATGACAACCGAAGACCCTCTTTCAACACGGCAGTCTGGTAGTCTGTTAGCCATACTAGTTGACGGCAGTCGCATCACCAGTGACTTACAAAGTACGGCAACGTCTCCAAGGCCGCCAGACCGGGCGACATCGACGCATCTTCCCAAGCAGCGCACAGCTCACCGCGAACTCTTTCATGGACATCCGGATGACGCAGAATGTGGAATAAAGTAATAGCCAAAGCCTGCGACGGCGCATCGGTACCAGCAATCATCAAGAAAATTGCGTCATCAGCCAATCGAGTGAACTCTTTCTCCTCCTCAGGTACCTTCTCGTGTTCCAAAATCGCAGGATAAATTGCTTTGGCCGCCTTCTCGCTGCTTACCATACCACGTTCATGTATTGCGTTACGAACCATTTGTTTGACATCCTGATCGTGTCATCAGCTTTTAACCAATAGAACCTAGACAGGTAAGGAAAGCACACGTACCGTTTCCATTTGAATAACCTCGTAGAAGCATGGATTAATGCTTCCCGCCACCCTAGGGATGGCATGAGCCAGCTTGCAAAGCCACGGCATGTGTCTTGCGACCTGAACAAGCTCAAAGCTCGAGTTCACCTTTTTCTTCCAAACCGCATCCAGCTCTGCCCGATCCAGTGAATGAAACCCGTTCCGCTGCCCAAAAGCATGCTGCGAGATGGTGTCACTCGCAAAGCACAGAAACGCGGCATGAAGCTCCAAGGACCCGTGTGTGGATTCCGCCTGGCGAAAGTGGTGAGACAAAGCTTGAATATTGGCCTGGATGACCGGCTCCAGATCCAAGATTGCTCTTCTTGTGAAGAATTGGCCCAAGACGCTTCTACGGACGCGGTGAAGGGTATGTCCCTCCGTTGAGAAGATCGACTGAGGCCATCCGAGGTAGGAGAACCAGGCATCTTTATTCCGCTTGCTCGTCGGGCCCGAGTACAGCGTGTTATAATAATCTGGGTCTTGCACGTGAAGCTCCGATGGTTTGATCCGCACTATAGGTCCGTATTGCTGATGAAGACGCTCAATCTGCCAGACGAACTGACCATCCTGAACTATGTCATAGTATGTTTCATAGAGCCCCGTCACGGCGGCCAATCGAGGTCCGGGGAACTTGGCAAGTGGGCTAAGGTAGAGGCGATAAAAGGCAAGTCCGACAAGAGAGAAGACGGCAAATGAGACTGAAGAACATATATACACCCATATCATGGGGTCTATGCCCTCAACGTCGGGCCGCTTCAGCGACGACAACCAAGGTTGCAAAATTATCATGCCCGACTTCATCTTGTCTGAGGAGTCTGTGTGTCAGGATGGTGCTGCCCAGTTGGAGACACGAGGAGAGATATCCAGCTTTTAAAAGTTAATTTTCTCTCCGTAGATCACGAGCTCATTCCCCATAGATATCGGTGTGTTACACGGAGAATAAGAGGGGTCTCCAATGCGGTAGGAGTGAGAGATCATCCGCAAGGGATTCAAACGACATATTGTCAGCTGGAAAGCGTGAAGCCATTCCAGAAGGTGGACCCAGTGCTTATCAGATGTTCAATTGTATGCAATAACGGTTTCTCAATACAACATAAGCCCCATTAGGTAGGGCACAGCAGGATAAACGCGCCTCACACCCATATAGCGGATGATCGGCGTTAGACATACCAAACCAGTGTCATGTTTGCCTACTAGGGACTTTGACATTTGTAGTTGTTTGCAGAAAATTACTATTTCTTGACCCATGCACTTTCTCCATTATACTAATCCAGGATCCGCGCATACAGGGGGTTATGTTCAAATTTAGCGGCTATTGGCAGAATTCTTCAATTCTTCTCTGCTAGTTACGTCATTTTGAAGCAGGAGAGGGGGTTTTTGCAACATCGCCTTCATTCCAATCCCTTATCCCATACAACCACGCCTCGCTTGTCCTTGTGTATAGCCGGGCGGATATATGCACTAATTAGTCTTCGTTAAGAAGGGTTGACCCTTTTTAGTCCAGCGGTTAAACTGCGATATTGCCACACACCCCACGTGACCAAAATAATTAGTCAACCACCAATCCCTCCACAGTAACTACATAAGTAAACCGGTATATCTCTGAGGTCTTACTGGTAAGTAGGTGGAATACTACAGATATTCCATACTATACCTAAATCAATTGGAATTGCCTATTCTGGGTAAAAGAGGCTTTATTCCAATCCTCTATAAAAAACACTTCCAATAGTTACATTCGACAAAATCTCAATTGAGTGATACCTAAGGCACTCAAAGTTAGTGTAGGCCACTCCTAATTATTTCGGAGTGGAATTGGAATCAAACACCCCTGATGTCAAGACATTTGACATTTTGAAGAATTATCAGTTCCACCCCTATTGCTTAGTCGACCGCCGATAAATGCGCCAAAAACGCCGTGGCATTTATTGCTTTTTTCGAGCCCGAACTCGACAATTGAAATCGGATGAATCTCACAATTATTCGTTGCCCCGCGAACTATGGATGCTTACTCATTTCCATTTTTGGAATGGACATTGTCACAAACAAAAAGTCAAGATGTCATACCGAATCGAAACGGGAAACAGACCATCCGATGCAGTTAGGAAGTAGAGTTAGATTAGTGGTGAGTTGCTAAGCGTTATATGTCAACAATAAACTTCATGCAAATCAACACTGTAAAGGTATATATGGGTCGACGGGCGGTTATACATATTAGGTTGTGCGCCGCACTGGGAGAGATTTTTGGCAGTTTATTCTCATCTTGATAGAGATCCAGTCCGAGTTCTCAAGCCCTCTGCACGACTTAACTCTCTCATTTACCTTGAACAATGCCGTCCAGCGATACTTCCAGGAGTTCTCCAGGGTGGACAACTGTTGATCCTGAAGAAATCCAAGGGGGGTTGGACGATAAATGGCCTCACGATGCTCCTCCTCTCATCGCCATTGTCGGCATGGGAGTACGACTGCCAGGTGGTGTTTCTTCCCCAGAAGACTTCTGGCAATTGATGATTGACAAGAAATGCGCGTCTGTGCCTGTTCCTGCTGGACGGTATAACGTGGAGGCCTTCTACGGAACTCCAGGCGTGAACATGCAATCAGTGATTTCCCAAAAAGGATACTTTCTTGAAGGCGACTACCTGGGAAAGGTCGATACCTCGTTCTTCCAGCATAATCGGTACGAGCATGGGTTCCAAGATCCCCAGCAGATGCTGCTATCAGAAGTGGTTTGGGAGTGTATGGAGAGCGGTGGGCAAGTCAATTGGCAAGGGACGGAAATCGGATGCTTTGTGGGCACGTTTGGAGAGGACTGGCTCGATCTTACAGCAAAGGACACCCAAAATCTCAACCCCCTCTACATTGTTGGATCCGGTGATTATGCGGCATCGAACAGGGTATCATTCGAATATGACTTGAAAGGCCCGAGCATGACTTGTCGAACTGCCTGTTCATCCTCTCTCGTGGCGCTTCACGAGGCCTGTCAAGCAATTACCCTTGGCGATTGTCCTTCCGCCATCGTCGGAGGATCCAGTCTCATTTTCACACCGACAATGACAATCAACATGTCTCGGGCTGGGGCTCTATCCCCAGATGGGATCTGCAAGACATTCGATGCGGACGCTAATGGGTACGCCAGAGCGGAAGGCGTCTGCGCGCTTTATATCAAGAAACTAGACGATGCCATTCGTGACAAAGACCCGGTCCGCGGGGTCATTAGAGCAGTTGCGACCAACTTTGATGGCCGAACAAATCATATCACGGTCCCGTCGGCGGTCGGACAAGAGATTCTGATCCGGAAAGCCTACCGAAAAGCACACATCGCCAATCTTGCAGAGACGGCATTTGTAGAATGCCACGGCACAGCTACGCGGGTGGGCGATGTCGTCGAGACCACTGCCGTGGCGAATGCCTTTGAACGCAATCCATTGATTATTGGAGGGGTATGCCTGTGACCAATTGAATAACCCCCGGGTCGCTAATGTATACTTTTGCAGGTAAAACCTAATATTGGTCACACAGAGGGCGCAGCAGGCCTGGCAGGCTTGATCAAAGCAGTGCTTGCCTTGGAGCACAGACAAATCCCTCCCAATGTCAATCTTTCAACGCCAAACCCAAACAGTACACATTTCCTCGGCTAATAACTCGATATTGGGCCATCACTAATGCGCTTTAAGTTTTATTCAAGGAGGCAGGTTTGACGGTACCTTTGGATGTCCTCCCTTGGCCAGTAGACCGGAAAGAACGCGTCAGTATCAACTGCTTCGGGGTCGGTGGCACCAATGCCCATGTAGGTCCTTCCTTTCTCTTTGAAGCTATACTCATACTCACCAAAATAGGTCATTGTCGATTCAGCGGCATCCGTGATGTCTTCTATGTCCATGGAGTCGCTAAAAATTAGCAGCAACGTCCCAAAACTACTCCTATTATCGGCTAGCAGTCCCCAATCCCTTGATGAGCGAGCGAAGGGCATCCAGGAATACCTTGCGCAGCATCCCGAAGCATTCTCTGATTTAGCCTATACGCTCAGTGCAAAGCGAGAGCACCTCCGTCACCGGGCATTCGCAGTCACCGATGGAACTGTTTCTCTTGAGGCCAGCGACTTCACGAAAGCCGACAACAAAAAGTCTGGAACTAAAATCGCAATATTCGCTTTCCCGGGCCAGGGAGCTCAGTGGGCTGGAATGGGGACTGAATTAATGGATAGCTTTGCGTCCTTCAGGAAGGACATGGAGCACATGGATCGGGTTCTTCAGAGCTTGTCAAATGCCCCCGCATGGCGGATTCAAGGTATGACCAGTAACCTTGTGGATGTTTTTTGTTTCCACTAACTGATGCATTCGAAAATTGAAGAGGAGTTGCTTAAAACAGGAGAAAACAGTGGCATCAACCGACCCGAAATAGCACAGCCACTGTGCACCGCAGTTCAAATTGGTTTGGTGAACATCCTCAGAAGCTGGAACATTACCCCCGACAAAGTCATAGGTCATTCCAGTGGAGAGTTTGCAGCAGCTTACGCAGCTAATGCCTTATCTGTGGAGACGGCAATCATATTAGCCTATACCCGCGGTGTAGTCGCTAACATGGCACCAGAAGGGAGCATGCTTGCGGTGGCGCTCGGCCGAGCCAATGTCAGCGAATATTTGGACAACGACATAGTGTTGGCGTGCGAGAATAGTCCGAATAGCGTAACTCTTGCAGGGAACCGTGGTCAGCTAGAGCAGGTAGCGTCTCGGATCCAGAGCGAAAAGCCGGATACCCTGTTGAAAATCTTGCCTGTGGAACGAGCATACCACTCTGGTGAGATTCCATCCTCATGCCGTCAGTGTCGATGTTAACCGGTCACCAGGACATATGGCTTCCGTGGGTTCCAAATATGAAGAACTCACCCGACCCCATCTGGTTAATGATAAAGTCTCAATGATTCCAATGTACTCAACAGTATCCGGTGGAGTGACCACCAGTCCTGGAGAGCTTGACGCGGCGTATTGGCGCCGTAGTCTGGAATCCCCTGTCTTATTCTCAACTGCTTTCCGAGATTTGGTCACGTCGACACAAAACAAGCATCATGTTGTAATAGAAATTGGTTCAAACTCAGCACTCCGTGGGCCGATCCAACAAATTCTGCGAGATACAAACACCAGCTTCACATACTGTTCGACCATGAGAAGTAATGAGAGTAATATTACTCGGGTCTTTTCTGTTGCTGGAACCGCTTATGTCAATCATTTGCCAGTTGACCTGATCGCTGTCAATGAAGGCCATCAGGGCCAAACACTCACCGATCTTCCTCCCTATCCGTGGCAGCGTGAAGACATTCCCTGGGCAGAGACACGCATCAGCAAACAATGGCGGTTGCGCCAATTTCCCCGCCACGAACTGCTCGGGGTGCGATGTTTGGAATCCAACGACTTCGAGCCGGCATGGAGAAATATTCTGAAGGGCGAGGAAGTTCCCTGGATCAATGACCATCGCATGATGGGTCTGGTCATATTCCTAGCTGTGGGATATGTAGCCCTGATATCGGAAGCTATCCGACAGATATCCGGTTCAACTGACTGCACCCTCGAGCAACTTCAACTTATGGAGGCCCTTGTCCGAGATGAGGAAGAAATCGAAATCATGACAACATTGCGAAAAGCGACAATGAATGCAACGATGGACTCGGACTGGTATGAGTTTACAGTGTGCTCTTACACTGGCCAAGGCTGGACAAAGCACTGTTCCGGGAAGGTGAGAGCGGGCACGGATCAGCCACTTCCGTCAAACACTATTCCAGAGCCTTTCGAGCGAGATATTACATCGCACAATTTCTATCGCAGATGTGAGAAGAAAGGCCTTGAGTACGGGACTCATTTCGAGGGACTGCATGATATCAGCGTCAGTCCGCTGAAAAATGCAGCACGTGGACGAGTAGAGGACCATCGTGATCTTCACGACAGTTATTATGCCATACATCCGGCGATCGTAGATCAGTGTCTTCAAGTCGTGCTTGCAGCCAGTGACAAAGGTGTGTCGCACTATCCTGACAAGGCAGGCATGCCATTGTACATCGACCGGGTTTACCTTGCCCCTGGGAGCAGCTCGATGCTAGTTGAGGCGGAGACGACCGATTCAACCAAGGAGGATCTAAGTTGCTATTTCAAGGCGGTTTCTGAGTCAACGGGAAAAGTTGTTTTGGAAGTGAAGGGATTGCGCTTGTTGCCCGTACCAGAAGCAGCCCAAGAAGCCAAAGGATCGAAGTTTGCAACTCATGTTGAGTGGAAGCCGGATATTAGATTTCTGCCGGGAAATCAGCAAGTGCCGTCGGCCACTTTCTTAAATCAACAGAAAACTGAAATCTTTGCCATGGCAGGGTTTCTCGTTGTATTCGAGATGATTGAAGCCTTAACGCCTCATGAACATCTTCCTGCACACCTAGCCAAGTACAGAGCGCTAGTTATGGACGCAGGCAAGAAGGTCGTTCAGGGTCAGTATGACCATGTTCCTGGAGTTATGGAAATCAAAGAGATGAGCAGAGAGCAGCGGAAGGCGCTGTTCAAGCCCTTGCAAGACCAATTCCCGGACCCGAGAGTTGAACGATTCTATAGGGACGCCTGGACGTACGCAAGTGAACATTCGAATCAACTTATAGAAGGGGCCATCTTTGAAGACACGTCACTTTTGGAGACGATCAAGGGCATTGTTGAATGGGGCCTTGGGCTATACGACTGGAGCACTTTCTTTGGTCCTCTATCTCACACGAATCCAAGTATGCGCATCTTAGAAATTGGAGCAGGGGCAGGTTCAGCAACGGCGGCCATCTTGAATGCATTGACTACCGAGCGGGACGACCGTCTTTTCAGTCAGTTCACGGTAACCGACGTGCTACCTGGGCTTGTCAGGCAATTGAAACAGCGTTTTAAAAACGTTCCGAAAATGGAGCACAAGACTCTAGATATCTCGAAGAGTCCGACAGAGCAAGGGTTCGCAGAAGACAGCTTTGACTTGGTTGTTGTCTGCAATGTTCTGCATGAAACACCTATTCTTGGTCAATCACTCGCACACATCCGCTCTTTACTTGCTCCTGGGGGTCGGCTGCTTTTGTACGAGCCCTGCTCCGAGATTCCACACTTCGATGTAGTCATGGGTATCCTTCCTGGGTGGTGGTTAGGTGCTGGTGACAACCGTTGTGATAAGCCTTACGTTCCGGTGGAACGTTGGCAACAGGAGTTATGCAAGGCAGGCTTCTCGGGACTTGATGGATATCAATATAATGCACCCGCACCGCTCCACTGGCAGGCAATGATGCTATCAACAAATCCAGCGGTCGATGACCCGCGCTCATCCATCAACCTGCTTTGCACGACAGAGATTAAGTCCAACCCTTGGACACAAAGCCTGGAGCGCCACCTGTCCTCCGAGGGATATGAAGTGCACTGGTGCATCTGGGGGAAAGAATTTCCAACAGAAAATGTGATCGCACTGCTGGATGTTGAAAGCCCATTCCTGCACGATATGTCCCAGTCCACATATAGTGCAGTGCAAAGCTGGATGCCGTCGGTGAAACTTCTCCTTTGGGTGACCCATTCAACGCAGATGGAATCCAAAGATCCTAGATTCAGTCTCATTCTAGGTCTCGCTCGCACATTGCGGTGTGAATTGAATGTCGACATTGGCACTTGTGAGATCGACTCATTTAACGAGGCCGCACTTCCCATAGTAACGCAAGCTTTCAAGGAGCTTGGTACGTCGATTACAGGGCAAGGGTCTCGTGACTATGAGTTCATCTCGCATAGAGGTGTGGGCCACACTGGTCGTGCAGCCGTTGCCAAGATTACAGACCATCTCCAAGCCACAGACCAGCTAGATGTCCATCAGTTAGACATTCAAACGATCGGTGACTTGAGCTCGCTCGGATGGAAACCTGTTCCTACAGAGGCTGTCGGCCCACACGACGTGGAAGTCAAGGCCAGCTATATGGCGCTAAACTTCAAAGACCTTATGATGTGTCTGGGTATCGTTGAACGGGCCAAAACAATGGACTTCGGGTTTGAGGCCAGTGGTATTATCACTCGCGTAGGGTCGGAGGTGAGAACTATGCAAGTCGGTGATCGAGTAACCTTGTTCCACCCGCAGCCGATGAGAACTCGAGCTGTTTTTCCTGCTGAGCAAGTACTCCCCGTTCCAAATGAGCTCACGCTCGCAGAGGCTGCAGCCGTTCCAAGCGCTTATGCAACTGCTATCTGTACACTGGTCGGAATCGGAAAGCTACAGAAGGGCCAGTCTGTCTTAATTCATTCCGCGTGTGGAGGAGTCGGTCTAGCGGCAGTGCATGTCTGCCAGAGCCTCGGCGCCGAGGTATATCAAATCATTCCACTGTTGTGTTATATGATCTAATGAATAAACAGGTATTTGCCACTGTTGGTAGCCAGGAAAAGATTGAGTACCTTATCAAGAGATTCGGAATTCCACGGTCGCACATCCTCGACTCACACAGTGTTTCGTTTCTGACGGGCATCATGAGGGAAACCAATGGCAAGGGCGTCGATTTGGTGCTCAATTCCTTAGCTGGTGAACTACTCCGTGCATCATGGAAATGTGTCGCTCAGTTCGGCAAAATGCTTGAGCTTGGAAAAAGAGATATGCTCGGCCATGGCATGCTTGATCTCAATGGGTTCCAGGGGTGTCGTTCATTCTGTGGTTTCGACTTGTATAGTGTGGCCTATGACGATGTCGAAACCGGAAGATGGTATGCCCTGCAACGTGATTGTCTTTTGGGGTCTTCCACAAACTAACACACCTTCAACAGGGCCCTTAACTTGGGTACTAAGCTCTTTAGCGACACAGATTACCGCCCTCCGCAGACAATTTTCAAAGTGGATCAGTTAGAAACTGCCATGCGACAAATGCAAAAGGGACAACACATTGGAAAGTTCGTCATTGACATGCCTGATGACGAGAGAGAGCTTCCATTGCTTCCAGCGCAGCCGAGGTTTGCATTCTCTCCCAAGTCTTCATATTTACTGGTTGGTGGTTTGAGAGGCATTGGTCGGTCCGTTGTTCGGTGGATGGTGGAGTATGGGGCCCGTCACTTTGTATTCCTCTCGCGATCGGCTGGATCCCACAAAGAAGATCAATTATTTGCTCAGGAGCTAGAGATCCAGGGATGCCGCGTGAAGATGGTCGCTGGAAGTGTGGCGGATGCGGACACCGTTGGGTGCACGATTCGAGAAAATGTACGCCCAATCGCCGGCGTGATCCAGATGTCAGCTGTTCTGAAGGTAATCATCGAAGTAACCCTTGGCCTCGAGGGGTTGCAAATTGCTAACACATTATCCAGGACCAATTATTCGACAAGATGACATATGAGGACTGGACCACGAGCTTGGCAACCAAAGTCCAGGGAACGTGGAATCTTCACCATGCTCTGCTGGGACAGTCCCTAGACTTTTTCATTGTCTTCAGTTCCCTAGCTAGTATGATTGGAAACCCAGGACAGGCTAACTATGCCGCTGCAAATTCGTTCTTGGACGGATTCGTACAGTATCGCCGAGGGCTAGACTTACCCGCCTCGCTGGTCAGCCTGGGCCCTGTCGACGAAATGGGTCTCATGGCGAACAAGCCAGAGCTCCTGAATAAAGCCCGCCAAACATTCCGCCACATTATGGGGGAAGAAGATGTGCTGAAGGCGTTCCAGGTAGCTCTACTCTCAGCGAAAGATGGCCCGTTGTCAACACGCCCTGGAGTGGTGGTCTCCGGGTTTTCTCCTACCGTCCTTACCAGTGATCCATGGCTGCAACATGATGCGCGATTTTCCATTCTTTCCGCCGCAGGAACAGACGCGTCAACCGCTGGGGGACTCGACGAAGAACAACTGCGGCAGAAACTCGCGTCTCTTAGAGACAATCCGGGACCCCTGAAAGATGGCACACGTGAGACTTGGATCATCGAAAATCTTGGCGAGCAGATCGCATCACATAACATTAACAGGCAATCCGAGGAGACAAGTGTAGACTACTATGCTAGTCTCGACGTGGATTCTCTGATGAGTCTGCAGATCAAACATTGGCTGCGCCGCAAGGTAGAGGTGGAGCTTTCGCTTGGGGACATTATCAAGGCCAGAACGGTGGGGAATATTGCAAAATTGGTTACAGAGAATCTCCGTGCAAGATACGGGGTGAAAGATGAAGGAGGTGCCACAACTTAGGGTGTCTGTAGATGATAGAAAGCCCAGAGTGGGGAACAAATGGAAGATCTTGGCAAAGACCCTTCGGACGCGACCGGGACGCGCTCACCATATCACGTGGTATATTATCTGCTCGCGTTTACCGCTCTGGCCGTCGAAATGTATACAACCAGAAATTGAACCTCATGAACATGTACCCCATGCGTACACTAGACACATCTTCTTATCTTGGCATGATTTAGTCAGCCTAATGCCTTCTTTGAAACCACCAGCTCTGCGTCACCAATATCATTTCGCTCAATGAAAATGATACCTAAATGCTCTATACTCCGTACTCGATTCCGAATTCCCTATACAGCAAATATCTATCATCGTTCCATTTTTGTCTGTCGTATTTATTCTCTCTCACAGCCTGATAGGTCTTTAAAAATCAGAGACGTTCTCCCAAGATATGTCAGTTAGCAGACAATTGTGCTATACTAAACAGCTATTGCCGAAAAAACCTGCATACATGTCACATTGTGATATATCTGCATCTGCCTTTTGTGGAGTGCATGGTCGATAGTCAGGGGTACAGGACTATCATCGGAAGACCCCTTAGAGCCATAGTATTGATTATGACCTCTACATTATCTGCCAGGCTACTTCAGAGTGAGAAATTGAAAGCCGTTCGCTGTTCAGAGGGCGAAGTAAAAACCGGACTCTGGTAGGTTTCTCGTTCTACAGCTATATACAACCGGTTCCCATAGTTGTCGCTGGTCTTTAGTATTTTTTGTGATATATTCACTATTCAGCTCAGCCTCAGAGCTCTTTTTTGATAGACTCGCGATTTCTTGGCCAAAATGTTGATTCTATGCGTCATAATCGATAATCTCTTCGTATTATCAAGCCACCATTCTAGGCAATCGTTTATGGCCTACCTAACAGAACACGCGGGGTGAGATCCATGCAAGGGATACTCAGGTACCTAGCAAACATGTCTTCTAGCCCCTGCATCGCCGATTCGAATCTGTCTCCGATGATTCCGAGCAGGAAGTTCATCACTATCACATTTGACCCCACAATTTAGGTCATTGGCTACTCAAGATGATCAGCACTGTACTTTCAATAACATTGCGGGGGTAATTTGATTAATAGTAAATAGTTGCTTGCCGATCCAACGCCAGGGCCTACTCCTGACTGCCCTGTTTCTTGATGATGATCTTCTCAAACAAAGATCTATATAACCATGCCTCATTCCCACCAGTTGGGAAGAACCAGGACTCTGCATTCCACTCACAAGTTACCGAGCAATTCGCACCGTCGTGACCGCATTTTCCATCCCTCCTCTCCTTCCAAGCCATCTTCATCATATTCGTCCATTCAAGATGAGACTTTCTCAAACCTTTACTCTCGCCTTCGCCGCAGGCCTCAGCCTTGCCCCCGGTGCCCTCGCTGTCCTCGGCACCTCCTGTGTCAAGGCCGTCAACGCCATGCAGCAACTCCCCTTTGACATCCTGACCCATGTTCAGGAACACTCCTGCGAGGCTGGCTGCAAACCCAAGCTCAGCCACTGGAGCAAATTCGGCAAAAAGGAAGTCATGGAGCCCATCGTCGAGGAAGGAGCCAAGCGCAACAACTTGAAGGAGGGCAAACAAGCCATGGTCGACTATCTCGATGCGGTTTTCCAGAGCGTGGAATCCCAATGCCAGGATCAGATCGAGAGCAAGCACTTTTGCGAAGACTCCGACCAAATGAACCCGTTCTTGGAATGCGCCCGGAAGGAAATCAATGCCTCTTCTGCTCGTGAGCTCCCTCGATTGACTAAGCATATGAACGACGACTCGTGCGAGAAGATCGAGAAGTATGCGAAGAGCCCTGAGTTGTGGGATGAGGATTTTCCCAAGCATTTCCAGCGCTATGTGGAGCGCTGCGATGAGCTATAATCTGCTTGTTGGAATGGATGTGTTTTACTACGGAGTCATGTCAGAGGAAGTATGTCTCCAATGGTGGAATTGACAAAGTGGCATTGGCACGCCTGTTCATGTCCGGTGCCTTGTTCGGTGGTGGAATCCATTATTAGGGCTTTTTAATTTAATAATAGGGCAATGGCGTCTCGGCAGAGCTTGCCACTACAGCACTATAATATATCTTATTCGGTTACTGTAATCTTTCTTTCGTAGTTTTGACAGGGTTTCTGGATGGCACTGAAATGACCGCATCGCAGCCTCATCAACCCGCACAAAGTTTCCCGCTTGAGCCACAAAGCCAGTATTGTAACTCAGCTCTGTCCAATTTACCACGGCTACCTAGATCATTTGGCTTCTGCCTTATCGATATTCCTCTACAATAGTCACTGTTCTTCGACGGAGAATGCTATCGTTCTACAACCACCCTTTGCTGATTTATCTCCCTTCATCACTGACCAAACACACCTGAAACCCCATCCATCATGGCGACCAACACCTTAGACAAGCCCGTCCGGGTAAATGACTTGATCCTCGTCTACAACACCAAAAAACGGCACATGCTAGTCGTCAAATCTGTCTCTGACGATCAGCAAATTAGCCCTCCCACATCATCGGTCTCCGTCAAGAAAGTCAACTGGCATGTTCCAGACCTTGAAGGTTACTAGGTTCTTAACGGTCCAAGAGTATATTACGCAGACTATGGCTCGGAAGACGAGGACGATGATTATTGCTTGTGTGAGAAGAATTCCAATAACAATCCCGCGACTCGCCTCGACCTTTTCCTATACTCCATGACATCTTCCGATGACACACAAAACTCACAGGTAAATGGACGGTGCTTATAGCTGGTCCCCATTCCCTAAGCTTGAAATTTGCTAATAATCTTGTCCAGTGACGTCCTGGAGCATTACTTCAAAGGTCGGTGTCCCAACTGTAACGGCAAGGGGTGGTTCTGTCCTGGGTGTGGCCCAGTTAGCGACCTCTTTCCGGACATCGGGGGCAGCTGTGCCGTGGACCAAGCGTGTCCTATGTGTATGGGCTACAACTTTGCTCTCAATGACAAGGCCTGGATAGCCGAGATTGAAGATATCGAAGCCCGCCGCTTTAACTGGAATGATGATGGCCGAGAGCTGGTTGATGACGATGAATTAGAAAGACTAAGAGATGAGGCTGTCGAATCAACAAAAGAGCGTTATGAAGCCATCAATAAAAGAAGACAAAAGATGGGTATGCTACCGAAAGATTTCGATGATCTTGTAGAGGAGTGCAGAGCAGGGTTTGACATGAATTAGAACGGGCGCTTTCTATAGTTAGCGCTTCACGGGTCAACCCTGCGCTCCTTTTTTTTCTGGCGCTGGTCTGGTATTATGGAGTTGAGGGGCTCTATCAAACTATACTATACAAATTTGCTTACTCTATCCTCGGTTGCTCTCTACAAAAAATATAATACACAAGACTGTCTTCCCTAGTCGATATTGCTAAGCAGACCTAACTCCGTAAGAACTATAACAGGTAATCCCAGGCTTGATCCTTCTCTAATACAGTACAACGACCACAGAAGTCCACATCCTAACAAAACAAATAACTCGCCGTTAATCATCATTCTCGTCGAGACACAATCTTCAATAAGGTCGCTATCTATAAGCCGCCTGGGGCACGGGTACTCGGCCCTTGTTCGCTTTCCGTTCTTGGCGCATCTGCCTCCGAAGCTCCTTGTTGTATTCGGGCGTTTTCATATATTCGGATTTGCGACGGGCTGTCCAGCCTTGTCCGTCATCGATGTAACCCCACCAATAGGGATCATCGTCCTTGTCTTTGCTAGAGCCGAAACACATTCTTCTCTCCGTGTTGTCTGTTTTGTATTTGTTTGATTGTGGATGAGCTATCATATATGGTAAGTATGATAGCAATCAACCTTCTATAACGGCTCAAGCTTACCACTGCTAAGTGTAAATCAAGCACAATAGATAAATCCCCAGAATTGTTAGCAGACACATAAAAATGAAGTTATTAAAATTTTCGAACTGGTCCCCTTCTTCCTAAACCACCAACTCAATCCAGACCCACCATGCTTCCCATATATATCCCTCCCCATCAACGTTCAGACCTCGTATCCAAGCCTTCTGACATACGCCAAGTTTCCACGTTTCACAGACAAGTTCCACATGGCGCAGCATCGGCATCGCATCATATCCCAGCGCTTCATAATCCCCAATTTGGTGAAGGGATTGTCGATCATTCCCCCCCACAAGATGATCGACGTTGTATATCTCCCCGTTGGGCTATTAGTCTGTGATGCTCCCGTTCCGCTGCCAAGATATTGATTGACTGACTGAGTGGCGAACATTCTATTTACCTACTCTGATGATTACAATAATTTGAATACCAAGTTTAGTACGGAGTACTATATGGCAGTGCAGGCTGGACGACATGCTGTTCTACACTGGAGACAAACCATTCAATAGAATGTGTCACACAACATTAAGCGATGGGAGCCTTTTTGATGAAGGGTTACTACGGTTTTATATTTTTTTTTTTGCTCCCTGCTAAGCTAATTTGTTTCTCTGGAGAGCAGCAAGCATTCGAAACATCTAAAAGCCCAATAAAATAAGCTGTTATTATGATCTCAAATTAATTTAAAAACAGGTCTAAGTCGATTTCTAATGTTAGCAATAAAACTTGTACTTCAACAACAGCAAAAAGGCCACCAGGCAGTGGCGAATATTCTTAACGCTCTGCGCACAGACCAGGAGATCCTTTAGGTGGCCGAGGATCGGATATTTACTTTTCATTCCAGAATCAAGAAATCGGTAGTTATAATAACAAAATATTAGTTGAATTAATTAAAAAGAGGAAGCACCAAATGCAAAACGAAAATAAAGTCCTACTGTCCGGAATTCCCACCTTGTGGTTGCCTTTCTTCGATGTGGGCTTTTTCAAATCCAATTCAAAGAGACGAACCATCGAGCGAAAGAAACCCCTCAGTGCTGAATTGCAATCCGCAACCTGGAAAAAATCAATCAAATTTTGTAGAATTACGACTCATGTCCGGTATTGACGGAGCTGACAAGCCTTACAATACACAAGTAGTTCCACATTGCACAACGCTCGACTCTTTGTTGCTGGTTCCCGAGCAAAAGATGGAGCAGCCACGGCCCACGGAGTCCCAAAAACTCCGCCCGACTCCGAAAGCAATCAAAGACCCTGCGTCCACCACCAGATCGGAAATTAAATCCCAAATGGAGAGTAGCCCTAACTAATGGATGATATTACTAAACAGGGGAACCACAATTACAAGAATGCCCGGCGCAGCCAAGAACGGCCGCTCCAATCAGAGTCCAGGACCCTTTCGGTTTGTGCCGCTGAGTGAGACATCGCTTATTGATACAGGAATGGGTGGCGAAGGTGCGTCGATAACTAGTGGGTGGGAGGGAAAAAATATATGAGAATCGTTGGACCTCTGGCTCGCTGCCTGGTGAAAAACTTTCTTTCTTTATCAATCTAATCAATCAAATCAATCAGTCCATCCATCCATCCAAATTGACGGTCATCTTATCTCGGCTTAGTATTTAAACTTTGGAGATGGCGTCAGAATCTGCTGACATCGACAAACCGAAGGTGGACGTGCTTACGTCCAGTCGGGTTTATCCCAGGACTAAGCATGACGAGGTAACGGTGCCGTTGTCGGTCGTGGATGCAATGGTTATGCATTATGGTCCTTCGTCGGCAGTTTGGTTTTTCGAAGACGCTGGAAAGGACGACATCGAAAAGGTGGTCGCGCAATTGAAAGAGTCGCTGCAGGTCACGCTGTCTGTTTTCCCGCACCTGGCTGGTCATCTTAAGGTGGTGAAGCATGATCCGAAGGGAGATCATACGCAGCGATATGCCCGGCTCGAAATCACATATGGGGCAACGACCGACCCAGGAGTTCAGTTTGACACGGCTAAATGTGACCAGAGATTGGACGACATCATACCTAGCCATAAGAAGCGGCAGGATCCCACCTACCGAGCTTGGGGATCAAGCAGCGCCTACCCTGCCTTCTTTCTGCCGGATATGTCGAAACTCCCCTTTTTCAGAAACGCGCCCGAAGGCCCGACGCCGGCGGCGCTGGTTCAAGTTACGCAGTTTGCATGCGGTTCGGTCGCGATCGGCATGATGTTTACGCATCCTATGGCTGATGCGCATACGTTGGCTATGGTGGCTCATCGCTGGTCATATGATCACACCGTGCTCTTCTGCGATAAGAGCTCCATATTGTCGGAGACCGTTGTATCTCCTCCCCCTAATCCGCTCTACGATCCCCAGCTGTTGGACAGATGCGCACCAGGGGATGTCGATGGCACGACGCCGGACCCGGCAATCTTAGAGAAATCGCGCAGTCTACCCTCTCTGCGACATGATAATCTATGGCCCGCCGAAGGCGACGATCCAGACCGGTTCCTTCCCCCGGGATTGACTCGCGATATGATCACATCTCCCGGAGTCAAGCCCCCTATGCAAGATTGGGACTTCAACGCGCCTGTCTCGCACGTTAAGTTGCACTTCACATCAACCGAGACGGAACGGATCTGGCAAGCGGCCGGGAAAGGCGTGAGTCGACATGATGCAATTCTCGCCCACGTGTGGCGAGCCGTGAACAGAGCGCGTGGATGGAGTGACGACGACCGGAATGTCTCCTTACATGTCATCTTTGGACTGAGAAAACGACTCGGTCTGCCGACAACCTTCATGGGAAGTCCTATCCTCAGCACGACGATTACGACGACAGGGAAAGAAGGGAGCGGCGGTCTTGCACTAGGTGATGTGGCCCAGAAGATCAACAACACATTGGCACTGTATACGAAAGAGGCGTTACAGGCGCGCATCTATGATTTGTGCTTTGAATGCGCACCTCAGCGATTCTGGGAAGGATTCCTCGGGGCCCGAAACATGATTTTCACGAGCTGGGCTCATTTGAATCTGTATGCGGTGGACTTTGGAGGCAGGTGGGGCAAGGCGCGATTTGTGGATATCAAAATGCCAGACTTGGATGGAATGATCTGGTTAACCGAGGGAAGACCTGCATTGGAGAAAGATTCTACCGGAGAACGGCATTGGTGCGATGACGGAGTGGATGTCTCGATGAACATTGGACGTGAGGCCGCAGAGCGTTTGAAGGCTGATTCGACATTGTGGGAGTGGTAGAAAATATGCGACGAGAAACAAGAGCAATGTTAAATGACTAGAACACTTCTGGTTATAGGCCTATAATTGCCGCAGAGAGAGCAGTCACGAATGTCAAATTCAAACCCAAATATCGGAGGTAATCCACTATCGATCACGACTCTTAGCGAACCAAGACACGGATCATTTGAACTGGGTTACCACCCGCGCGGATAAAGGTCCACTCCCATAACAAGTTTGTATCTGTCCTTGTCAGATAACTTGCTTCGTCTTTGGACGACTTCTTCAAAGTCCTCAATCCATGTCCTCGGGACAGCGATCTCCAGCATCTTCCATCGTCGACTTTGACCCAAGGCTTCCCAAGGGGCGATCCACTTCCATTCTGTTTCTTCCGACCACTGGATTCCCCGTTGTACTCGATTTGGGGGGCCAGCTATCGAAAGCCGCAGGTTCCTCAAATTAGGAAGCGAGTGGTGAAGCAGGTCGAAAAGGTTATTATAGAAAATTTGAACCCTTTTTTCCATCTCCGGTGGTCCCTTAGACGCGCGATAGATATCGATCTCGATGCTCATGGACGTGATCAATGTGAGGTGGTACGGGGGTTATGATTCGACAGAACCGGAAGAGCTGGTCAATGCCGTGGGTGAGGACGAAACAGTTGGACTGATATAACAGTAATAACGATTCTTGGTAACTAGCGCGGTAATTCCGTTAGTATGTCGTGGCAAGGCAAGTTGTAAACGGATAAGACTCACGCTCTCCAACAGCACACCAACCAGCCCAGCGCATAGAATTTGTATTCGAACCCTGGTCTCACCCAGGCGCTCGAACCCAGCTCCAGCATAGCCTCCTCCGCCCCCGCATACTCCGGGCACACGAACGGATCTGATTTATCGGGACAGTATTGTGGGTCGTCACACACGCGATACCACCATCGCCATCGTCGCCTTCGAGGATGAAAGTCATAATTGACATGGATGCGACGGTTTCCCAGCAAACATATGTAGATCAATTCACGAACTTCAAGCGGTAGACGAGCGAAAAAGGCGCTTTGATCCTGGATATTGATCGTGGAGTTTACCCGATCGGGGTCATATCCCAAACAACGATAGTCGGGAGGAAGAACGGGTAGCTGACGAGAATAGCCAGGATCCCCATGATTGCGACAAGTCGAGGCATCGATTCCGATGGAATCGATGACAGCACGTAACCAATTGGGCAAGGTGTCGAAGGGCGTTGGAGCTGGAGCTAGAATCGGTTGTGGTGTTGCTAGCGCTTGCGGCTACTACTGTTGTTGTCGCTACTACGGTGCGGGATCAGGGTTGGAAGAGCGGTGGAAAAGCCGGTGAAGCAGACGGGAAGCCACCATGATGAGAGTCATGGAATAGCATGGCCTGTGATCTGTGTTTCATGGCTGGGAAATGAGAAGGACTGGGCGAGATGCGCTATGGATTCGCGTCACCTTCGCTTCTGCCCTCGTAAGGCTCCCGCGGCCTCAGGCTTGCAGGGCGCAGGTGCCGCACCTACATTACGTCATTTTTTCCCCCTGATCCCGACGGTTAAAGAACCCGTCGAGCAGAGTGGTTATCGACCGCTGTGATTGATCGGTAGAGCAAGACAGGCTTTCCAAAGACAAGCAAAAAAGGAATGGTCTTCCGTCGGAGCAAGAAAAAAAGAGATAATCAAGTAACTATTCCGACACGGGGAATCGAACCCCGAGCTGCCGTGTGAGAGACGGCGATGTTAACCATTACACCATATCGGATGTTAGATGTTTAAGACTTTTATCAATGACAAGATAGACCTTGGGTACTTTGGGCATGCCAGGTCCGCAACCGAACAATTTACTGGTAGGCAGGATACTGAAAACTCAATGAATAATTAGGTGGTGAGCATGTAACACCTGTTTCATTCTTTTCTCGAGCTATATTTGCGTCTTATCATGTGGGTTTTATAAACTGTACATCCAATATGGTATCTGCCTTCTCAGAGAATACCTCGAATAACATGATCAGTTTAATGCAAGGATTCACGCATTCGCTTCTCTGCACCGTGAAGTTGGGGATCTGCTTTCCAGTTCTTTTGCCCTCGTATATATGTGAGCGCGGCCCGGGTCATGTATGAAAAAGTGGGAGGTATTATTTCCGGGGCCGGAGTGTGATGGGTTTCGATGATATCCAGGACCATTTGAGTCACGGTATCGAGCGCCGCCTGTGATTTTTGATATCGGTTTTGCAGCATCTGATCCCGAAAGTAGATTCCACGGTCCAGCTTCTCTATAATGTGGGAATGTAGCTTCAAGAGTGTCCTGTATTTGTTAGAAAGACACCGGAATAGAGAATAATGGGAGACTTACCGGATAGTGATGGCAATTGATTGACAGTATTCACTCGTTTCATCCCGGGAATAACATTGTCGCATGAGCTCAGTGAGGAAGGACTGGATATCGATATCCAAATCTTGAAGTTCGACGAGCTTGGAGTCCAGATCCGACATCTCGAAGCTCTTGAAGACTCTGTCCAACAGACAGGCAGCCTGAACGGAACGATCAAACCCGTTCGCATTGCCTTTAATATTGGTATTGGCTGATATGAACAAGGAAGGTATACAGTAATCATTTCGGTTTTCTTCCGCGGTTCCGGAAGGGAGAATGGCGTCACTTGGGATGACCGTGATAAGGGGTTGTTCCTGGAATCTTATTTCGCAGAAAAATGTCCTATTTAGGCCACAATTTAGCAATTGCGGATATTATGACGGAGAGAAGTCCTTAGAGAGAATTACCGCTCGCAGATGACGATTCCCCACCATGTGTTAGCCCCCTCTGCTCGTAATTGTGCATCTGGGTCCGGGAGGGTCTCTACAGAGACAATCGGGCGGCAGTTGAGATGTAATCGGGCACGATAGGCCATACGGGCACATCCTGCAATGGCTTCGAATGCGTCTTCTGGCCGACCATGTGTGTAATCATAAAGAGCGAGTAAGAGACGTGATTGAATCAGGGAAATGCAGGTTGGGTTAGAGCTCTGAACCCGGGACAGAAAGGCCTTTGCTGCAAGATACAGCGCACGGTTTTTTGTATGTGTCGGAGAAAGATGATAAGCACTTGACTTCGGTTTCGACGCGGAAGACGCAGTCAAACAGATTGTCAATAAAAGAATAGAAAACCCAGCGGATGGAACAGCGCCGAGTGAAATGAGATTGCTCTGAAAACGAGATCGCGAGACAACTGGTAGATAATGATGAGGGCCCTGGAAGTACTTCGCTGTAAGATCATCGATGAATTGGCCTGTTTCGTGGATTATCTGAAGGACTCGGTGGTACAGATTCGCATCTGCTGCAGCTGGCTCGTTCAATGACTGTGGCGAAAACAGGTCCAATGAAGACGGATAGCTTTCTTGGAATCCCTCTCGCTCTTTCTTTGGCACAGGCAAAAAAGAGCAACGTAAATTCTTCCTGTAGATCATCTACTATCAGCCCACTGTCTTTGCAGTTTACTCCTGAATGGGTCTCTTAGTTACCTAGTACAATACCCACAACGAGGCGTCATCTTATCACATTTCTTCTTGCGCGCTTTGCAGGTTATGCAAACATGCGCAGCTCTGATGGGGCCGCCGTCGGCCGACATACTGGACTTTCAAAGAAGGAGGATAGATAGTATATTGGTTTCTTGCAACTTGACTAGGGGAGATCACTTTATTTGTTGCGCGGGTCCGTCGGCATCGGCGGCCGCCACTAAGCCTCATATAGACTAGTTTACTCTCAGGTTGTGGGGGCCGTGCGCTTATACATAAAAGGAATTTAGAGGATACTGTAATATTTTTATACAAAAATTGCTCGATCCCAAAGCCATATAGTAGATATTGAGATAAGTGTACCTAGTACCTATGGGGTTGCCACACACATCTGGCAGGCTTCACAGGACCAGCGGCATACCGTCCATTTGGTGAGTCGCTAGTGCAGCATGTCCCCAAATGTCAGGAAACCTATCCACCCTATCTGAGATTTGCAGACTTCTGTTGGCATATGTGAACAAGGCCTTGAAAACAGGTGTGTCATGAAACCCAGTGTTAATCGCCATATTTTGGAAGAGGGCTGCAACATAGTCTATCTGTCGGCCCCATGTGTGATGGTCTTCATAGATGACCAAACCGTCGACAATGCAGAATACCTGTATTCCCCGAGGTACCTGTAGTATCAGTTGTTTGAATAGCTCGCCCAGCGCCTTGAGGTCGTCATCTCGGCAAGCATCAATCCACTCGTATGTTAGAAAGCTGAGGTCTGGCTCGGGGAGACCCTCATGGGATAGGAGTTGAGCGATCAAGTTGCGAGCCAGTCCGCATAGGCCGCTGATATCTGGGTTTTCATGTGCGTCGTCACCGTTATAAAGGCCGGCGAAGAAATATAAGACGATACGAGTGGGATTGCGGACGAGGTTAAGGATGAAGCTAGCGGCGAAGATTGAAATGAGTGTGATCATCTCCGACGGAACGGTGTCCAGATAGCCATCTGCTATGAGTAATGAAGACTCGGGACCGTGGTACCAGCTCACGAACTCGTCCATGTTAGTCAACCACCATACTTGTCGGAGCAACGACTCGGGAAACCTGTTTGACTGCTGTAAAGTGAAGTCCAAATCCTCTAGGGCAGATGACGGTGGCACTCTGAGGAGGCCTAATAGCTCTAGTTCTGTGATGATTGCGCATGGCTCGATTTGTGCCGGCGAGGGCTCTCCTTGTATGCCATTCGGGACGAATGCATAACTGTTATAGTTTGCCTCTACTAAAACTAAATGTCAATGATAACATCTCAAACATGAAAGAGGGTCCTGATAGCCTACCATTACCAAAACGGTGGGCATCAAGGCCACCAGTCTGGCTGTTTGCCTGTTCTAGCTCCTCAAACCCATAGAGGAGAAGAGTCTGCGCCCTGGCTCCTACCTCGTTGGCCTGAATGGCGCGTTCCATCTTCCGAAACTCGTTGCCAAACTCTGTCTTCATTGCATCAATAATGGCAGGCCCGAGAGCAACAATCCGATTGCCGAAAGTATCAAGCTTTGTATTCGTCTGGGTTCCCAGTCGGTGGGCCTCGGCGCTGTGGTACGCGACTTCGCTCCAAAGTCGATCCCTCATTTGCGTCACACGTTCTTTGAGAGTCGATATGTAATTGTTCCATTCAGAGAGTATTTCATCGACTTTTAAAGTTTCGCTGATTTTGAATGTCATATAGCTTCTGACTCGTAGATACCCTGTATTCATATGAATTCAAATTAGTGCTTTTAATATTTTGTGAGGCTGGAAAGTAAGAAAGGAGAAAATGAACCATACAAGCTGGCTTTCCGAGGAGGATATCAACCAGTTCCGGCATGCGCTTAAGAAGGGTGGTATGGAAATCCTACCGAAACTTTTCGTCCGCTTCGGTGGGCTTTAGCAGGCCACAGGCGAGATTAATCGACAAAATACTTTCGGGAATACTTTCGAATGCTTCAAGAATCTTATCCCGATTCTCTTTGCGTTTCTTGGCAGTCTGTCCAGGGCTCGTTAGTTTCATATTTGAACGATTTTCCAGCGCTCAGCGATTACCTCAAAGGCTATCCCTAGTACACCTTTTACCACAGATAACCCATATTCAGAAGGTACTAGATCAGTCATCTTAAACGCGAGCTACATGCCCATCATCGCAGGTGATTGATAGTGTCCTCTGGATGAGTACTCGTTTTTCGCATCATCGAGTGTCTGGAATACCGTCTCCCATGTGCATTCGGCAAATGTCTGCTCTTCTGGTTTGCAATCCGCATCGTGACTTTCCACAATATCTTTCAGGTGTCTATTTCACTAAATTAGCGTAGTTTATTGCATTAAGGAGGTGAGAACATTACTCAAGCGCGCCTTGCTCGGTTAGGATGTATTCTTTTCGACCTGGGTCATATTGACTGTCCACCGCGAAAGCTGGATGATGCTCCCCGCCACGCTTCTGCATCCATTCCTTCCCCTTCTCGACATTATTCTGCGCTGGCGGTTTTGTGCGTGAGCTGCGTTAGAGCAGACCTCTAAGCGCTCTCCACTTTTCTTGTTGCGCTGGCTATTCGCCTACGATATGTCAGCTCCACGATCAGCATAAGCACTACGATGGATTAAGAGGCCAGTGCCTATCGCGCGAACATTTATTGGCCCTACGCTGATCCTCTTGTTCTGGTGCAGATTTAAACATTCAGTGACCGACGTTCGCCTATGAATCGATTTCAGCTTGTTTCGGCTCTGGTGGAGGGGTTCTTGACAATGGACCTCTGGCTTACAGGGGTTCTCATAGCTTACCCTAGTATAATTTTGGCAATTCTCGCATTGGTCTCCTGTTGCTATGCGACAACATATGACCTCCAAGTCGAGCTGTCAGATTATCAGCCACCTCCATCCTCATCCCTTTTCACTGCCAAGTCTTCTTTCCTTTCTCCCTATCACCATCTTCAGTCTGCACATAACATCGCCTTTTCGGAGCGCTGATAGAATCATTGGTCGCAAATCATGGCCGAAACTGTAGTGTCAGCTACCCAGTTGGTGGCATCCGACGTGAATGAGGAAAAGCAGGAGCAGGCTTCTGTATCAGACAATAATTCCGACATCGGCGACGAAGAAAAGCCCGAGCCAGAGGCGCGCGTAACACATATAGGGGTGCGATACTTCAGTTATCGTGGCTTTACAAACAGGATCCGAAACGATGAATGGGACCACATATTCGAGTGTCTCATGATAGGCGCCAATCCACGAGAAGAGATGCTCGAAGAGATCAAGCGAAGCGAAAAGATCGATGACCCCGACCGAACAAAACCTACAGAGCAAACAAGTTCGCCTGCATTGATGTCCGATCGCCCCGACGGGATCGGGGAGAATAGGCACCTTTTCAAAGTCAGAATTCGTTCAGTCGAAGTTCTTCGCCATCTCGCAGAGCTCTCCGACTGGAGCGCGGATCTTGGATCGGCATCGAAAGAAGAGCTCGTGTTTTGCCGCCCATCCCATGCGTTTTACTTCTATCATAGTGCCATGAAGGAGCGCCTTGCATCCATGGAGCCGCGACTGGATAGCGATAACGAGAATGAAAGTAGGGCTCTAAGTCAAATGAGGCTTTATGTCGCGCTCGTGGAGGAGCTGGTTTTACCTTTATGGACCCAGTTTGACGAGCCGAGCAAAACAACTCCGAAGAAGTGTCCTACGAAGAGATCTCGTTCCTGTTTCGCCCCGGGGAGCTTATTTTTGTCCCTCCTTCTCGGAAGACAGTCAGGGCGCAGAAACAATCTGCCATTCAATCTCTGTTCCGTGGTTATTTCTGCGTCCCGCTGGATGTGTGGTATCAGCCCTCGGACGAAGGGTGGAAAGACCCGTCCAACGGTCGGAGCAGATGGAAAATGTACTGCTATGACTACGACGGGGAGGTTTTTCGAACGGCATGGCATACTTTGTCATTTGACTACTTCCAGGGGGAGCGGGAGATTACTTCGTTGACCTGCTATCCACTCAAATTTCATCCACAGCGAGATCGTATTCTGCAGGAACACGTTGAGAGAGGAAGGCAGTTCAAGGATATCTCCCAAGAAGGTGTCCGGCACCTTTACTACTCTGGGTTGAATCTAGTGACTGGGATTTTTGAGGGGGAAGATATGAAAGTTGGCGAGCCGGAGTATGTGGAAAGCGAGGTGATCATCGACATCAAGGAAGCAGAACGTCATGTTCCGGAGTGAGTGAACCGAGACGTCCCTGAGATCGGGTCCGAATGGACGGGGTGGGATAATGAAGATCTCTCTTGCAGATTGTGGTACACCCAAGAGGGAGAGCAGCAGGACAATGGCGTGCATGCTACATGGTTGAGCCGTCTTATCATGCGAGCAGATGGGAGTCACTATCAAGAGGCATCTCAGTTCCACGAGAAGAACTCCTTCTTCCGAAAAGACGGTACCCTTTGCTTTAAAGATTGGGGAGACGCGGACTTGGCCATCTTACCGAGAAGGTTCTTTGGCTATGTGCTGCGAGAGAGGAGATTCATGCGCCTCAATGTGCAGAACCTTCAGTCCAAAGCAGAAAACGACAGGGTCACATTAGACGATATCCAGATCAAGGACACCCACAGGAAGATTGTTCGGTCTAGTGTGTCTTCGCACTTTTTACGGAACGCCCGGAACCGATCTGATTCAACTCGACGGGTATACGACCCAGACATCATTAGAGGAAAGGGAAGAGGGTTGGTCATGCTCCTACATGGCGCCCCAGGTGTGGGCAAGACTGCGACAGCCGAAGCCGTGGCCCTTGAATTCAACAAGCCACTATTTCCTATAACCTGTGGTGATTTAGGGATTACTCCAGATGCATTTGAGGAGACCCTCAAACGCATCTTTCGGTATGCTCACCTATGGGATTGTATTCTGCTTCTGGACGAAGCCGATGTCTTTCTGACCCAACGAGATCGATTCAATATTGAGAGGAATGCTCTTGTTTCAGGTATGTAACCCATCCTCTCGTTTCTTGCTGCAAAACGCAGTCGATAGCTTAATACAAGATTAGTATTTCTACGAGTTCTAGAGTACTACAGTGGAATTCTTTTCCTGACCACTAACCGGGTCGGTGCACTGGATGAAGCGTTCAGATCTAGGGTGCATGTCAGTCTCTATTATCCTCACCTCAGCTTCACGGATACCGAAGCCATACTCTGCAACAACTTGAAACGACTTCCGAGAGCCGACGCATTGCCGGAAGACGAAACCCCCGGCAGCGATTACATCCAGGTCATGGATAGAGAAATCATCGATTTCATCAAAGATGAGTATCAAAAGCACTACCAAACCCACCGAGGACCCTGGAACGGCCGTCAGATCCGGAACGCTGTACAAATCGCCTCATGCATAGCTTTCCACGACCAAAAAGGTGGTCGTAAAAACCTCCCGGCTGTTCTCACCCGCGAACATTTCAAGACAGTGCATGAGACCATGACTGAGTTTGACGGGTATATGGCGAAGGCTCAGCGTGTTGATCAGGCAAAAATGGCCCATATTAAAGGTGTTAGATATGATCGTTATGGAGAGGATGATGTGGATCAGGAGCCAGTGGAATACGAAGGTTACGGTGGTCAAGCACCCGATCCTCGATATGGAAACAAATATTCAGCTGGACGCGGAGGAATGAACGCCAGCTCGAGGGGTCGGACAGTACCACGCCCAGGTGCACGACAACAGCCTAGCAGAGGATATGCGACTCCTCCACCACCGGAAACATACCGCTCAAGAGGGGGCCAAGCTCCGTATCATGCTACGTCGCAATCATACGGCGAGCTTCATTACGAAGAAGAACATGTAACGTTCCAGGGAGAACCCCAGGCTGGACGACTCCGACCGAGTGACTCTTATGCAGGGGGTCAGCTCCGCGTGCCACAGCGAAGAAGGCAAATTGACCCGCAGGAGGAAGCGTATCTTGATCATTCCGATCGTTTATCAGAATGGGCAGATGAGAACGAACAGTTCTCTGGTCTTGAGGATGATCAACAAAATACGGGGGTTCCTATCAGCGAATGGCCAACTCAGCCGCTCCGCGATCAGCCTCTAGATCAACACAATATGCCTCCAAGATCTATTTCAAGTGCACGCGCTCATCAAGCCCATGAAAAGCAAGTCAGATACCGACAAATGGGCGCCCTAGTTCCTTCAGGTTAAGCTGCCAGAAATCCGAGCGGCTGATATACTCAGTCTCGTCATTTGTCTGTCTCACCTCATCGATAGTCGATAATGTTACGCATAGACAAGCATTCTTATATTCATTCTAATGGCAGCCATTCTCGCATAAAAGCACTCTATCTCGTATATCCGGCCAAGGAATATTGTCCTTAGACAAAGAAGCCCCACTCCGGACAAACCCCAGAGAATTTACATAAACTCTCAACAAGTCAAAGCGTGGTGCTTATCACCTGGCTTTCTCCAAACGAAATGCCATAGTATCGTTTCGAAGCATAGCTAGAATTTCTCAAGTTAGACTGGATGCGACAATCAGTTAATCACCGAAGAAATGAGTGCTTATAGCTTACTGCCAATTGGCCAACCCAGTTCGACAATCCTTCCAGCACTGAACAAGCCGGCGTGTCTCATCCAGATGCTCTGGAGGTACCTGGTCGTAGAGTGTGTGTTCTAGGTTGCAAAACTCGGTATAACTTGCGCGAATCAAGGCAGCTGCCGCGTCGATCCCACTCTGGGCGGAATAAGAGTTCTCGTAAATGAGCAAGGGAACGAGGCTATCTACATGGCCGAGGGACTATATGTAATCGATCAATATGAAGTTTTATAAGAGGTGGTCGGAGATTACTTACTAGCTCTTTTTTAACCGAAAACATGTCATTGTCGCTGAATGTTTCGAAGAATGTACAAATTAGTTGGTTAAATACTATCAGTAATAACCAATGTGAGTGGGGACTTACATTGAACCCATGATGTTGATAAGTTTCATCAATTTCTTGGTGACCTCAAGCTCAAGGATCCAGCGTGGAAGGTCGATGTGGTCTGTCAAACTTTGTGAAGCAAAGTCAGTTACGACCTAGTCAATTGAAAGCAATGAGCGCTAGGTTAAAAACTTACACACACAACGCGATCGACGGATAGATGGCCGACGTGTCAAGTCTCATGTCAAGGTAGCCATCAGTATCCATAATTTTCTCTGTATCCGCGTATTCCTCTAACTTCGCGGCAGCCATTACATAGTCGCACAGGTAATCGCAAATCCAGCTACACAGGTCCGCTATTGGTAGACACAAGGTCAGCAATAATTTCCGGTCGAGCATAATAGAGAGCATTTACTGTTCTTCAATCCTTCTCTGATTCCACGCCCAATTTCATAGAACCCTTGTACAAGAGAATAAGCTGAGTCGATTGTAGCGGGGTTTTTGTCGTAGCCATCTCTCCCGAGCATTGAATCTCGAATACACCTAATGGCATCATTTCGGTAGGCTTCACGTTCGGGAGCCATATTTTTGAAATCATTATAGTCCAATGCTGTAGTTGATATATTCTCAACAATTTGAGTTGTAATGTTATTTTAGCATAAAAACATCTCACCATCGTCATATACAAAGAGCTGTATGCCGAAAAAGTTATCATTTGCCAGCAAGGATTTTGTTTCAAGGTCCACTCACCCAACACACCAACTTGACCATAGTATGCAACTCCTCTAGACCTGCATCCGGGTAGACTGTTCGTACAAAGAAAGTGTTGTTTGTTTTCCGGCTAACACCCAGGAGTTTGGGGCTAGCACACCACCTAAAGTCGGTTTAGTTGCCGACTTTACTCAATTAAACGTTAGGCGGATTTAGAGGTCAGACCTATCTTGCCATTCATTTAGACAAGGCTCCACACTTTCATCACAGTTTACATTAATCCGAGGCTTCCAACGAGGGCAGAGACTGAGAAGGTCTGGTATTTTGATATTTTGGCCTTCACAACGCTGGATTAACCCTGCAGCAGGGGCTTCAACGGTGACAGCATCCGTCATTTTGTTTTGTGTATGAACTTTTCTGTTGACCTGGTGGGGATTTTTTTTCGACGATAAGAGGCAAACAAAGCGTTGAGAACTAGGTTATTGGCCAGGGATAGACGGCCAGGGTCACTGAATTTATGTGTTGCAACAAGTCCGGGAAGGTGTGAGATCAATGGTTAACCAACTTTGTCGAATGCGTCATGTATAGTCTTCGAATAGCTCACTTTCTACTATCAACTGACACAATACGAGTCATCTACCTGTCAAGATTTGTTGTCGAGCATTGAGGCCGGCACTAAAACGACGCTTCTTGCTTTCAGCAGGTTTATGAGAGATGATGAAATTGGCTTCCCGCTTATGTTTGGTAGATATTAGATTCATAGTCTAATTGTTCAACATTTTCAAGTTCGAGTTAAGATTAGGGCAATGTCTAGATTTGAAGTGATAAGACTATCCAGGGCTGTTTGTATGCATTCCTCGGGTTTAAGGTCGATGGCCGTAGGCTAAAATACCACTTACAACATACCTCAGGACTAAGTTTCACGAGAAACTGTTCCGAGTCTTTAATGACTGACGAATATCCAGACTGTAAGTTTTACAACTGATGGTCTTGGCTTCAAAGTGGGTCTAGCTGGTCAAACAGCATTGGCACCGCACTTTTTCGACTATTTCCCAGGACGGAAAGAATAACTTTAATGCATGATCTGCGCCATGAAGTAGGTATTCGTGCACTTTTATCTCAGACTAAGTCTCTCACTGGAATTAGTCGTTGTAGAGGCATCACTTAGCTCGAGCTCAAGCCCCAGACCCGGTTTTAGTAATTGCCACCCACGACATTTAGAGTTAATATAACGGCTAAACCCCAGTGAAAAGGTGGCACTTGACAATCTTCCAGCGTAGGCATGCATTACTCCAAAGCGCTCTTCTTCTCTCCTGTCCGACACTGGCGGCCACACGAGCAACATATGAAAAAATTCAGTCAAGTCGGCTAGCTCACTATAGGTAAGGGTGTATTTGCCAACCTCCTCCAAGTTACAGATTATAGGACTAACAGCTTTTAGCAACCCGAGACAATTATGGAGTTTCAATAGATTAAGATAATATACAGCTAGTTCCTTCCCCTTAGTACAACAGAGCTTCTTTACAACGACTCCTCCACCTTAGGCGTACCGTCAACGGCCTTGACTTCCGCATCCTCACCATACCACTCCAGATAACGAGCCAGATACTCGAGGAACAATCCCAGCGTGATACCCCCACCCGTGAAATAAGATCCATACCGGAACCACCACCAGCAGTTAGACGGATCCCGAAGTTTCACTCTCGCCGTCATGATAGCAAGAGAGATGATCGCGCCTCCACAGCTACCAGCATAGAAGATCGGGCCAGCGCCGGCCGCCATACCCGCTGCCGCAAGCAATCCCACCTGCGTCACTGCGAGACCCGACAGCACGGCTTTCGCGTTTCCTTCATGCCGCAGAGCGATGGACTTGATACCTGCCGCCACGTCGTCCTTGATGTCCATATGCGCATAGACCATATCGTAGAAGACCGTCCAGGCGGCACAGCTCAGGTACAGAGAGGTAGCAGCCATCAAAGCGGACGTATCACTCATGAGGTCGATGCCCATGGCCGGAAACCCCATCCAGGCTCCCCAGGAGAAAGTCAGGCCCAGGACAGCCTGCGGGTAATTCGTCACGCGCTTGGCGAGCGGGTAAGCGCCCACGAGCAGCAAACTGGGCACGCCATAGTAGAGACACGGAGTCGGGAATTGGAGAAGAATGCCGAGACCGGCTAGGAGCTGAGTACCGATGAAAATCACGGCCTGGGGCGGCGTGATCGCGCCTCGAGCGATCGGGCGGAATTTCGTGCGCTCGACGAACGGATCGAAGCGTCTGTCTAGGAGATCATTGATAGCGCATCCGGTGCCTCTCATGATCAGGGCGCCTGCGAAAAAGAGCCCCGTGGTTCCGATCACCTGCAATGGGGCGATGGGCTGCTCTGCAACCACGGTCGCTAGGAGAGTCGAGAAGGCGCAAGGGAAGAACAGGCAGTATGTGCCAATGGGGTTCTGAAGCCGGAGTAGCTCGGCATAGGGGATCCAGGTCTTGGGGAGAAGGGAAATTAGGCCGGTCTTGGGGGGCACGTATTGGTCAAGGGGTTTTGGTGGCGCAGTCGTGATGCTGCGCGTCGTCGGACTTCGCGAGCCATTGAGTGACGTTGATTGAGAGGGAGGTTTGATAGTACTAGTGCAAACAGTTGATTGCTGATTGAGAGAAGCTAGAGAGTAGCGCGGTTGTCGATGACTGCGGACGCGAATATCCGAAAGATTTCCACGAGACCGGACACCTGCGCGTGGTACTCGGGCCCAACAGGGCAGAGATCGTCCAAGAAGCGTCGATGGAATCGGCGGAAGCATTGTGTTGGCGGATAAGCTAGATCTGCCTTGTTCCTTGTATCTGGAATTCTGGACCGAAGCGACAGGGACTCGTTCATCCGCTCCTCCCGTTTATTTTTGTCATCCGGCACGTGACCGGGTGCTAGTGACGCCGGGGCGCGCCAAGTGGAGCGACCCATGGTTTCCGATAGCAGCCCACTCAAGTCTCGAAAATTTCCATTTTCAGGCATTTGGAGAGGAAAAGATGGCATGAGCAAAAAAAAAAAAAAGAACAAAAAGAACAGCCCAACGCGGGGCTCGAACCCGCAGCCTTGTGATTAAGAGTCACACGCTCTACCGATTGAGCTAGCCAGGCGCTGTTATTGAAAACGGGCTCAAAATAGTGCTCAATGACCATAATGCTAACCAAATCAGTTATTCACTGCCCTTTGAATTTGAAGTTGTATACCATTGCCCCATTCACTTTCTGAAATGTCGTCTTTGACCTACTCTAGATACGACATGTATAGCTGAGAGAGTCCTAGTAATAACAAGACTCCTAGCCGAAGAAAAAAAAAACGTGGTTTGTTACCAAGTGCTTTCTATCATCGCAACTGCTTCCATTCATTTATGAAAGATATATATCTTTAGTCACTCCCAGACAAAATAATCCACTGCCACGTAACCTCGTTTGACCTATTATATAACGGCACAGAAACCGTAAAGCCAGCTAAATATCCCAGATTATTACTGGTTCTTCGATATACTACGATACATGAAGTACGTAGTAGGCAAGAGCAGTTGAACGATTGAGAATGCCAAGACCTCAGAGTAAATTACTCCGAAGGGGTTCAATCTAGGGCACAGCCTATGATTCTGAATATTGTGCCTCACGATCTGTGAGCTCAAACGCTCCTACGAGACAGAACAGTTTTCAAATTGCTTATACGAGAATGCGAGCTCAACAGAAGTAGTGATCGAATTGATAGCCAGAGGGTGCCCTGTACCGATAGATCAGTCCATCCATCACTGTCTCGCTATGAGATCACCCTGCATAGAGTTTGCGGGGTTCTGAAGATCCCCCGGTTAAAGGACCCCCTTGCTTTCTATAAGAGGCCGTCCCTTTGATCTCAGAACCCAATTCAGAAATTTTTCTCTAGGTATCGACATAGGCTCACACTGTAGACAAAATGTTATTCCCCTCCTCTCTCAACTTGTTACTATCACTAGCCCTAACCGTCCTCACCCTCCCCAACATATACAAAGCCGACCAAGCAGACAACACCTGCATCGTCACTCCCCTCGGTCATGGTCGCGACGATGTCCCCAATATCCTCGCAGCAGTCCAAGAATGCGGCCGCATCCCAGGAGGCAGAATTCTTCTCCCAGAACTCTACACCTACCGGATCAACCAACGACTCACCACCCACCTCGAGCACTCCACCCTAGACATCCACGGCACTCTGCTTTTCAGCGACGACATAACCTACTGGGTCAACAACTCCTACCGGGTCGACTTCCAGAAACAGTCCTCGGCATGGCGAATCACCGGCCACGACTACGAAGTCAACGGCGGACCCTCGATGGGCGGAATCGACGGCAACGGCCAGCTCTGGTACACGTGGGCCAAAGGCGGGAGTAATGTCTTTGGTCGACCGATTCCAATGCACATCTATAACTCGACGCGGGGCGTGGTTCGGAATTTCGCAATCCGACAGCCGCAGTTCTGGGCGGTGTTGGTGGATGAGTCGAGTCATGTCTTGTTGGAGAATTTTTACGTGAATGCGACGAATTCGGATTATCATGCCACAGAGGATACGGTGTGGATTCAGAATACGGATGGTGTGGATACGTTCCGATCGGATCATGTTGTTATCAAGGATTGGGTGTATGAGGGTGGTGATGATGCTGTTGCGTTTAAGGGTAACTCGACGAATGTGGTGGTGCAGAATATGACGGTCTATGGGGGCCCGGGGATCGCGTTTGGTTCTTTAGGGCAGTATCCAGATCGAGTCGATATTGTGGAAAATATCACGGTGAAAGATGTGGTGGTAGGTTACTGTTTGTTGATGGTTAGCTTCAGGTACATAAATGCTAATCGGAATAGTTTCAACCATCTTTCCAGCGTGCTATCAATTCAGGGATTTATTTCAAGAGCTGGTAGGTATCTCTAGTGCACTCGAAAGGGACAGAATCTAATGAGCCATAGGATTGGAGTCAACTTTGGCGACCCCCCGAATGGAGGCGGCGGTGGCCATGGATATCTGCGGAACGTCTCCGTGGAAAACATCCAGTTCAGGGACGTGCAAAAGCCGATATACTTTGACACTTGGTAAGTTCTCTGGCGAATTATTCCCGAGCCTACTAACAAGTAAAGCCTGAGTTATCTCTTCGACCAAAACGTCACTCAATACTGCGACACATCGACCTATCGCTTCTCGGATGTTCATTTCAAGAATATCAAGGGAAACGGCCTTGTCACCCCTACAGATTACCCAGGAGAGAATATTACATTTGCAGTCTCGGTAGTATTCTCCGAGAAGGCAAGATGTAGGGACATAACCTTCCAAGATATCGATATCAGCCTACCAGATCAGTACAAGGGGAAATCCGTGTTGTGCAAAAACGCCGATGTTGATGGGGTCGAGTGTAATGTTTGATGTTATTCATGTTTGCGGTTCTTTCCCGTCTGTCCCCACTACAGTTATCCACATTGGCCAGCAGTCCAGACGAAGATCAAGCAAAGATACAAAAAGCAAAAACAAATGACCAGACTGGGGCTCGATCCCAGGACCTTATCGGTGTTAACGATACGTGATAACCAACTACACCATCCGGCCAATTCATGAAAAACTGATAATCTTGAAATGGTCCATGATGGAAAATGTAAGTGACATACTATAACATGGATATCATATAGTTAATACAAAAGGCTTCAATGTGCAAAATGTCGCCCACTACCTCACCCGACACACATTCTTGAACGGAATGATAGAGTCCATTCCCGTGCTCGCCCCTTCACCCATTTTTTTGATGTCCAACGCTGACATTCCTCGCCGCGTGTTTGGGGTCGATAATGTCCTCTTATGTCGACGGACTGGAGTGTAACGTCTGAAAGAAATGACTCAGGTATGTCGGCGGAATCTTGATCCCTAGATGAGTAGCCTTTTCTCTGCTAATATGTAAATCGAGCTTAGCTAGATGCGGTTAATGAAAATCTCAATCGCCAAGAAGCGCCTCCAGAGAAGTAGCCCAATCATTTACTTCGGCTGGTGCCTGCTACCAATGGAAGACTGTCTTCGAGCTCATGGGATATGTACGGCTAGCTCCGGCGATCTAACCGTAGGAAAACTCTTAATCAAACCATTATATAGTATTGGATCATGAAGGTTTCGTATTGCCTAGCAATTTGTATGCAGAATCGAGGCTCAATGAAGGTCTGATCATCTTGATTTAGACGATCGAAACGAAGCTATTTAAAGTGCAATATGACTACGTGGCTTCTTTGAAATCGGCTTATCTTGAAGCCATGAAATGCCGTCAGAGTTGATCTAGACGGTAAGCGGCAAGGTGTTGAATCCTAGCGGTAAAATTTCCCCATCTTCGCTGACATATAGTTAGATGGGGATAGTTAACTTAGTTGCTGGGGGTGGATGAGTCACCCACAAGTTAATCGGATTTCCCCGAAGTTCTAGCCCAAGATCAAAACAGTAGACTTTTATTATAGAAACCCGCAAATCTCATCGAACAGTGACATCGGCGTCTCTACACTGTTAAAATGGCGCGCTTTGAAGAACTCCCCACCGAGATGATGGACGCGATTGTTGAGTACCTGGAAAACAGTGAGCTTTTACCTCTCCTATCGTGTAGCTCTGCGCTATGGAGCTATACGTTAGCTGAACTCGACCGACGCGAGAACGGAAAGGACACGGCGATGCGCTGGGCTTGTTTAAACGGTCACCTTTCTCTCATTCACTCCCTGATATCGCACGGTGCCTCAGCAAGTACGATAGAGGTCGAGTGGGAATCGAAACTTCTGACTCTATATCTGGCCGCCACGAAGAAGCAGGTGCGGGCCTTCCAACTACTGATTCAACTAGGGGCACGGATCGATTGCCCAGATTTGGACAAAAAGGCACATGGCAAGCTTGTGGACCGAATTTGCGACCCTGTTGACGACTGGGCCCTCTTAAGACTTTTCTACAAACATGGACTTCATACTCAGATATGTATTTTTCACTACCCGCAACTGGAGCGTGTTATCCGTCGCCATGGATCTGCTACACCAAGTGGTCCTGTACGGATGCTCTTGGACCAAGGAATAAGTCCGGACGAACGTCATGCTCGATATGGGCACATCCCCGTAACGCCCCTGGCTACGGCCGTTCGCATGAAAAATCGTTCAACTGTCGACTTATTGGTGCGCCACGGCGCTCATATCGATGGGCCTAATCTCACCCACCCTGTGAGAAGACCCTGGCCAATTCCAATCTTCGTTGCCGCCGAGGAAATATCCAAAGATGGCTTCGAATCGATCCAAATCTGTCTTAAAAATGGTGCGGATATTAATCGTTGCGCATGGGAAAGAATTAAGGGAGATTTCTGCTATTTGATTGTACCTGATCACTATCTCACCCCTTTTTTGGTATATCTGGATTCAATCTCAGATTGGGACACTCAGAAATCGAAGGTAGAACCGGTTCAGGCAATAGGCTTTCTGATAGATCAGGGAGCTCGGGTAGAACAGCCATTAAACCCACCCATCGAAGGCCGAGTTCACGATAACAGGCTGAGTTTTACGCAATGGGGTTTCGAATTCCTTCTAAGGAAATGGGGACCAACAGCCCTACGTGACTACGGCGGGTTTCGTACAACGGTATACTTTCTTTTGCAGAAAGCAGTCGAGAACGGGACTTTAGGCGAATCGCTAGCTCGTTATGACTACCCCATTCATACGTGGGGGAGGGTAGAGAGGAACGATGGGGTTCCAGCCATATGGCAAGACCTACTGACATACCTTCTTGAAGTTCAACAAGTGGATCCAACTACCCTGCTGTATCAGTACATCCTCCACAAAGGAAGACTTACGGAATGGCCGAGTGATATTGCCCGGCTTACCATCAACCGTCTGTTGGCGGCAGGGGGAAATATCCACGCTCGATTACAGCCCGATGGCCCTACGGTACTGGAGGAATTATGCAGAACGTATAATCATCATGAACATGGAGGTCGGCAGACCCGTCGGGTATTCGACCGCGAATCGTATTATTGTCGCCGAGAGTTTGTTGGGTTCCTGATTAGCAAAGGTATTACCGAAGGACCTGTCAGTGTTGCACATGATCTGCTCCTGTTTGACTGGAAGAAAATGAAAGGAGACAGTATTCAACGCATTTGGCGCTTGGCCGGGACTTTAGGGAAAAAAGATGAGCGTTGGTAATGGTAGCAGAGTCTTGAGATGGCAGCAAAGTCTAAGGCACAGAGTTGATCCCCGCCACAGCAAAACGAGTCTTAAAGGATGAATCAGAGAATCCCGTGCTGAGGAGAAAAGTGAATGAATGATTCTTGGCAAGGTCTGTTTTAATTAGATTCAGTCTAAACGACTCCTTAGGATAGTACATATGAACCCTCGTTCACCGGCTGCACAGGGTGGGGATTTCCTGTTTGCTACAGGGTGCATTAGCGCAAACTCGAGGGGAGATATGACTCTAGAAAGCCACATGGAGGATCTAGGCTCTTGATTATCTCCTGCTAGGCAAAATGCATGTGATATCTACAACTTTTCTGGCAGTCTTTCTCCGCGCCCCGGTGTTAGTGCAAGCAAACGCCGCCCGCAATCCTTGCCCGGATTTTGGCGGCAGAGCGGCTTGTTGCGGCGGACCGAAGTACACTCATCTCGGTTCAATTTGCCCTAATTTATTTAGTCTATTTTCCCTTGGCCTACCTCGCCCAATTGGCTCACCTCGGCTATACTTGCCAGTTGGAAGAACAGTCACCGGCGAGAATCTGTTAGTTTATTGACTGTGACATTGTGGTAACACCGGGTGTTATGAGGGTTCTGTTGATTTCTTGGCTTAATGCAAAACCCGTATGATTCGGACGTCCTGTTGGTTCTAGTATAGAGCTCGCTATATGGCTTCCTGTAAGAAGTTTTATAAAGTTGTTTCTGGTGACGAGTGTGAGACCATTGCATCGAAGGCCGGGGTTACTCTACAGAATTTCCTGAAGTGGAATCCTGGCGTTGGAGGAACGCGTAAATCTCCGTGGCTGGGGTATTATGTTTGCATTGCGGTGCTGTGAGTAGGGGGACGCTGACACCTACGATTGCTGTCTTCAGAGTTTTGGATATTTTTGGTGCTATTCCCTTCGTGATCTAATTGAATGTCCTCACTAAAATGTCAGGTCCTGAACCAAAAATCAAAAGGTAAGATCTTGGAAGGCAACCCTTTTGAAAATGTACTTGCTATGACTATTTCGTACAACCCGACAAGCCGAACATTTATGAAAGAAATTGCAAATTGTACAGTACACGGTGCGCTAGTAACATGATAAATACAAGCCAAAAAACTAAACCCAAAACCCAAATATTATCTATCTATATCGTATGCTAAGACAGTGTGACATACATCATAAAACCTAGGGGTATCACGGCATAAAGTGTATTATACAGAAACTCAAACAGCATTTTCCGGCTTGATCTCCTCAGTCATCTCGCCACCCTCGGCGGCAGGGGTATGGGCATGGGCAGCTTCATTCTGCTCATCCTGCTTGCCGATCTTGGATTTCGGTCCGTATCGGTCGTCATGTTTCTCGGAGGCGAAGAGGATGAATGTACTATGTTGATGTCAGCTGGGGGGACGTCAAGAAAGGGATGAGATGGAGGAAACGTACCTCATAGTGGTGAAGATCCATCCGGGCCATGCCAGAACAACGGAGGCGAGTGCCTTGGGATTAGTGCGGTATTTCAGAGCCGGTTGTTTGATGGCATCCGCCCAGTATTCCCTGGCGGTGTCGGGGTCGGCTCCTTGGATGGATGCACTTCGAGTTGCGGTGATGATCTAGGGATGATGATTAGCATCATATCGATCGGACAAGGGTGGGGTTAATAGGTTGACTTACGGTCATCGTCAATGCCGAACTCAGCATCATGACCGATACCGTGACGGCACAGATCTTCCATGCCAACCGCACACCTCTGCTCTCGTGTCTCTCGGGCCAGAATAGATCAAAGAAGAAGGCACCGCCGAAGATGAACGCAACTGCCACTCCACACCAGATATTGTACGAGGCTGCGCCGACGAAGTCGTTGTTCCAGACGTAGATCCCGGGGTGTTTGCCTTGGATATCACTTTGCTGGTCGACATAGTCTGAGGGAGAACGATAAGGATTAGCTGGGGGGAATTGCCAAATCCGGGGAAATTTCCAAGGGCACAATTCAGGCACCAATTCAGGCACCAACAGGTACATACCTGACAAGGCCGCCGTTCCAGTGGATTCGGAACACACGCAACAGATCATGGCCAGTTGATAGACAATCATCTTGGTTCGTCGCAGATGGTATGACGGCGTGAACATCCACGAACTCTTGAATTTCCACCATTGGATCTCCTTGAGATCTAGACCCCAGATCACGGTCATTGTGGCGATAAAGGTATAAGCTTGAAGGGATAGAATTAGAATCGAAACCACGATTTGCTGCTGGAGACGAAACAGTAAAACTAACCAAGAAAAACCGGACCAGCAGCTGGGAGTCGAGGTCTTCAAAAGGGGATTTTGGTTCGTGGCCAGGACTGACGTGACAACCGGAGCAACGCATCATAGTTGAGGAATCTTGTTTTGTCTGGGCGGATTATTGGCAACGGGTGACGTCAATCACTACATTCAAGCCTCAGGCTCCACTCCCGTAGCGCCGATCATGACTGCATCCGCATCGGCAGCTTCCACCGTCCCAGTCAGCTCGCTTGCTGTCTTGGGTCAAGGCCTGGCTCAATCTAGACATATATTTCTAAATGGTTCATGGATGTGCACTGCCCTCGGATGCCAAGCACATGCATGCAGCCTAGCTTGTTCACTGTTCGTGGTTCCAAGTCTTTACTTTGAGATGACCACGGATCTTCGCTCGGCCTGCACCTTAATTGGCACGTTCCTTGATGCTTTCTCGTTTAATTGGATCCTCCCCTTAACTGGACAGCAGTCGTTCGAACATGCTACACCATTCTCTGCTTTCATGTGGAAACGTTCGATGCTCGAATGTCTGTCAGGTGGACCATCCTGTCTCGGCTACCGCCGTTATTCCACCATGAGGGCGCTCAGGCTCTTTGGGATAATACAGTCGAAATGTATTTCTCTGTCATATATTGCGTCGAGTTCGTAATCTCCCAAATATAAAAGGGAGACCCTGATTCCCCTCAGTATTCCAGGAATTGTACCCCTTCCGTTCACTTTAGTGCCTGCCCCTGATCCACCGGTCGCACCCTATCAAAACAACCTACTGATTTCGACCGCGCCAAGATGACCTTTCTACCGAGTCAATTACTCTACGGCTCCGTAGTGGTAGAGATTGATATTGAATGAAAATACCATGAAATTTTGACAGTATGATGTCACCAAAATGTTGGCTGGAATTGGGCTCAGCAGTGGGCTGGCTGTTTTGGGTGGTTCTGGGCTTGACCCGAAAACCCTAGGTAGGTGTCCCATACAGAATGGCTGCTATCGCCAGATACCAACGCCACCCATGGGATAGTAGAAACTTTGAATAAAGAACCTTCAAATGCCGGTTCTTAGTAGCTGAATTGCCTCCAAAATCATTTTTTCCGACTTCTGAAGGCCCTCCGAGTGGTGGTTCTTGTCCTCCGGTGCCACATTCTCAAGCCACCAGGGCGCTATATTATCTTCCAATCGCGAAAGCGTCGTCGCCTCTTTCCAATCTTGCTCTTTGATCCCTTTTCTCGGGGTGTTCATTCCGCAGACCTCGAGTCTACTCAAATATGCGTCGTAAAAAGCATCCAGCCAGTCACCTTCGTTTGCCACGGTATCATTGACGAACTCATCCAGCTCAGGGAAAAATCCAGAGAACTCAAAGTCGATGATCCCGGCGATCTTTGTGTGATCTGTAGACATCAAGACATTGAGCGGAGAAAGATCATAGTGTGTGAATAGAAACCGATTTTCCCCAGTGCTTATACCGAGCTGCGGCAGTTGGGTGGCAATAAACTCCTTGGTGGGAGTTACTAAATGCCTGTTTCCCGCAAATATATCGAGTTCCTGAAGCTTCTGGAGCCGTGTCTCAAGTCTCACTTGGTAGTACTGAAGCGGGCTTAGGATCGGCTCAACAACTTTGACACCAAAAGCAGGCATGTATGAAGAAGACGCAATGAGCAAACCAGCAACATCTAATGAAGTTGGATCTTGCTCCGTCCCATCAGGAATTCCACATTCAAGGTTTCCAGCACTTGACCAAGCAGGAAGCGACTATCTCCAGCGGTAGACCAAGTCCGCTAACCGCTCACCGACGACCTTAAGCTTGTCCGTATCCAGATTCAACGTGGACAAGGGAATTCCTGCAAGTCGAGCCATCAGGATCCAGCCCTGAAGTTGTCCATCAGCTTCAGAATCAATCTCCAATTCCGTTGTTGCTAAGGTCCCCGCGCCAGTCAATTTGTGAACGACGGAGTTCTTGTTATCAGACCACGCAAGAACCCTCGGTGCCGGTATATCGGGCACGAAATGCTCAAGCAGAGATAAACAGGACACTTCATTTTCACTCTTCGTCTGGTCGAAGAATTTTCCGTTCAGTTTCAAAACCAGCTCATTGACGGCTCCGTTGATCAGGCCGTGTAAGAGGAGGTTGTCAGGAACGTATATCTTGAAAAAGTAGATGCGGTTGTTGAATGATTTGCCATGTTCTAGAGGATTGATAGCCAGAATGTCGCATCCAGGGATAAGGAAATTGATTATTCTGATGATGGTTTCTTCCGAAAAATAAACCCCTTGAGTTGTGTTATGAAATGCACAGGGGAAGGAGGGCAGAATGACGCTGTATCGGCTACACGCACGTAGCCTACTAAGGAGCGAATGCATTTTGAATGAGAGGGCTCTTACTTCTCTTGCATAACGATTAATCTGTTCTTCTATCATAGATAAAGGGGTAAGTTCCTCAGGGGTTCGAGTGTGCGGGCCAAGCCGTTAGATCACGTTATCTCATAGATTTGTATCAAGCTGGGTGGGTTTCTGGAGTAGTTTCACGCGGACTTGAAGTGCTCTCCATGAGGGCGGTGTTTCAACATGAACGGAAGCTGAGAGGATAAATGCCCTGAGAAATGTGAAGCCGGTGACTGAGGACAGAAGAGTGAGAGAGAAGGAAGCAGGTCGACGATTATATGATGATGAATTGGAGCATTGGTATGGGCCTTGGTGGTTTTTTTACGAGTACCTTCTACTTCTGGCTCTGTTAACAGTAGGCGGTGGACGGTTTCATCCGGCACATTAATCTTATGCAATTACATTAGCAGGTTATGCAAGTTATTAGTGCAGGCCCACACCGGGTAGATGAAGAATGTGTGGCAGAAATATGTGGGTCTACCGAGAAGCGATTATTCAACTAAGGAATAGGATCGTTTTCAACTGAATGAAGG